TTGGTAGACTGTGGAAAAAGGTTTCCAGTGTTGTTTGTTTGTTTTTGTTTGTTTGTTTGTTTTAGAAAACTCTATAGTTTTTCATATTGGGAAAATTCCCCCACAGATATATTTGGCTCCAGCTTACACTTTCTGTCTAATTGTGACCATTCCTTTCTAGCAGCAATGGTCACAAGCAGTTGTGGTTTTGAGACCAGTGCATCAAGTCTTTGAAGTGTGCTTTAAGAACTTATTCAAGTCTAGCCCAGCTGGTAGTTAATACATAATTTGTTTCCCTTTCATTGCCTGAATTAGTATTAGTATGTTGTGTTATAATGTTGAAGATGAGAGAGGTTCAGACACCACCGTGCACCAGCAGCTGAAGTTTGAGCTATACAATATATTTTATGCTGAAGACAAGAATAGAATTAATGGATCTATTCATTTGAAATAATAGGGCAGAATACTCAATGGAAAATCTTTAAGATCAACCTATATATAGCATGCCTTCTACTATTAAAGTTCATTTTGATTGCTAGCAGAAGTTGTTCTACAGATGCATCATGGGGACTATGCAAGTAAAATGTGAATTCAGCCAGCTACAAACGCACAGTAAACTGTGATGTGGACAAGCCAACAAATTAGAAAATAGAGATGTAGCAATTGAGGGTGGGGAACTAGACTCTAGCAGCAGAACATCTTTTATAGGCTCAGTTATTAGTTATATACTTACTGTTAGACGCCACCCCAATCTTTGCAGAGTGGTAACAAGATTCCAGGGGTCTGGGTACTTAACCAGGGTTTATGTTCCTTTAGAATGAGGCACAGTGGATACTATGGTGTCTTTAAGAAATATGCTTTATTTACACATATTTACATCTGAGTTTTATGGAGGGAATGCAGAACATTATACCCCAAGAGTGTCTCTTGTTGCTCTTTAATAACTTCAGCAAGCTTGGGTCTAGAACTGAAGCCAGCCATGCTTTTACTAAATTAAGAATTGTGGGACCTGCAGCCCACAACTCATAGTGTTATGTTCATTAAAGTTGTTCATTGAGGGCTCATCTTGTCTTTATTTAATCTCCTCCCATTACACATTCAACATCTTTCTCGGTCTTGGGTTGTACTTTTGTGTTTTGTCATGTTTATTGGTATCCGTCTGTCTCGGGAGACAATGAAGAAGTAACCCTCTAATTTCTCTTTCCTTTACAACTGGGAATGCCACTGTGATGGTTTTCTTTAGTTATGGTTTTGGTCCTTAGCAATACATCATTGGAGCCAAATCTCTTGTGGTGTGGAAAAGCATTGAGTTAGTTGTCCTGGAATGCTAATGCTGTGCATATGCTGCAATCTGAGGCTGCTACAATGGAAGGAATTGTGAAGGAATTAAAACAGTGGGGCAAAATCTATTTGTTGTTGTTTAGTCATTTAGTCGTGTCCGACTCTTCGTTACCCAATGGACCAGAGCATGCCAGGCACTCCTGTCTTCCACTGTCTCCTGCAGTTTCGTCAAACTCATGCTGGCAGCTTCGAGAACACTGTCCAACCATCTCGTCCCCTTTCGTCCCCTTCTCCTTGTGCCCTCTATCTTTCCCAAGATCAGGGTCTTTTCCAGGGGGTCTTCTCTTCTCATGAGGTGGCCAAAATATTGGAGCCTCAGCTTCAGGACCTGTCCTTCCAGTGAGCACTCAGGGCTGATTTCCTTAAGAATGGATAGGCAAAATCTATAGTGATGTGCTATTTGCCTTTTTATGCTGTATGTAGATCCCCGCCCCAATGCTATTTTCTGTTTGCAGCCTTTGTTGCTTCTGTTGTGTGTATGCCACTGTCCTGATGTAAGTTCCCTTTCTGCCACAATGCCATACACCAAATTCCTTTTTGTGTTTTGAAGAAGTGCCAATTTTCCCCACAGCTTCTAAGCTAACTACTGCACCATTCATTGGTTAATGTTTACTTCCTGCTTCAGCAAACCAGATCACAACACAGAAATGATGTCAGTCCTCTGAGCTGAAACAGATCAAAAGTTGCATATAAGAAACAGAAGCCAACTAGAAGAATACAACATCCCTTTTAAATTAAGGCTATGTGAACAATAAACAGGAGATAGATATAAGATACAGAAAAAGTAGCTTTAGAAGCCCTAGAAAATTAACATTAATTGTTACCATAACATTGTAACTTGCTCTTTGAAGATTTAATGAAATTGCCATTGTGTTCTATATTAAGATGCGAAAGACAGCAACTTACGGGCATAACTGGCAGGCTTATAAGACTGGCGGGACTGCAAGGCATCGCACCCTGCATCTGAGGTACTTTATGCAGATAAAAAAGTGATGGGGAAATCCTCTGAAAAGTGTGGGATGAACTATTGAGTGTTAATCTTTCTACTTGCCCAGAGGATACAAACATGCCTTTAACCTGCTTTTTAGATGTTACATTTGATAGTCCATTTAAACAATCTGAAGAAATCTAAACTTTTTTAAATTTATTGCAGCTAACTGAATACAGTAATGCTAGCAGAGGAATAACTTTCCAGACATACACTGTAATTTGTAACAATAATCCTCAAAGGCCTTAATCTCAAAAGACTTCTATTCATGAGTTCGGATTTTTACTTCATAAGAACATCAATTTATCAATTAAGCACATCTGCTTCACAAGCAAAACAAGGTGTAATATTTCAAAGTACAAATGTCTCTTTCAACAGAATCTCTCAACGATTTATTCATCAACAATTACCTGAGATGTGGATTTCAAAGAACATATTTTCTTTATCTTATATCTGCATACTTTCATAACCGCCATGACTTTATATAAATGTATCATTGGAAACAATGAACAAAGGAGAGAAATGTAGCAAACTTTCATTCCATATATGGAAGGCTGAAAATATACTCCTAAAACTGATATATATTTGAAATCAGAAAGATGAAAATTATGCTTATTTGATGGAGGAACAACTGGAGGGTATTAGACTTGTTTGCCCTTTGTTACCAAAACCCACATTTCAGTATTGAAGAAACTCCTAAAAACAGCACAGTTGAAGTTCATAGGAAAGCTGAATGTGAATACTGGTGGCCACAGACTGACACCCTGTCATTTTGTATTGTGCTGACCCCAAACATTAGAAAGACGTTTGATACATTCCTCACTTTTAATTGAGGCCAGATCACCCATCTCTTAATTTCATTGGATCGCTCACTCACTATATTTTGCTCAATATATTAAAATTCAGGGGAACACAGAAAGCTGCCTTGTACCAAGTCAGACTATTGGTCTATCTAGCTAAATATCCTCCACACTGACTGGCAGTAGCACAGCGACAGAACTGGGCTCTTTGGCATGCAAAGCACATGCTCTAACACTGAGCTACAGCCCTTCCCCATGCCCTTTGATTGAAAGGAATCTTGATGAAGCTTACTTGGGAGTAAATTTACACATCAAAACTCCTTGAAAGGGGTTTGCACAGAACCAAGAAGAGGGGTGGGTGGTAAAAAGCCTCAAAGGGAAAAAAAAATTAAAGGAAACCAGAGGACCTTTTTTTAAAAAAATAAATAAGATATTTATTAGGCTTTTTTAAAGTATTACAATAAAAATGAAAAAAATAACAAAAATACAAAATAAAAATAGTTAAAAACACACAGATTTTCCATTGCTTGTTTTCCTTTAGCTTGTTCCCGGACCTCCTCATACCTCCCTTTTTTTGTATTCCAGTTCAATTTGTTGGTTCAGCAAATCCTTACCCTCTTTATTTATCCTAATCTTTAGTCTTAAAATAGTAACGTTAAATTTTTACCTATTAACAACCCATTTTTCATAATCCCTTAAAGCATTACAGCTGGAAACCACTTAATTTCTATCCAACATCATTCTAACATTCATTAATTTTACAATAATTCTGTAGATAGTCTTTGAATTTCTTCCAATCTTCTTCCACCGACTCTTCTCCCTGGTCTCGGATTCTGCCAGTCATTTCTGCCAGTTCCATATAGTCCATCAGCTTCATCTGCCATTCTTCCAGAGTGGGTAGATCTTGTGTCTTCCAATACTTTGCAGTGAGTATTCTTGCTGCTGTTGTGGCATACATAAAAAAGGTTCTATCCTTCTTTGGCACCAATTGGCTGACTATGCCCAGGAGAAAGGCCTCTGGTTTCTTCAAGAAGGTATATTTAAATACCTTTTTCAGTTCATTATATATCATTTCCCAGAAAGCCTTAATCCTTGGGCACGTCCACCAAAGGTGAAAGAATGTACCTTCAGTTTCTTTACATTTCCAACATTTGTTATCGGGCAAATGATAAATTTTTGCAAGCTTGACTGGGGTCATGTACCACCTGTATATCATTTTCATAATATTCTCTCTTAAAGCATTACATGCCGTAAACTTCATACCTGTGGTCCACAACTGTTCCCAGTCAGCAAACATAATGTTATGTCCAAAATCTTGTGCCCATTTAATCATAGCAGATTTCACCATTTCATCCTGAGTATTCCATTTCAACAGCAAGTTATACATCTTTGACAAACTCTTAGTTTTGGGTTCTAACAGTTCTGTTTCTAATTTTCATTTTTCCACCTGGAAGCCAATTTTCTTGTCCAAATTATATGCCTCCATTATCTGATAATAATGAAGCCAGTCTCGCACTTTATTTTTTAGTTTCTCAAAACTCTGCAGTTTCAGTCTGTCTCAGGAAACCAGAGGATCTTGGCTGATCTTATGGAAATGCAGTCTTTTAATGATCCTGTGACCAAATAAATCGAATTCGAAACCTGGCCTCAGATAGACAGTTGCTGTACATGGAAGTTCTACTTTTAACAAACAATTTGCTTTTACTGGAATGATTCCTTTGTATTCGAATGATGTATTGCCTGCTTTTTTATGCCCTTTATTAATAAATGTGTTGAGGTGCGTTTGTTTGTATATATGTACGTATGTATGTGTATGTACGCACGCTGACACGCATCCGTGTTAGCGTACATACGTGCCAAACTGGGTCTTTGACCCGGGTGACAGAAAGCCTAGTTTCTGCCCTGCCCTGAGGAACGATGATCTTTATTTTGCCTCCCTTGCCTTGGCACCAAGACTAGTTCTGAGTTTGTATCTTGAGAGCCAGCATGCAACTCCCTGCGCTTCTGCGCCACGAAGGATTCCTTGAGGAGAAACGCGGGTCCTCCTGGGGCGGAGGCGTGGCGGGCGGGGGGCGGCGTTTTTGAACCTATGCTAATTCCGCTGCTGGGCCCCGAGGTCTCGCCAGCCCGGCAGCAGCGCTCGGCGGCGAGGGTGGGGAGGGGGAGGCCGGGGCGAGTCTTAAAGGGCCCGAGCATGCCGCTGCTTTTGTGACAGGGTCCTTTGATCCCGAGGAGCCGCGCCGCCGCCGGCTGAGGCAGGCAGTTGTCGCCGGGCGAGGAGGAGGAGGAGGAGGAGGAAGACATGCGCCCGTTGCCATCATGGAGATAAAAGACACGGGCAGCGTGGTCCTGACAGCCTACCACTCTTACACCCCATCCCGGCTGGAGCCCAGCTTCGCTCCGGAGAGCCCCCCCAGCCGGTCGCCTCTCAGGTAAAAGGAAGCGCGCGGGGAGCTGGCGAGGGGCGAGCTTTTGTCTCGAGGTCCGTCATTGTGTGCGCGCGCGAGAGAGAGGCAGACAGGAGAGCGTGTGAGGGTCGCCCTCAGACACGCTCCTTCTCCCGTCCCTGCTTTTCTCCTCGTTTTCTCGTGAGGCGCCGAGGAAGTCTCCCTTCCTCTTCCCGCTGCAGTTTTGGCTGCGCCCTTGACCAGACGTGCGTCGAGGGAGCGGGGAGGGAGGCAGGGAGACGGGTTGGCGAAAGGTCTTCCGTTTAAAGTCTCCGGAGAGCTGCGGATCAAGTTTGTTTGCTGGCCGAGATGGGCGTTCAGATAACCTGCCGAGAAGCCGCGAGGGAATGAAGCGGGAGGGAAAGAGAGCGGAGGAATGGTCACTTATGGACGAGATGCACCGTTTAGGAAGGGGAAGAGTCAGCTGATAGTCAGAGCCGGTTTCATAGGCAAACTTGAGCAGTTTTCCCTTCTCCCCAGTTCATATATAAACTCACAGGATCAGAAGGGACCCTGAGCAATTTTTCGCCCAACGTGGGGCTCGAACCCGCGACCCAGAGATTAAGAGTCTCGTGCTGAGCTATCCCAGTGTAATCCTAGGCATGGCTACTCAGAAGTTAAGTCGCCCCGAATTCTGTGGGGCTTTTAGCTAAAGTGGACACAGGATTGCAGCCTAGGTGATTTATTTTTTTGGAGCAGGGTCATTTATTATCATTGCACACCCTTTGGTTTTTAGATATCTGCTGATATTATATGAAATGCCTAACCCATCTCATCCCAAGGGCAGGTCACAATAATTCATGCAAGGCAGAAACAAGATTGAGCAGAAACAAGGATATTTAATGTATTTATTACATTATAAAATATTTCTCACATACAGAAGGTCAGGAGAGATGACCATTACAAGAGTTTTCATCCAAACGCCAGCAATCCCCACAAGCAGGAATTTCACAATATTAAGTGTGTATCTTGCAGACATTCCTTGCATTTGTCCCAGATAAGTTTGCTGATAAAGGAAATTGTTTGGGTAACATCTTCCCTAGTGATACCTTTGGTCTTAGTGAAGCTGACCTTTCTTCTAAAGACCAGCCTGTTTTAGCTAATGTCAGCAAATGATATGTTTGTGGAAGTCTGTAGAGTTGGGGGGTTGTATTTTCCTGGAAATGGGAAGTTCTCCCGTTTTAGAAATGGAAAAAAGTTAACATGCATAAAATTAAGATATTAAAGCAATAGTCATATGCTACATTCTTGGAACTTTAACAATGACCAGTGCAAATATTATAGTAGCCAAACTAAGGGCATGCTACATTCTACATTACAGCCATCAGCAGGTGTCAGTTTAAGCTTAGAGGCCTACTATGTGGATTGAACAATCTCCACACTGCCACAAATGACCAAAGGTGTGCAGGTGTCATGGGGGCAATGAACAATATGCACAATGAATTGCTTTTCGTAAACAACTTGCCAGATAGTGTTTTAGTCCTATGTGAAATAATTTAAAACATGGATAAGGAACTTGTGGCCAGGGCTGGATTTAGAGCTGTGTGAGCAGTGTGCATGCATTGGGTGCTGAGATGAGGCAGCTGTCTGAGGCACTGCCTTTCCAAAGGCGAGGTAGGGTCCTAGAGCCCTCCCACCTACTTCCCAAAGCTGGGAAAGCGCTAACTAGGCTTGGCTTGGCTTTGGGAAGGCAGCGCTACAGCTGGAGAGGGAGGGTGGGTGCCAAATTTTGGCCTTCCACAGGGTGCCACGGAACCCAAGTCCACAACTGTTGTGGCCCTCCAGATGTTGTTGGACCCTATTCCCATCAGCCTCAGGCAGCATGGCTGGTAGTCAGGTGTGATAGGTGTTGTAACAGGGATGATGGGTGTTACAGCCACACATTTTCCATCTCGGACTGAAAGCAATTTCCATGCCAGTCATCATGTCATTGTATACCAATCCAAAATTAGAAGAAATAGGCTGGAGACTATAATGTGTGACAGTTTGGTACGGATTATAATTCTTCTGTGGAGTTTGTGAATGGCTTGTGGCACGTTGTGTCTGGGTTGTTGTTGTTGTTTTGTTTCATTTCCCCATCTGAAACAGTAGTTGTGATATATTTATAGGATGCTCATGTCCATAAAAAGTCTTCTATTTTATATTCATTTTATAGCACAATTTTATTCAGAATTAAGGCCAACTGTGGTTAGTAGCATTCATTCATGGCATATTTGCTTAGGATTGCAGCCTGGGAATTGGCATTATAGTGATTGTATTAATTTACTCAGATTTCAAAAATATATTGTGGGTGTTAGCTGTTTTGTGGATCCAAATTGTATGGAAAGGTAAGATAGAAATGAATTAAATATTTAAACATTTTGCATGAATGAGTGTCAGTGTGTGAAGGCCCTGGGATCAACGTAGGATTGCTTTTTCTTTTCTTTCCTAGTGTGATATCAAATGCATTAAAATAATAGGAGGAAATTTGAGGCCTACATCCCTAGCCCTAAGCCCAGTGGCCCAAGAATGTAGAGTGATTGCTAACAGGGAAATATATATAGCCTTTGGTAGATTTTAATGAATAAATCAACTCTTAATTCCTTAGAACCTTGGACCGAAAGAAACTAAGTCAAAGTCCAGTATATCCAGTCCACTTGTCATCTAGATAGTTTCACAGCACAGATGGCATTGGCATTCAGTTATCTAGCAGTGTTTTTGGGGAGAATGTTAAGTATTTTAATGCTGATATTCATGTGTTTGGTTTGATTTATGGGACTTGAAATCTATGGGACTTGAAATATGCTTAATTTAGTGACCTTATAAAAAATTATTATTATTATAAGGTTAGCCCATCTGGCAGTTGTGGTTGGTTTTTTTTTGGGGGGGGGAGATAAAATGATGTTTGATATGCATAGTTGGCATCCCTAGTAATAAGAACAACACAGTAATGACTCAGTGTTAAATTATTGCTGAAACCATCATTTCATTATCAGGGAGCAGAAAGAAAATGGCTTGGATCCAGAGCACTCGTGAGACACTCCTGCTGGAGGAAGGGAGGAGATGATTTTTTTTTTTTGCTGAATCCTCCTTCACATTGCAGACCTTTGTGCCCACTGAAAAGTTGCTCTGGAGGAGTGTGGAAGGCAGGATAGGGAGCCACAGGTGAATCAGCAATACCCATTCTTCCAGTAGCAGCTTCCTCTGGATCTCATCCCCTTCCACAAATGGAAGGAGCCCTTCCATTCACAGAATGGACCCAATAAATTTTAAAATACAACATTTCTGTTACTTAAACAAAAGAGTTATGTTGTGTCAATTCATGTTGCTTCTAATAATAGTTTATAAACTCGCTTGAGTTCCAAACTCTGAAGTTGTGCCGGGAAAGAATACAAATAAGAACTACTATTCAGAAATATAAATGAAAACTTTAAGCTACTTTATAGGATACACATATGAACAGCAAGTTTCTTAAGCTCCTGTAATGTTTTACACACACACACACACACACACACACACACCCTCTCCCAGTGAAGTTGCCCACTTCCTGCAGCTGTCTGGTTGCAGTAAGTGGTTTTTGCCATATGGGCAGTCAGAAACTCCATCTGTGTTTCCGAAGCTTGCTGTGGAAAGAGGTTGTATTACCTCAGCATGTGGTCCAGTGGAATGCAGAATGCATGAAAGAAAATGTACTAGTTGTTTTAGCAAAGGACAGAAAAGTCTGTGTTTGAATCCATGGCCTTTTTCCTTCTTCAAATTCTTTCTAATAAGTATTGTTATCATAATTATTCTCCGTTTTCTGTCTCCAGTTAGTACAGTGTGTTCACTTTGGGTTCATTAAGACAGCAATCTGGAAAAGGGTTTTCTTTAGCTAAAGATATTTTTTTTAAAAAAAACCTACAGTTTTTCTTATGTTTAGTAATTGGACCTTGGAGTCTCATTCTACTTTGACCACTTTGATTATGCAGATGAAACATGCATATAAAATTAGTTGAATAATTTGTTATTTAGTACATTTAAAAGTGTAGAAATGAAGAATTTAAATTTATAAATTCAGTTTCTTGCTTTCATTAAAAAGCTAAAAAAAAAAAATGAACAGCAAAGTTTAGTTTTTAACATAGTACAGTGGTACCTCAAGTTACATATGCTTCAGGTTACATACGCTTCAGGTTTCAGGCTCCACTAACCCAGAAATAGTGCTTCAGGTTAAGAACTTTGCTTCAGGATGAGAACAGAAATCGTGCTCCGGCAGCGTGGCGGCAGCAGGAGGCCCCATTAGAAGTGGTGCTTCAGGTTAAGAACAGTTTCAGGTTAAGAACGGACCTCCGGAATGAATTAAGTACTTAACCCGAGATATCACTGTATTGACAGACCTCATGGGGATACTTCACACACCAACACACACACCCCCAGTCCACTAGAGCTAGCTATTTCCTCTTGTGTTGCACTAGTGTGGTGATTATGCAGGAAAATATACTTCTAATTTGTATGAAGTTCATTAACTGTTTTGATGTGATATGATATAAGGTGGCTAACCCCTTTCACGTCTCCGCTCCTCCACATGCAGCTGCTGGGTGACCTTGGGCCAGTCACACTTCTTTGAAGTCCCTCAGCCCCACTCACCTCACAGAGTGTTTGTTGTGGGGGAGGAAGGGAAAGGAGAATGTTAGTCGCTTTGAGACTCCTGAAGGGGAGTGAAAGGCGGGATATCAAATCCAAACTCTTCTTCTTCTTCTTCTTCTTCTTCTTCTTCTTCTTCTTCTTTCCTGCAGGAGCTGCCTGCTAAAGTGGCTGTGGCCCAAATAGAAAAGTAGGACGTGGTCATGGTATAAAAGTGGGTGTGACTGTGGTGGAAAATTAATACCCTTTTCATTACATGCTGAATATATAGAATAAAGCATGGCTATGGTTGTTTCTCCTTTGTGATTTTCCTGGTACTGAGGAAGCGACTACTTTTAGTTGGTGTTCCAAAATCCAGTGGGTTCATCTTGTATGAAGTTGGTTCTTTGCATATACAGTTGTACCTCGGGTTACAGACGCTTCAGGTTACAGACTCCGCTAACCAAGAAATAGTACCTTGGGTTAAGAACTTTGCTTCAGGAAGAGAACAGAAATGGCGCAGTGGCGGCAGCAGGAGGCCCCATTAGCTAAAGTGGTACCTTAGGTTAAGAACAGTTTCAGGTTAAGAACGGACCTCCAGAATGAATTAAGTTCTTAACCTGAGGTACCACTATATAGTAGCATTGGAAAAACCTGTTCTTCCTGATTTGTTGTTGTTGTTGTTTAGTCGTTTAGTCATGTCCGACTCTTCGTGACCCCATGGACCAGAGCACGCCAGGCACTTCTGTCTTCCACTGTCTCCCGCAGTTTGGTCAGACTCATGTTTGTAGCTTCGAGAACACTGTCCAACCATCTCGTCCTCTGTCGTCCCCTTCTCCTTGTGCCCTCAATCTTTCCCAACATCAGGGTCTTTTCCAGGGAGTCTTCTCTTCTCATGAGGTGGCCAAAGTATTGGAGCCTCAGCTTCAGGACCTGTCCTTCCAGTGAGCACTCAGGGCTAATTTCCTTAGGAATGGATGTGTTTGATCTTCTTGCAGTCCATGGGACTCTCAAGAGTCTCCTCCAGCACCATAATTCAAAAGCATCAGTTCTTTGGCGATCAGCCTACTTTATGGTCCAGCTCTCACTTCCATACATCACTAGTGGGAAAACCATGGCTTTAACTATACGGACCTTTGTTGGCAAGGTGATGTCTCTGCTTTTTAAGATGTTGTCTAGGTTTGCCATCGCCTTTCTCCCAAGGAGCAGGCGTCTTTTAATTTCGTGACTGCTGTCACATCTGCAGTGATCATGGAGCCCAAGAAAGTAAAATCTCTCACTGACTCCATTTCTTCCCCTTCTATTTGCCAGGAGGTGATGGGCCCAGTGGCCATGATCTTCGTTTTTTTGATGTTGAGCTTCAGACCATATTTTGCGCTCTCCTCTTTCACCCTCATTAAAAGGTTCTTTAATTCCTCCTCACTTTCTGCCATCAAGGTTGTGTCATCTGCATATCTGAGGTTGTTGATATTTCTTCCGGCAATCTTAATTCTGGCTTGGGATTCATCCAGCCCAGCCTTTCGCATGATGAATTCTGCATATAAGTTAAATAAGCAGGGAGACAATATACAGCCTTGCCGTACTCCTTTCCCAATTTTGAACCAATCAGTTGTTCCATATCCAGTTCTAACTGTAGCTTCTTGTCCCACATAGAGATTTCTCAGAAGACAGATGAGGTGATCAGGCACTCCCATTTCTTTAAGAACTTGCCATAGTTTGCTGTGGTCAACACAGTCAAAGGCTTTTGCATAGTCAATGAAGCAGAAGTAGATGTCTTTCTGGAACTCTCTAGCTTTCTCCATAATCTAGCGCATGTTTGCAATTTGGTCTCTGGTTCCTCTGCCTCTTCTAAATCCAGCTTGCACTTCTGGGAGTTCTCGGTCCATATACTGCTTGAGCCTTCCTTGTAGATTTTTAAGCATAACCTTGCTAGCGTGTGAAATGAGTGCAATTGTGCGGTAGTTGGAGCATTCTTTGGCACTGCCCTTCTTTGGGATTGGGATGTAGACTGATCTTCTCCAATCCTCTGGCCACTGTTGAGTTTTCCAAACTTGCTGGCATATTGAGTGTAGCACCTTAACAGCATCATCTTTTAAAATTTTAAGTAGTTCAGCTGGAATACCATCACTTCCACTGGCCTTGTTATTTGCAGTGCTTTCTAAGGCCCATTTGACTTCACTCTCCAGGATGTCTGGCTCAAGGTCAGCAACCACATTACCTGGGGTGTACGAGCCATCCATATCTTTCTGGTATAATTCCTCTGTGTATTCTTGCCACTTCTTCTTGATGTCTTCTGCTTCTGTTAGGTCCTTACCACTTTTGTCCTTTATTATGGTAATCTTTGTACGAAATGTCCCTTTCATATCTCCAATTTTCTTGAACAGATCTCTGGTTCTTCCCATTCTGTTGTTTTCCTCTATTTCTTTGCATTGCTCGTTTAAGAAGGCCTTCTTGTCTCTCCTTGCTATTTTTTGGAAATCTGCATTCAATTTCCTGTATCTTTCACTATCTCCCTCACATTTTGCTTGCCTTCTCTCCGCTATTTGTAAGGCCGCGTTGGACAGCCACTTTGCTTTCTTGCATTTCCTTTTCATTGGGATGGTTTTTGTTGCTGCCTCTTGTATAATGTTGCAAGCCTCCATCCATAGTTCTTCAGGCACTCTGTCCACCAAATCTAAATCCTTAAACCTGTTCCTCACTTCCACTGTGTATTCATAAGGGATTTGACTTAGATTGTATCTTACCGGCCCAGTGGTTTTTCCTACTTTCTTCAGTTTAAGCTTGAATTTTGCTATAAGAAGCTGATGATCTGAGCCACAGTCCGCTCCAGGTCTTGTTTTTGCTGACTGTATAGAGCTTCTCCATCTTTGGCTGCAGAGAATATAATCAATCTGATTTCGATGCTGCCCATCTGGTGATGTCCATGTGTAGAGTCGTCTCTTGTGTTGTTGGAAAAGAGTGTTTGTGATGACCAGCTTGTTCTCTTGGCAGAACTCTATTAGCCTTTGCCCTGCTTCGTTTTGAACTCCAAGGCCAAACTTGCCAGTTGTTCCTTTTATCTCTTGACTCCTACTTTAGCATTCCAATCCCCTATAATGAGAAGAACATCCTTCTTTGGTGTCAATTCTATAAGGTGTTGTAAGTCTTCATAGAATTGGTCAATTTCAGTTTCTTCAGCACCAGTGGTTGGTGCATAAACTTGGATTACTGTGATGTTAAAAGGTCTGCCTTGGATTCAGTATCGAGATCATTCTATCATTTTTGAGATTGCATCCCAATACAGCTTTTGCCACTCTTTTGTTGACTACGAGGGCCACTCCATTTCTTTTACGGGATTCTTGCCCACAGTAGTAGATATGATGGTCATCCGAACTGAATTCGCCCATTCCCATCCATTTTAGTTCACTGATGCCCAGGATGTCAATATTTATTCTTGCCATCTCATTTTTGACCACATCCAACTTACCAAGGTTCATGGTTCTTACATTCCAGGTTCCTATGCAATGTTTTTCTTTACAGCATTGGACTTTCCTTTCGCTTCCAGGCATATCCGCAACTGAGCGTCCTTTCGGCTTTGGCTCAGCCGCTTCATCAGCTCTGAATCTACTTGTACTTGTCCTCCGCTCTTCCTCAGTAGCATGTTGGATGCCTTCCGACCTGAGGGGCTCATCTTCCAGCATCATAACTTTTATATGCCTTTTGTCTTTGTCCATGGAGTTTTCTTGGCAGGGATACTGGAGTGGCTTGCCGGTTCCTGCTCCAGGTGGATCACGTTTGGTCAAAACTCTCCACTATGACCTGTCCATCTTGGGTGGCCCTGCATGGCATAGCTCATAGCTTCTCCAAGTTATTCAAGCCCCTTCGCCACGGCAAGGCAGTGATCCATGAAGGGGGTTCTTCCTGATAGGTGGTCCCAAATCTTAAGTGGGTGTTTCTTTGTTGTTGGAAAATTTCTCTGTGGTTGTGCAGAGCTCATAGAACTCCAACACTTCCATGGTTCTTTGTGGCAAGATAAGTTCCATTTGATATTCCTCTGGTATATTTGATAATTCCACAGTAAAGTGTAACACCAAAATGCTGTTTAAGGTTCTGGAAGTGCACAGTAAAGTTCTGCTACTGTTTTAGAATTATGTCTTCAAATGACTGGGAAATATGTTGTACGCAGTATTGCCCTTCCTAGCTGGTGTTGAAAAGCCTTAGAATAGAAAAAGCCTTCTTGTAGAATAGTAATCAGCTGGTTTTGCAGTTCAGTGTTCAGCTATTTTGTGACATCTACCACAAATGCCAGGTCAGCCACTATTTGTCACTCAGTTCTTCAGCTGGCTTCCCATTGGACCTCATGAACAGTTTCATTTCTTCACGGAGCTCATAAAACTTCTTTAGTGCAGTACCTCTGCTCAGCTGTTATACTTCACATAGTCAGATTAAGGTTCTTCAGAAACTCTTTGATCTAGCAACTGTTCAACCTCCGGCTGTTTATAAAGCCAATGCAGGAAATTAATTGATTGATTTGATTTGGTTTATTGTATTACTATGCATCTTTTCATTCAAATGAATCTCAAAGTTACTTACAAACAAACAAACAAACAAACAATAAATAAATAACAATAACATAATAGAACATCACAAAACAGCATAAATAGTATAAAATAATTAACAAATCACCAACAAAACAATTACAATCTGTAAATCACTATTAACAAAACAGCAACAGTCATGGCAATATTACTATCTATTTAGGTCAAGCTAATTTCACACCTATAACTGGAAAGAACCCCATAGTTCCAATTAAGTCCAAACTGAGTAGAATCAAATTTCTGAAAATTTTTAGAGCAGGGGTAACAGACTAACATAGGTGCTCCTCAGGAAGGAAGGAAGTCTTAAACTAGCACCCAAAAGTTGGGAACTGTCAGCACCAAGAAGGCCTCACTTAGGACAGTATTCCACAGGGGGGAATTATTCAGTAATTATTTTTCAGTTCTGCCTTCTTGTTTGCGCCTCCACCGTGTTTCCTGGTTTATTTTCCAGTTCTGACGTGCTCTTTAGTTCTGGCTTATGCCTTGATTCTGTTTCCTGGTTTGTTCGTTGGTTCTGGCTTGCTTTGTCCCTTGGCTCACTCCAGACTGCTACCCATGATCATGCCCTGACTTAGGGTATGCATAGGGAGGTTGTTGCCAGCATAGCTAGTCAGCATTTTTTTGGCTTGTCCATCCTATTTTGCATTTTAGTTCCACCCCTTTACTGGGGGCTGTTACCACCAGCTGTGCCAATTTGCTGATGTCATTACCACTCAAATGCCTTTATAATGCCCCACAATTGAATTGTCAGCATTCTTTGTCTGTTGTGTTCCATAATCAGCTTTACTCAGTATTACTGTGCTACACCTTGTTATATGACTGCTAGTAGCCCATGATGCTGTAATAGTCAATGATGTGGGTTGCTTTGTAATGCCAGCAAAGTTCTAGAGATTGTGACATCACATTACATTCATAAGTGAGCATGCAATGTCATAAAACATGTGGCAGTGTAATGGCTTATAGGATCAGGCTGTAAGCATTTTTATTCCATTTTCTTTACGTTATTTAGAAGCCTTTGGCACAAATTAAAACTCAGTTCATGGGATGAGTTCAACATTTATTTATTTAATAAAATGTATACGCTGTATGATTGTAAAAAAACCCACAACCTTAAAGCTGTAAACAAAGTTAAAATACTAAAACTGATTGAAATTATCTCAGCTTTCTAAGCATATGGGTAGGCTTGTCCAAACAATAATGTTTTTAGCAGATGCTGAAAAGGGAATCATGAAGGTCCCTGCTTGATCTCAATAGGCAGGGAGTTCCAAAGTGCATGTTTTGCCACTCTAAATGATTGAGTTCTTTCTTCTATGTGAAACAGGTGTTATGTAGCACCTGTAGTAGTACCAATTTCACTGAACAAAGCATGTGAGTGGACACATGTGGGGTACGGTGATATCATGGGTAAACTGGTCCTAAGTCGTTAAGGGCTTTATATACTAATAGTAACACCTTGAACTTGGCCCAGTATCAAATTGGCAATCAGTGCAAATCTCTGAGCACAGGTGTTATATGCTGACAAGGCCTCCTTCCTGTCAGCAATTGTGCCACAGTATTCTGCAGCAACTGCAGCTTCCAGATCAAGCGCAAACCATTACATAGAGTGCTTTGCAATAATCCAGTCTTGAAATTACCAACACATGAACTACTGTGGTAAAGCTTTCTTGGTTCAGGAATGGCCCTAGCTGTCAAACCAGTTGCAGTTGGTAAAAGGCACATCTAGCCATTGAGGCTACTTGAGCCTCCAGCGATAGAACTGGACCCAGAAGTGCCCCCCAACTGTGAACCTGATCCTTCAAGGGAACTGCAACCCCATCCATGGTAGAAAACTGACCAATTTCTTGGACACAGGAGCTACTCACCCATATGGAATAAACACAGAATTTATTTATTTTTTAAAGGTAGGGATTTTTCCATTCCATTATTGTTCTGTGAGTTTGTTCTACTGAACATTTTGCTCCATCTGGTTTCTGGTTTAAACTACTAGAATGTCTTAAAATTCTTAAAAGCTTTCTAGGACTGAAAAAAAAAGTATCTGGATTGCTTCACAGTTAAGTTTATTTTTCAGTGTACTCTAGAGATTGTTAGCTCCATTGTTTTATTTGCTATGTTTCATATACCAATGATTAGATGCATAATTCATTGCTGACTAATTTACATTTTCTTACTGTTTCTCATAAAGGCAAAATACTGGCAGGGTTTCTTTTTTACTCCAATTGAGTTCATTAATCTAATTGAAAATGAAACATGTGGGTTTCAGCAGAGGTTAATCCCAAATGCATTTATCTTCATACTAGGTTATTTACTTACAGAAGACTAGTCTCCAGGGATAGTTCAGTATGCCAACCAATTTTGGAAGTCACCTATAGCACATAGGGGCATGTACAAACATGCACATTCCTTTTTACTTTGTTTTACACACTTGCTGAGTTTCCTTTTCCGAAAGGTGAAGTAAGCCTCCATGGTGGCATGGTTCAGACATGCCATTCCCAATCCAACAAACCATGGTTTGTTGGAATGCAAATGACAATGAGCTCAAGCGTTCCCGTTCCCCTTTTGTCTGCCCAGCTGCAGAGGAAACTACCACATGTGATTTAAAGTACTCTTCACAAGTTAGTAAACCAAACCAGGGAGCACTTAAATCACAGTGTCCTGTTTTGGATATCACAGGGAAGTTGTAATTTAACAAACTAGGAAGCCTTTTCTATAGCTGAATGTCCAAGAAGAGGAAGGAAAGAGAGAAGAGGAGCTCATGTCCATCTCTAATTCTTATGTTGTTGTTGTTTAGTCGTTTCCGACTCTTCGTGACCCCATGGACCAGAGCACGCCAGGCACTTCTGTCTTCCGTTGCCTCCCGCAGTTTGGTCAAACTCATGCTGGTAGCTTCGAGAACACTGTCCAACCATCTTGTCCTCTGTCGTCCCCTTCTCCTTGTGCCCTCCATCTTTCCCAACATCAGGGTCTTTTCCAGGGAGTCTTCTCTTCTCGTGAGGTGGCCAAAGTATTGGAGCCTCAGCTTCAGGATCTGTCCTTCCAGTGAGCACCCAGGGCTGATTTCCTTCAGAATGGATAGGTTTGATCTTCTTGCAGTCCATGGGACTCTCAAGAGTCTCCTCCAGCACCATAATTCAAAAGCATCAATTCTTCGGCGATCAGCCTTCTTTATGGTCCAACTTTCACTTCCGTACATCACTACTGGGAAAACCATAGCTTTTACTATACGGACCTTTGTTGGCAATTATACTATACGGATTATTATACTATACGGACCTTTGTTGGCAATTCTTATAGTTTGTTGGAATACTGCATCTGACCCAGGTTGATATCTCATAGGTAAAGAATCTTAGAGATAAAATACCGATTGCAATGGTTCCTGTTGAGTGTTTCAGGTATCAGTTTAGTGTTACTGCACTTTTCAACTATATGTCTATTCTTAGCAGAATCAACACCAGTGGCAGAGTCGAAATCGGCACCTGCAGTACCAAATGTGTGCTTCTGCTTCAGTTCTCATCAACTCTTTTTTGATAGGTAAAGCAGTAATGTATAAAGTCCCCTAACTGAGGTCATGCAATACTGTACCAATACATTTGTGGCACTGCTCCATGGACTTCTAAGCAACTGTTAAATTTTCACCATTTAAAAAAAATTGTATCCTAGGCAAATTGTTGAATTACTTCATAATGCGTTGGTGCAAAATGGTTTAGAAGCTGCTGCATCATAAGCTACCAATCTTCTATACCTGCCTACCTCACTGATCTGGAGAAAGTATAGCGGCACTCCATGGTCACTATAATCTTGGTCTGATTGTCTGGCAGATCTGATTGAGCAGGCCCTGCAGTTCACATTTATATACAAATGATGTCAAACCCCTTCTGTTAAGGTGCAGTGTAAACAATCTTAACTATTTTTGATGTTTATCTCATGGTACAATAAACTTTCTCAGGGGACAGGAATACACACACAAAAACACCCTTCTTTCAATAACATCTTTTAAAACATCCCAAAGTTTTCATAGACATTGAGTATTTGTTGTTGAAATCTTAAATTTCAGAGTGCATCAAAATTCTAAAACAGAACTTGGTTTAATTCAGTTGCTCATGTAAAATAAGCTGTAACCTAGGAAAAATGTGAAAGGCTGTATCTTTTTTGAGGGGTAGTGGTAGAGATAAGGGAAGAACAGCATATGACTTATTTCACAGACTGGAATTTTAAACAGCTTCTTAACTGGAATTTTAAAACCCGTTTAAACATCTCTCTACAAATTATTATTAAACCATTCAGGAGGTAATGCTTATAAATAGGCAGACAATAGTAGACTCACTTTTTCCTGTAGGCTTTAGAAACATCTACAACATGTCCTTTGAGACCTTCACTAAGGAATGCAGTATTTATAGTCTTTATAGAATTTCATGTTATGGTTGAAACTAGAGTTGGCTTCTCTGATTTCTTTAGTATGGTGCCCCTGCTGATTTCCCTGGTGCTTTCATATGCAGAACTTATGGAAAACATCTGGCACTGTCTTTTTGATCAGCTTGTCAGTTGAACATTTGGCCAGCTGCCATCCATTCATTTTAGCCATGTCACTTATGGCACATTGATTAAATGATGCTTAAAGCTGCCTGGAAAAGGAAAAGAAATAGTAGTGGATTCAGGGAATTAAAAAAAATAATAATAAAGAACAGGGTCCAATCTTCTAGGTCAAGGAAAGCCTAGACAAAAATGTATCTCTTTACAGGTTGTCTGAAGCAACTGTATGACAGAGGGACAAGATTTTATGGTACAGGGACAATATTAGAAAATGCTATTTTGGGGGTCATCACCCTATGATATTTCTCAGGGATCTTACAGGTCTATACTGGGGCAGGTGGTCTTTCAGGTAACATGGTCCTGAGTTGCTCAGGGCTTTATATGAACAAGAACAACACATTGAACATGGCCCAAGATCAGTCCTTTAAAGCTTTTCTATTTTGCCATTGGTAACCAGCATCAGTGCAGCAATTCATTATAGATTTACATCACAACTTTCTTTTGCCAAATAACACAACAGTAAGTCAAGCTAAACAAGAATGCAGCTCATATATTGTTACATTGCCATAGAGATTTGTGGCTGATATGGTGAATGAAGTTCAATAATTGAAATGTTTAATAAATTAGTTTTAGATAGTGGCTTTTCTATGTTATATGCTCCTGCTCCTTTTATTCCTCTCTGTGCCATATAAAGTATAACTGGAAATTAGCAGTAACAATTCAAGGAACCAAAAAGTGAGGCTAACGGGTAATAGGCAGGAAATAGTGCAATGGTGACCTCTAGATTGTAATTGACTATACTTTTCAGCTTTTCTTTTCTGGGGCTTTTCTTTTCAATAATTTACTTTCTTCCCTGCCTGCATTTACTTTGTTCACCTTTCCAAATCTTCACTGAACTACTGTTTAGTGAAGAGCTCCAAAAACAGGTATGGGGGAGGAAATAATATACAATTTTAATTACTGAGATATCTATTGTTTTTTGAGAGAGAAAAGGTAGAGGAAATTAACTCTTTAAGGAAACTCATCAAATCTAGTAAATATAAAGTTACCTGAAGGAAAATTTTCTGTATATGCTTTTATTTGCTACATCCTTTAGGAAAGCCAGCTATGGCATTTAAGTGCAAATTAAGCATAATTTCTGTTTCTTAGTGAATCCACTAGGCTTATTTTTGTATAAATATCACTGAATACTTTTCAGCATATTCTTGGACAATACCTCCTACTTTGCTTTGCTCATGTGTAATTTTTTTTAAATTTCCTGGATATGTGCTTCCCTTTGATGCTGTTGCCCATGTTGCTACTGCATTCTTTGTGTAATAACTGCAACCATGCTTACAGTTGAAAATGGAGTTCAGTAGTTCTAAACTATATTTTATTAGAACATTTTCATGCTGTCTGTTTGCCCTGAGGTGTGTGAATGGAATTTTCTCCAGTTGTTGAATATAATTCAGAGCATTATCTTAAAGCGATTTCTTTTCTGTAATTTGTTTTATTTCTTGAATATGTGCTTCCATTTGTTGGTTTTGTCCATGAAATAGGCATAGTTTCAGGGTGGGCATCAGCACCTTGGACAGCTGCTGGGGTTCCAGTGTTCCATCAGGGCCTATCGCCAACTCCTGCCTTGGAGGTCCTTTTAGGGGTTTTCATTTTTCCTAGCCTGATATTTACATTTCATGCCCCTGAACAATGCTGTATTAGGGGCACTGTAAAAAAATAATATGGCAGCTGGACCAAAATGTCTGGCATGTAGCTACAGTTACTACCAGGCAAGCATGCCAGGAGCCAATGACGGGGAAAGATGCTTAAAGGCTCCTTCATGTTTCCTTCCACTTACAACTACTAGCAGAACAGAACACAGTCATAACATGGACCCTGAACACCCTGGAACTCGGATGTTTTGGCTCCCGAACGCCACAAACTTGGAAGTGATTGTTCCGGTTTGTGAACGTTCTTTTGGAACCCGAATGTCCGATGGAGCTTCCGTGGCTTCTGATTGGCTGCAGGAGCTTCCTCCAGCCAATCAGAAGCCGTGATTTGGTTTTTGAACATTTTGGAAGTTGAATGGACTTCTGGAACGGATTCCGTTTGACTTCCAAGGTACGACTGTATATCTGAAGACTTTCAAATTTAACATTAAATATTTCTATTAAGCCAGGGCATCTGCACTGTACACACATACATTTATACAGGAAACCTGTAAAACTTTTAGCTTCCATCTGTCTTCCTGCTGATTCACAGAATATATGGCATATATGTAAAACATGTTTGAATCTCCAGCATTTATATAAGAAAAAATAATGTATTGCATGTGGAACTCTTAACATTTTCTGCTGAAAGAAACCTAACAAGTTGCTGCAACTGATACAAAATGGAGTAATGTATATGTTTCTTCTTGGTGTTAGTAACAGATCTTGTTAGAACCCATTGATTTAAATGGTGGCACAAGAAAGGATCTCTATTTTAAGTCATAAAAGAAAGAAAGAAAGAAAGAAAGAAAGAAAGAAAGAAAGAGAAAAGGCCAGGTTTATTCTGCAGCTGTGTGCCCTATCTGTGTTTCATCAAATACAGCTTTTTATTCCTAATGCAGTTTTGGCATTCATTGTTACATTACACATATAATTTTAAATACAGGACTTCGTGAAGCTAGTGATAGTTAAAATGCCTGGCAGTGATGAAGCAGTAACGTCAAACTAGCCTGAAGTATAAAATGAGCACGGCCACAAACAAATATGAAATTAATTATCAGTTATAACATTTTCTGAGTCTAGACTCTTCTAACCAGTCATTGTTTTCTGTCTGTGGTGGGGGGAGGGGGGAATGAGGACTATAGCATGAAGCTGCCAGAACAAAGTTGTTATTGAAATGCAACATGAAGTGCCTGTTCATGCATTACTTTGCCCTCCTCATCCCATAACCCTGGTATTATCCCTAATGAGGATCTACCGGTATATTGCTCCCGCCCCTACCCTTCACTCATGCCACTCACTATGGAAACAGGTGAATGCTCAATGACATGCAAGGTCTTAAAATGGGGGTTGAAGCTTTGAAACTAATCTACTGCTAAGGATGCCCCCCTCTTCCAGTTGTCTCAGAAAACTACAGGTAAAATGTTCCTCCCATTCACTCTATTGGCAGATTTCCTATTTGCCGATCTTTCATTTGCCCTCATTTACCCTTCTTTGGAACATAGGAAGCTCCCTTAGGCTGAGTCCATCTAGTTCTGTACTGTCTACACAGACTGCTAAAGACACTCCAGGATTCCAGAGTGGAGTCTCTCTCAGTCCTACCTAGAGATTTCAGATTGGACTAGGAACTGCAGGGCTTTTTCCTCTCATTCTGCCCTGACACTCTGTCTAGATGCAGCCATCTATGTCATGCTGCCATTCCTCCATTCTCCATTCTTCAGGAGCTTGTACTGCATGAATATATCACAATTAAGACGATATTTGTTGTATTATCTTTTAATAAACCTCTTTTCTGGAACAAGTCCTAAAGTCTCAGCTATGTTTCCTCCTCCTAGAACCTTACTTGGTATGCCCCACTGTGTAGACCGAAGTTACCCATGCTCTTCTGCCATTAATTTGGCAGACATGCTAGTTCCTGAGAAATAGAGCAAGGACTTCAGGGGGAAGTTCTCTTAGCACCAGGTTAATTTTCCAATTACCTGTTCTTCCTGAAGGGTTTTTTTCCCCAAACACAGAAGGAGTTCATTAAACACACACGTCTCAAAGAAGAGTTGAAATAGTGGTGATTGCCACTCGCAAGTGCTGCTCATTAAATGAGTTGTGTAATCTGAACACATGGTGGGATAGCATTGTAGCCACTTACCCCACCTGTGACATCCACACATCCATCAGAATGTCTGAAAATAGTTTAGACAGTTCCATATCTGTGCTGTAGTCACATGTTCTGGTAACCATGTAAGGGTCAGGGGAGAAGCTAGCAGCTGAATTTCATGCACATGTTCATATGGAGAAGGTTTTAGATGGTTTCAAAAAAGGGGTTAGCCCAATTCACAGAGAAGAGACTTATGAAATATTAGCCATGATGAATGGAACTTCCTGGTCTAGAGATAGGATGCTTCTGAACACCCCAGGTAAATGGAGCAGAGGTGGGTGCTACTGTCTTCATGCTCTCACTTTTCAAGCAAAAAAGTATATTAAAGTCGAAGCCTGGACATGCTTGTTCTAAAATTACATAATGAGGCATGATCAAGCCTGAGAAATATCTATATTATGCTATGCTATACCATTTATTCATATGTGTGTGGGGGGACATATATTGTATGTGGTGCTTAGAAAGCTGAGCAGAAGCTGTTCAGGGTGTAACTAAAAATGGGTTCACACAGCACGGAGTGGGATGAGTCAGAAAGGACTGATTTCTGGTGAGCCAATTATACATATGTTTTAATTGAAATCTGACACAGTAGCCCCCATTCTGCTATGTCAAAAGTTTTGTATAAATCAACTAACAAGTTTTAAATGACTTTAATAGCACATGTAAATGGAAAACTGCATGACATTCTAGTTCATTCACTTCTATTTCCCACCTAAGCACCAGGAAGCACATCTGCAGGGGCGAAAATATAACCTCTACATCATAACTGTTTTGAAATAAAAAGTCATTACTTAGCAGTTGCATGGCATGGGCAATGCCCACTGAAATTATTTCAGGAATTTTGTGTTGCTAATAACAGCTTGAATCTTAGACTAGCCCTGCCAACTGCAGTTAAGCCTGCGTAGGCTGACAAAGAACATTCCTGGCTGCATCAGTAAATGGAGAGCTAGATTACATTACAGACTCTGTGATGATCTTAAATGAGTTTTTATCATCAGGTTGGAATTTATGTTTTATCATACCCAAAATAACATATCTGACTTTGAAAGTGCATTGGTCTTAATTACTTGCATTTGTTTCTGTTTTATCTGATTCCACAAACAAAATTCTGTTGGAACTGACATTATGGCTTCCATTGGACTCGGATTGGTGGAGATTTTTAAGTTTTAGAAACCTATCCACAAGAAGCTGAGATAAAGCAAATTAAGCCTGCATAGAGTTGCACTCAATCCAAACCCTGTCAGCAGCAGGGTTCTGCTGCTCTGCCTAAGGCTTTAAAACAGTGTTTTATGCTGGGGTACAAGTCACGTGGCCAAACTGAACAGTTTTAGGATCCAGCCTAAGTCCTCCCTCTCTGCTTCCACCCCCAGCTCACCCCTTTTTGAGGACTTACACTGGCCACATCTCAGCCAGCTTTGGCTCAGCTGGCTGAGTGGGATAAGCAAGTTTTGCTGGCCTTTCTTCTGTGGAGCTGGGGTTGGGAACTTAATAATAGCTGAACCAGGAATCAGCCAGCTAAGCCAGAGTTGCTCATCCCAGTGGACCCTGCTACAGTAATGTCCCTAAATGTCTATCATTTTAAATAACTGCTATGGGAAAACTGACAATTGCTCACATTATTATTTTTTCTTCAGACTCGTTTAGAAGGCCTCTGGCTCTTCAGTCTTGTTATTGGTGAATCCTGCTTATTCAGTCCTCAAATTAAGCATCATCATCATTAAAAATATTTATTTATTTATTATATGCATTTTAGACTTCCACCCATCATAAATAGATCCCAGGGCAAGATACCATAACCAATTTACAGTATGTGGATGTCATATATTCAGTAACAATAATCAGTGTTATTTTTCTAGAAAATGAGGTGCTGGAACCCACAATGAACACCTGCCTCCCTTGTTCTCTTATAATGGAAATGGTGCCCACCTGAGAGGTACTGAAACTGAGTTCTGGCGAATTCTGGCTGGGGGAAAAAGCCCTGAAAATAATCAACTAAAGCAACTTGACAAGAAGAACAGCTGAAAATATAACATTAGAAGTACTAAAACACTGCAGAGTGGGTTACTTGCTGTGCATTAAAAATATCGTACAAATGCCTTGTGCAAACAGACGAATCTTTATTTGGCATCAAAATGCTAAAAGGGTAGGTGCCAAACATGCTCCCAAATGGAGGGCATTCCACAGGTGGTCACTGCCACAGAGAACGGCCTTTCTATCATCATTGCATAATGTCTCTCTCCCAGTGGTGGAATCCTTTAAATATGACATGAGCAGGAACAGGGAAAAACACTATTTCAGTGATTAGGGTCCTAGCCAAGGTCTGATAGACCAGTCCAAACACCTTGAACTCTTCCTGGGTGTGTAAAGGCAACCAGTGTAAACAATTCTGATTTGTATCATGTGATCCCAGCCAAATGAATTGGTGAACAATATGGCAGAAGGCATACAAGTCATATGTGCAGAATCCTTATAATCTGTACTCACAAAACTGCACGACACAAATTGTGTGAGAAAACTGCTGCACATACAGTTTGCACTCAATGACTTTACAGAAGAGCCCATCAATGTGTGGAAGTTCAGGACCAGCAGACACCATCTCATGCTTCCTGTTCCAGATGATCATTCCCATATTTAATCATTGGCATAGGTCTCTTGTGTTGTTCACATTTTATTATAAACCACTCACATATACCTACTACCTAGTAACAGAAATAACCATAGTGTTGTTTACAGGAACATATTACAAACAGTTATTCATTCAAAAGGCTATTTTCCCTCACCTTTTGTTACATGATTTATTTTAAAAAAAAAAAATTGGAACCAACTCAAAAACTTTTTGAGTTGAGATAAAATGAGAATTTTATCACATGTTAACCTTGGATGCAAAACTGCAAATAAAACAATGAAGCAACACAGATCTTCCTTCCTTTTTCTGATTACATCACTGGAACCGTTGACTAATATAAAGGGATTTTATTTTATTTATTTATTTTTAAAAAGAAACTTCTGAGTGTATTTCTCACAGTACTCCATATCTGAATTCCTCTGCATCTGTAATGCAGATGAAACCAATTATAATGAAGTGAAGCATGAGGCGGCTATAAATTCAACCGAAATAAAAACAAAAATGTATTTCCCAATACCAAGTATTTTAAAGATGGCAAAGGCAGATGCAGAAGCTCGTGTGGATTTTGTTTGATCCCTTCTGTAGTCAGGTGTGCTGTGTAGTGACAGAAGAACTCTTCACTTTTGTTGAATCAAAGGTAAAGACAGGTAACAGAGGAGCTGTTGTGTGGAACTTAACAATGTTTCTGCATCAAATAAAAGCCTGTCTAGGTACTTGGAAGAGATGTGTCAGGGAACTGCCATCGGTAGGAAGGGAGGTGAAAGGACTCAGACAGGTTGGAAGAGACTTAGCAGCTGAAGAGGAAACCAGCAGGGGGAGAGAAGCTGAACTGAGGGAGGTGAAAGGGCTCAGACAGGTTGGAAGAGACTTAGCAGCTGAAGAGGAAACCAGCAGGGGAGAGAAGCTGAACTGAGGAAAGGGAGCTGGGGGATGGCTCAGAGATACTTCCAGCGAAAACAGTGGTGAGGTTTCCGGACCTCCTGTAGCGACACCCACTCCTCGCCGGAAACTGTCACGCAGAGAGTCCAGAAGACGTGTTTCCGTTAAGGAGCTTTTATGTTGGAAGCGATTACGAAAGCAACCACTGTCGGAATCTTCTAGTGACTAAGAGGAGCCATGTCAGAGGGCTCAGTCACAGACAGAGGTTTGTGGACTTGAACAAACTCTGAGGGAATACGATTTTACGCACAAGCAGCTCATAATCCCATCACAGCATTCCGACAGTCTTTGAACGCAGCTTGTGCAGGAGAAGGCATAATGAGCAACCCAGCAGGAACCGGAGAAGCAGGGGCTGGAGCGGGTCCAAGCCTGGAAGAAAGGTACCGAGTGTTGGAGGTCCAGCTGGCGCTGCAGACGGCGAGGCTGGAGGAGAGGAGGGCTCAAGATGCAGACAAAGGGAGAAAGCCACCCAGCTCGCCAGAAAGGTACCAGGATTGGTGCAGAAATTTGGGGGGGGAGCCCAAAGACTATCATAGCTTTCGGACAGAAATGCAATATGCCCTCAATCTGCAGTTTGATGATTTCCCTGATGAGGAATCACGAGTGGCTTTTGTGATTGGGCATCTTGAAAGAGGGCGAGAGACTGGGTTAGACCCCTGATGGCAGCGCATAGTGACGTCCTAAAGGACACGATGAAGTTCTTTCGCGCCATGGATCTGATGTTTTCCAGCGATATTGAAAAGGGAGTGGTGCGCAGACAGTTAATGGCTTGCAAACAGGGGAGCCGATCTGTACGTGAGTACTGGACTGAGTTCACCATGCTGATACACAGATTGGGGTGGGACTTATCGGCGGAACCCATTCAAATGCTCTTTGAAGAAGGGCTTTCTTCGGCTGTGAAAGATGAACTTTCCCGGGCGCCCAGGGCGGAGTCTATGGACCAGCTGACCAAATCAGCGCTGGCCATAGGAGCGCGCCAGGAGGCGAGAGCATTGGAGAGGCGGGAAGGGAAAGGGGAACGTTGGAAGGAGTTCCGCATTCCAGACATTCCAGAGCCAACTGTCCCGCCGGCAGAGCCGATGGAAATCGGAACAGCGCGCGCGCGCAGTTTCAAAGCCCAGTGAGGGGAAAGAAGGATGGAAAAGGCGCCCGGAAATGCTATCTCTGCCAACAGCCAGGGCACTTTGCCAGAGTCTGCCCCCAGAGGAAGGAATGGCAAGGGATGGTGGGAGCTGTGGAGGGAAGAGAGGAAAAATACCGGAGCAACTAAAGCCAACGCCTGGCTGCCATTGTCGGGGCACAGCAGCCAGGCCAAAGAGCAGTGAAAGTGCCCACTCCAGAACCTCCTAAACCCGCCCTAGTGATAGAAGTGACACTAGAGCTCCCAAACGGACACCCTCTAAAGATAAAGGCGCTGTTGGACTCAGGCAGCTCCTGCAATTTCATGAGCAAAGAGTTTGCAGCTGAACACCAGATACAGACGCTCCCTTTAAGCAGCCCCCTGCAGGTAACCACGATCGATGGCAGGGAGCTGTTGGGAGGAGAAGTCAGCTTGCAGACCGTCCCAATGATAATGAAGGTGGCAAGGCACACTGAACTGATAGCTTTTAATGTGGCCACCTTGGGAGGAGCTCCCATTATATTGGGGATGAGCTGGCTAGCGTTACATGATCCGCTGGTGGGCTGGCATCAGAGAGTGGTTTCTTTTGGGTCAGCACATTGCTTAGAACATTGCAAAGAGGGAAAGGTTTTGGCAGGGGCCCAAGCCACCCTAGCAGGGACTGAAGTGAAGGAGAACGTGAAGGTACCACGACAATACGCAGATCTCCGTGACGTCTTCAGCGAAAGGAAGCTGACCAACTACCACCGCATAGAGCCTTTGACTGTCAAATCAATTTGCTCCCTGGGGCACAGCTCCCTGTGGGCAAGCTGTACGCCATGTCAGACAGAGAGATGCAGGAGCTAAGAGAGTTCATTGACAAGAACCTGAAGAGAGGGTTCATCAGAGAGTCCAGGGCGGTGGGGGCAGCCCAGTGTTTTTGTGGACAAAAAAACACGAACAAGCCGAGACTGGTGTGTGACTTCAGGGCCTTAAATGCAGTGTCAGAACCAGTGGCCTTCCCGATGCCCAGGATTGACGACATTTTGACAAGGGTGCGAAAGGGAAAGATTTTCACCAAGCTGGATCTAAGGGGGCGTACAACCTGATACGAATAAGGAAGGGGGATGAATGGAAAACCACCATGTTCACCCCTTTAGGGGCATTTGAATACTTAGTTATGCCCTTCGGTCTACAAGCAGGCTCCGCAACATTTCAATCGTTTATGAACCACGTCCTGGGGCCGTTGCTTTACAAGAATTGTGTGGCCTTCTTAGACGACGTGTTGGTGTATTCTGAGAATGAGGAGCAGCATGTGAGAGACGTCAGAGAAGTGTTGAGCAGGCTGCAAGCCAACCAGCTGTGGGTGAAACTGGAGAAGTGTCAGTTTCATACCAAGGAGGTGGAATTCCTGGGGTATCGCCTGTCTGACAAGGGGTTGGCCATGGATCCCGGCAAGGTCCAGGCGGTACTGGAATGGAAAACACCCAAAACAAGGAAGGATGTGCAGAGGTTGTGAGGGTTTGGGAACTTCTATCGTAAGTTCATCCCAAACTTTGCCCACCTGACGGCGCCCATTACGGACTGTCTCAGCAGTAAGAAGAAGTTCGTTTGGACGGAGGAGGCGGAGCAAGCATTTGAGGAACTAAAAGGGCCTTCGCCTCGGAACAACAGCTCCTGCATGTGGATTTACAAAAACCGATGAGAGTGGAAACTGACGCATCAGACAGAGCGGTTGGGGCGGTGCTTCTCCAGCCAGGGAAGGAGGAGTCAGAGTGGAGACCGTGTGCCTTTTTTCGCGAAAGCTGAACAAATCCGAGAGGAACTACACGGTGTATGACCGAGAACTACTAGCCATTCATGAGGCGTTCCGGAGATGGAGGCACCTGCTAATTGGCGCACAACATAAGGTGCAAGTGTGCACTGACCACAAGAACCTAGAGTATTGGAGGACGGCACGAGTGCTCAACCAGCGGCAAGTGAGATGGGCTCAGGAATTCTCCAAATTTAACTTTGAGATTTGTTACGTGCCAGGCCCAGAGAACATTAGGGCGGACGCTCTCTCATGCAAACCTGAATATTTGGAGGGGAGGAGCACCCGAAGAGAGACATGTCATTCCAGAGGACCGCTGGGTGTGTGGGGCGGCATTGGTGGGACAAAGAGAACTGGTAGAAGAAACAGAGAATGATGAATACGCCCAGAATAAGCTCAGAGGTCTTAGGGATGATGGAGAGGAATCAAGGGGTTTCGAGGAAAGAAATGGAGCTTTGTATTACAAAGGGGCACTGTATATCCCTGAAGGAGACTTAAGGGGAGGGTACTCAAGCAGTTGCATGACAGCCCTACGGCGGGCATTTTGGACAACACAAAACCATGTGGTTGGTCACCAGGGAATTTTGGTGGCCTAAGGTGAGGGAGGATGTACGTGAGTATGTAAGAGGGTGCGAGCAGTGCCAGCGAGCCAAGGGGAAAGGCGGGCGCCGGCGGGGCTATTAGAACCCTTACCAACACCAGAACGACCTTGGGAGGCAGTGTCGATAGATTTTATGACTGATCTGCCGAAGTCCAAAGGGAAAACAGCCATCATGGTGGTGGTAGACCTACTAACAAAGATGTGCCACTTTGTAGCTTGCTCGCATGCAGTCACGGCGGAAGAGACAGCAAAGTTATTTGTAGAACACATTTTTAGGTTGCACGGAGTGCCATTGAGGGTGGTCTCAGACCGAGGAAAACAATTTACTTCCAGGTTCTGGAGGAAGCTCATGAGCTTACTGCAGGTGGAGGTCAACTTTTCGACTGCCCGGCACCCTGAAACCAACGGGCAGGCGGAAAGAGCAAACGGTGTCCTCCAGCAATACCTGAGGTGTTATGTCAATGACAGAGAGAATGACTGGGTAGAAAAGTTGGCGCTGGCGGAATTTGCCTACAACAATGCCGAGAATGTGTCCACAGGGATGAGCCCCTTCTTGGCTAATTATGGGTGTCATCCCAGGGCTTTCCCAGGTGGAGAAGGGGAGAGATGGAGCGTACCGGCAGCCGAGCATTTTGTAGAAGAAATGGAAGCAATCCACCGTCAGCTCCAACTCAACTTAGAAAGGGCGAAGGAAGAATACAAGAGGCAGGCAGACAAGAACCGAAGGGAAGGTGAAACCATAAGGGTTGGAGAGAGGGTGTGGCTGTCAACCCGAGGGTTGCCGTTCAAAGGAGGTTGTAAGAAATTAAGACCCAGGAGGTTGGGTCCCTTTGAGGTCATTCAACAGGTCAACCCAGTGGCTTTCAGGCTCCGGTTACCCAACCACATGAAACTGCACCCAGTATTTCACAGGTCGTTACTGTCACCGTACGAGGGGGGACGAGAAGGGATGGCCACTCGGGGACCGGTCATAGAAGAAAGAGAATGCAGCAGTCATGTGGCAGAAATCCTTGATGCCAGGTGGAAGGGGAATCAGGTGGAGTATTTGGTAGCGTGGGAAGGAGAACCGGAGTCAGAAAACACGTGGGTAATGGCCAAAGATATCAATGACGAGGTATTGATAGAAATGTTCCATCAAAGGTTCCCACGGAAACCTCAGCCTGTGGAGAGGTTCCGGAGGGAATACTTTGGGACCACTGAGGAGGAGGAGGAGTTGGAAGGATTCCCAGAATCGGAAGGGGAAGGGTAGATGGACTCTGAGGAGGAGGAGTGCATCGAGACCAGGAACCACAACAGGTGGACAGAAGTGTTCGAGACATAGGAAGATGAAGGAAGTTCATTCCGGGTTTTGCCTCCTCACCGCCCGTAGAGGAGGGGCGAGTGGGGGTGAAGGGGGCCCTGGAGGGGAGGTGGATGTCAGGGAACTGCCATCGGTAGGAAGGGAGGTGAAAGGACTCAGACAGGTTGGAAGAGACTTAGCAGCTGAAGAGGAACCAGCAGGGAGAAGCTGAACTGAGGGAGGTGAAAGGGCTCAGACAGGTTGGAAGAGACTTAGCAGCTGAAGAAGGAACCAGCAGGGGAGAAGCTGAACTGAGGAAAGGAGCTGGAGGGATGGCTCAGAGATACTTCCAGCGAAAACAGTGGTGAGGTTTCCGGACCTCCTGTAGCGACACCCACTCCTCGCCGGAAACTGTCACGCAGAGAGTCCAGAAGACGTGTTTCCGTTAAGGAGCTTTTATGTTGGAAGCGATTACGAAAGCAACCACTGTCGGAATCTTCTAGTGACTAAGAGGAGCCATGTCAGAGGGGCTCAGTCACAGACAGAGGTTTGTGGACTTGAACAAACTCTGAGGGAATACGATTTTACGCACAAGCAGCTCATAATCCCATCACAAGATGGTTACACTTTCAATATATTCTATGAGTATTTGTAACACAACTTTCATTTCATTTTCATTTTTATCTTTACAAATGTAGTATTGTTTCTTTTGTTTCTCATTATATATGCAGTACTATTTCTTGTGGATACATTTGTGACATATTAAAGTGATAAAAGATTGGATATAAAAGCTCTATTTTTGTCCTCTATCTATCTGTGTAACTTCTTTCTATTGTATGATCTTGATTTTGATTGGATGATAGCGATGGAAATAATAATTCAATTTATAAATTCAGGCTGTTTAAGATGGGAATAGTGTTGTTTTGTGCTAGTTCCATGGGCAAGGATGTCTTTTATGTATTTGTATGAGCTAAAGCATAGATCCTATGGTAACAGGGTACAAACTTATTTGAAAGCCAAGGTGTTTTTTTAAAAAAAACACCCTTTCTTTTAATTAAAATTTTAAATAACTAATTGAGCACATTTTAAAGATGCATAAGGCAAATCCTTATTCATTGTCTCTCTGTTGATAATAATATTGGTCACAATGCGGAGTAACTGTGTACGTTTTAAACTAAAATAATAGTTATAGACATACAAGTCTTTTTTAAAAAAAAACCATATGCAGCAGAATCCTAAACTTGTTTACTAAGAAATAAAGCCACACTGAGGAGTTAATCCCTTGTTATTTACAACACAGGTCTATAGGTAAAGGTAAAGGGACCCCTGACCATTAGGTCCAGTCGTGACCAACTCTGGGGTTGCGGCGCTCATCTCGCTTTATTGGCCGAGGGAGCCGGCGTTTGTCCGCAGACAGCTTCCAGGTCATGTGGCCAGCATGACTAAGCCGCTCCTGGCGAACCAGAGCAGTGCATGGAAACGCCGTTTACCTTCCCGACGGAGTGGTACCTATTTATCTACTTGCACTTTTGACATGCTTTCGAACTGCTAAGTTGGCAGGAGCAGGGACCAAGCAATGGGAGCTCATCCTGTTGCGGGGATTCGAACCGCCGACCTTCTGATCACAAGTCCTAGGCTCTGTGGTTTAACCCACAGCGCCACCCATGTCCACACAGGTCTATAGACATGCTTAAATCAATGAGAGACTGCAGATAAGTTAAAACCAATGGATTCTGTAAAATACATATAAATAGATTGCACAGAAAGTTTTTCATCTAGGTAGATTTAAGCAGTTTTTGTTTAGGTAAAGCCAGGATAGTTCCATTCAGAGTTATGGCTGTGTTTCAGCAAGAAATGCCTGAAGGAAACATGTCCCAATACAGAAAGCAATTGAATAAATATAAAGGAAGCAACAGCATCACAGTCCTTGGAAGATTTGACAAAGTGAATCCCATTGTAAATGTGATTTGACAAATAGCCAATGATAGAGATGCCTAGACACAGAACCTGTGCCTGGGCACAGTAATAGGCTGCATGTGGGCCAATAAACTCAAATGGAATCTCAGAAAGATGTAAGCCCTGTGAGTAAATGGTTCGCAGGTCCAGGAAACTGGTCAACTGCCTGATCTGGAGGGGATCGCACTCCCTCTGGAGGATCAGGTCCTTAGTCTGGGGGTGCTCCTAGATCCTTCTCTGTCACCTGAGGCCCAGGTGACCTTGGTTCTTAGGAGTGCCTTTAACTAGCGTTGCTTCGTCTCCCAGCATTGACCCTTCCCATATATAGCTATAACTTGCCCACTGTGGTTTATATGCTGGTAGCCTTCAGGCTTTACAACTGCAATGCACAAAATTTAAACTCCAAATTTAAAATTTAAGCCCTGAGGCATCACTTTAACTAATCCACAAGTTTGGTCTGGCAAACAAGATAGTGCCATAGCTCTGCGTAGACACTGACTTGAACAGGAGGGTGCAGAAACTTCTTGGCTCCATGTAAAAGGAAACAGACCTTGGTCTAGTTCTGATGCCCAAGCACTAATAGATGGAAAATAATCAGTGTGGCCATATGCTGGTGAGGAAATCCAGACTTGTTGGCTTCCACCACTCCCTGTGATGCAGAACACAGAATTTCCACAGGCATTACCTTATCAATTTTCATTTGTATGAAAGTTCTCTTTAACGAAGAATAAAATACAGTCATACCTCGGGTTAAATATGCTTTGAGTTGAGCGCATTCGAGTTGCGCTCCTCGGCAAAACCCGGAAATAATGGAGCGTGTTACTTCTGGGTTTTGCCGCTTGCGCATGCACAGACGCTCAAAATGATGTCACACGCATGCGCAGAAGCGGCAAAAAGCGACGTGCGCATGCGCAGATGCACCGTCGCTAGTTACGTTTACCTCTAGATGCGAACAGGGCTCCGGAACGGACCCCGTTCGTATCTAGAGATACCACTGTAGTACAATTTCTTAGGCACTGGGGGATCTCTAGTCTAGCCACTAGAGATTGTTACAGATAGTTTGAGCAAGAGTGCCAGCTATGGATACAATTTTTCTTTCTCTTGCTGTTTGAAACATATACCTTGGGCTTTAACATGTTTCATGTACATCCTGAATGCAGTCTTTGAGGTACACCTTATCAACTACTGGGCCTTGGAGTCCCTGTGGTTGGAATGCTTAGATCAGGGTGAGGGAGAATTGGGTTCCAGTCCCTTTTCACTACAAAGTTCCCTGGGTGACACTGAGTAAGTTACATTCTTTCACAGGAAACTGTGTGGGGGAAACATGGCTCCCCCCAAATAAAAACCAGAGCCAGACATTACCCCCCTGTACAATTTCCTCTGAGAGTGATGGAATGTCATTGTGTGTGTCAAATTTTGGGCCCGCTCCCCCCCCCCCCGCCACATGTGACAAGGCAGTGTTCGGCTTACGGGTTCTGTGTCCAAGTACTCTTGCAGCCCACTTGGTATGAAAGGTTGGACCATGCTGGTGAAAATTCTAAGTTTATGCCATACTGTGACCCTAACTTTGCATGACAGCCACAAATTCCTCTGTAAAAGTCAGGCTTTGCCCCATGGGATGCATAAAACTGCAGTTTGGGGCCCATTTTAAGAGCAAAAGGACTGCATAGTGCTTTCAGTGCCCCTTCTCCCCACAGCTGATCTCCTAACAGTCTATTACCACAAATACTTTTCTGCCCTCCACATACACACTTGGGTTCCAGCTGTACCAGGGAACCATTACCCCTGCACCTCCACAATAGAATCATATTTGTTTTCTAACTAGTACAACTGGCTCAGTAATAAGAGAAAATTAGATAACTTGCAAGAATCCTGAAATGGCATTTGTATACAACATTGTAAAATGACTGTCACTTCACTGCGACCAAGGGCTTTGGAAGATAAGAAGCAGCACCTGCTGGGGCACAATGCATTCTAAGCTCTGTTTCCACTTTTCAGGTCCTTGGAAAAAAGCTGTGTGGACCTTATAGAAGTCAATAATATGAACCCCAAATTCCAGTCTCATCATGCCCACACTAGCCTTCAGATACCTCAGGCCACACCACTTACACCTCCATGGTTCAAGAGTGACATGGGGGAGAAACTGCTGTTATAGCCCAAAAGCAACTCCACAAGGCCTGATGTGGTAATCAGCAATTTTCCTTCTTTGTTACTTTGCCACACCTTTATGGAAAGAAAGGGAATGGCCAGTCTATGAATATGACTATTGCCCCATGGAATTTGGCTCTGACACTTCAGTCTCACCCCATCCCACTAAACTGAATGAAAGGAATGTTTGACTTCAGTAGCCTACCTTACAAATGTGCTTTGGAAATAATTTCCCTCTCTGCCCATGCCTCCTTAAGACAGCCTGTTCCATTGTTGTAATAATCAGGGCTATGCAGTGTTTGGAAAACTTTGTCTACCATTATGATGACTGATTTAATACTGTCAGTGAAGTTGGGCAAGTGTGTTGCCAGCAATCCCATCTGAAACACGATAAGCTTATCACTTCTGTTAAATTTCCCCACTTTGATCCACCTCTTTTGTGCACTTCCTCAAAGCTCTCCTCAGCAACTTTTTCTTGCAAAAGCTGAGGAAGCATTAGGTTATCATTTTCCAACTTTCCTACAAACAGATAAAATGCTTCTTTGGATGATAATTGTGTGGACCAACATGCAGTAGTTTTGTGATGTTAAGCAGAATATTCCAAGTGGTTGAAGAGAAAATGCACTTTCACATAATTGCACCACTCTGTGGAGGAGGTATAATGTTAACATTTCCCAGTAATCACAGGTTGAGTTAAAGAGCTTGTTGGAAGTCTGTGGTGGAATGCTCCAGACTGGACCTGAAATGGTGGGTTTTATTTATTGTATGAGCCTAACTAGGCATTTCATGCAGGTACTTTTAATAAGGAAATTGACTGTAGTTTGAGTTCATCACCATCATCGTCATTTTTTATTTGTATGCCACCTTTCCACAGTTACAAAAACAATGCTCAAGGCGGCTTACAGCATGACAAGATTTACATAATTACAAAAGTCATGAACAATAAATAAACCACATCAAAAAAATACACAGCCAAATGGGAAACAATTTCCACATAAATCAAAATCTAAAACTAAGAATATGGCATTAATATCACAGTTTAAAATGACATAGGTAAAAAAATAACAGCAATTTAAACAAAAACAAAACAAGACGGAGCCCTCTGCCCAGCAGCCGCAGTGGCAGCAGTCCTTTATAGAGCCCATCAGGCCCCGCCCTGGGCCAGGTGGTGAGTGGCAGGACTGGGGCCCTCAGGCGCTGAGCAGGGGAGTTAATAAGTTTATTGTTGTAGCCAAAGGCCAGGACAAACCTTTATTAGGCAATAGTATTAATAAAATAATACAGAACACACATCCATAATATAAAAATCAAGGTTGACTTTGCCAAGGTCCTGAGTATTAAAATACAGTTTCCCTTCTGCATCTCTGATAGTTCCAATTCAATATTTGTTAGCCTTTTAAAAATCAAATCTGCCAGCATCCATGATGTATGAAAGAAAAGTTACTAGAGACACCAGCAGACTCAAATCTGGCTTGATTTCGGATTAAAACTCCGAATCATCTCAACAATTTATTACAATTTTATTTAACTCCCCTTATTGTTATTTTTTGCAGCCAGTGCATAGAGGGCTACTATTATTATTGTCACTCAAAAGAACCTGAACCATTTTTGCCAGGGTGTGCCTACTTCTTTGTGTGAACAAAGATTTCAGAAAGTGATCTCTGGGTCTCTAACAGAAAATGAGTGATGTCTTCCATCTGAGGTTGATGACAAATACAAAGTCTGTCTGCATATGGGACTTTGTTGTAGAGCCATCCAAGACTGCAGTGGGCATCACTTGGAAGCACAGCTCAATAACTGCATTTCTAAAGGAAATTTGTGAGAGGTTGGTCAGATAACTAGCTCTGCAATGCTCTCTTCTTAAGAGTGAGTACCAAGGAGGAAAATTGGCGTCCCTTTTCTGAATTCTATCCAGAAGAGCCAATCCCTTACTTGACACTTATTCAAGATCAAAGCAGAGCTCAGTTCTGGAAATTAATAATAGTCTTACAGTTCTTAACAAACTGCTTTCCAGAGCTGCTTATCTTTCAATTCCATATAACACAGCACTCAATGGTATAGTGGCAATAGTAGCATAGTAGCAATTTTTGAAATATTTTAACTGAGCGCAGTTTACTCTTGCCTTAATTATTGGCCACCCAGATTCTGTACAAAGAAGAGCTGTTGATATTCCTGATGGTAGAGAGCATAGCTAATAATAATAATAATAATAATAATCTACACAGTTTCCAAAACATCAGTAGAGTTCACATCAGAGCACCTGATTTCAACACCATAGAGCATTTCAGTAAGCACCAAATATCTTTGCAGTACCCCTTCTATTACAATAAGATGTGTTGATTGTGTGTAGTTATTAATTGTAGAAGTTATCAAATAGGCCTGAGTTCTGTGACAATTTGCTGGTAGACATCAACAAGATTTGGATAATTGGAGTGTCATGTGCCTTCAGACCATTCTCTTGGCATTCTTCTATTTCTCTATGTTCTCTGGATACAAATTTAGTTACATACAATGGTCAACACTAGGGTTGCCATTTCAAAAAGTAAATTTCGAAGGAGACCATTGAAATGGTAGGGCTTTTTCTTTAACTTTACAAAATTCCCTTTGAGATGTCTTATTTAGACATTTGTTGTTGTTCATACATCTATGTCATGTTTTAGTGTTAAAAATACGGCTAATGTAACGTGATTTCTCAAGATGTGCTAGAGTCACACTACTTGATGATCTTTTCAGAAAGTTCATGCATTTTTTGAGGGTGTTTCCAAAAATCAAAATGCTGGAAGATGCATATAACACATAGAATTCTGTACTCTCCCAAAACCCTGTATTAATTTACACATATTATAACTGCCAATGATGGAATATGGATCCCTGATCCCTTTAGCTACAGTGGTGTTCTAATGCTCTATGGTTATTGTGTGAAACAAATCTTCTTCCAACACTTTTGCAAATGTTAAAAGATCCACCTTGTTACATAGCAGACTTTCCCAAACCATAATGATAAATATTTGTTTTTCTTAAAAGATCTTTTAAAATGTTTTGTGCATTTTCGTTTTTTTATATATTGCATTGTGTACTAGCAGTCTGGACACGGCAGTGTCAATACAAAGAACCTTTTTCATTCCTCTCTTCTCTTTTTTCCTTTCCTTTTTTTAAGTTAATGGCAAATGACTTATAGCCTTCTAGTGGAAAAGAAACAAATCATTTTTTGTCTCTTAGTTTCACTCTCACAACAGGGGCTCTTATGAATCTCCAGGGCTACTAGCGGCTGATTGAGCTTTCATTTCTTTTCTTGGGAAGTGCATGAAAGGTTTTAAGTCTTGACACAAACAGGAAAACAGAGTCCAAGCATTTGTCCTAAAGGCATGAAACCCTAAATAGTCACTGTGCAGTGATAGTCTATTTCCCTCAAGGACCAGCGATTCTCTTGTTGCTTATTCTTTCAAGACTAGAAGCACAAAGCTTTATTTTATCTCATTTTCAACACGCTTTGAAAATTCAGAATGCAAATGCTTGTTTAAGGAAGGCTCTATTGTCACTTGGTTATGGCAAAACTTGTTCTCTCTCACTCCCATCTTTAGTATATCTTCACTGAAACTTGGATCAGCTAAAGGTAAGATTTGCATATTTGTGAAGAGTCATTCTTTTCTTGTTTTATTTATGGGTTGAAAATCCTTGTTATATATTGAGAAGATATCTGCATGTATGTAATCATCTTGATGGGCAAAATGGTAAAAAAAATTTAGTACCACAATACAATGTTTACTGAAACTAAGTTAGTTGCATTTAATTCCCATTGAAATCGAAGGAACTTAAGCTATGGCTAAAATTTCACACTGATTTCAGTGTGACTTAAGTACAGTCTAATTAGTTTGGCTCAAACACACTTGTTATTCAAAACCCCTGACAGAAATTATGGTTAATTCAATAAATTTAATATATATCACAGTTATTGTAATTAAAGAAAGTTTTGAAGCTTAAACCTTAAAGTTATACATGAACGTTCTAAGAAACTAAGAAACCCTCCCCAGGATGTAAAATCCAAGAGATTAAAACTGCCTTGACTGTTCCTGCTCTTCTTATGTTAGATACAGAACAATATTATGTCAAATATAGTATATTAAAAGCACGCAACACATAAGATTTTAGCAGATGTAGCCTGTACTTGCACAGGAAGATGCTAAAAAATTCTGTTTAAATCTAGAATGAATGGATTGACCATAAATGACAGCCTTGCCTAACATGCATTTCAGTAGGAAGTGGGCTTTAAAAGCTACATTACAGTAAAAGCCAGGATAAACAATTTGGTAGGCTCATGGGAAGATAGCATTACAACCACTTATTGTGCTTATGTTCCTAGAGTGCTTGCAGAGAGAGACAGAGAGAAGCGAGAAAACCTTCGAAATATGGGAAATCATCCATAAAATATTTGCTCATAGAAGGGATTTATCAGTGCATAAGGGGAAACCTTGCAAAGTTAAAAGGATCCTAATTTTTAACAGCCTTTTTAGAGTAGAACATCTACATGCAGCTGATCAAATAACGCATCACAGGTGCTTGGTGCACCCATACTGTATCATCCTAAGAGGCAACCAATTCTGAACAGGAGGCATATTTTGAATTGATCAGTGGAGCATCAGCTATGTTGGATTTTCCCTTTGCCACAAACAAAGGGCTCTTGTTAACCCTTTCTTTGCAAGTATAGAGAGCAGCAGAGGTTCTGGAAGAGCTACCCCTTTGGGCAGCCTGGCAGTCTGTGCTTGCTTGCTTGCATCTTGGAAAATGAAGTAGTAGCTGAAGTGCACAAGGGAAGAATTCTGAGAGTTGCTGATTATATGAGAGGAGAAGGCTAAAGAATGCTTACAAACAGGGCTAATGTGGTTAAAGTGAGACTGAAAGTATACAGAACCTATACAAAAAAGGAAGGAGGACTCACTAGTAGAATCTGGTAATTACCAAACGCTTCAAATTCTGATTCTCTTTGTCATCACTTAAACCAGGGGTGAGCTATATCAGGCCCTGGGAACAATGCAGCTCTCTGAATCTCAGTGTTGGGGTCTCACAATAAGCCACACAATATCCCCAGGCCACAACCTCTTTCCCCAGGCTATATCCCCTGGAATGTGCCCTCGGACTGTGACAACTCTTCTTGCTTGGTGGGTGAAAAGGTTTGTATTGAAACCTTACTTTACATGGCTGGAATGTAGCTTACAGTACAAAGGCAAGAATGACATTCATTGGCCTGCCTTCCTTTTCCTTTAGTGCTACCCATTTTTGTCTCTGTCTCTACCCCGCTATCCTCCAGTGCATGTGACATGCACACATCAAAGGTTGCCCAGGAGCAACACCTGAACAGCTATATATACAGCCAATTAAATGCCACAGAGGGTTGTCGTATACATCTATTATTATTATTATTATTATCATTATTATTAATGTAACATTTTAAACATACACATTTTAAATCATTTTTAAACAATCCCTTTTAAAGTTTGAATCATCGGTAACCAAGTCTTTCCATAGTAGGCAAGGAGTACACTGACGATTTGTTGTGTACGTTTTTATAAATTCCGTTGGGAAGCACTTGGTTTGCAAAGCAATCTATATGTCTCAAAAATAAATCGAATAAATAAATTGAAGCTCAAGTTGTAGTTCTAACAAAAAAACCAGGAAGGTACATAATAACAACCAAATGGTTCTAGCTCTCTCCAGACAATTTTACAAGTTAATATGGCAAGCCAACCAGTGAACAATAACAATTTACTATGCTGTTTTATAAGCAATGTCTTGTATTTATTGCAGTTAATATCTGGATGTTCAGCGTAAGTAAATGTGAAACTAGCATTCCACTGGGCATCACATTTGGAATGATTTTTAGGATGTTGTATTGAATCACTTTTATCAGCCGTGACTTATTTGACAATGATTCTTCCTGGAAGAATTTGCTCCATGTGCTGCATATTTTGATATACTCCTGACTAGGCCACTGTAACACAATCCATGTGCAAATTTTAAAAAGAAAGAAAACATTGTTTGGAAGTTGCAACAGGGGCTGAATGGGGCAGCCATGTTAATGTATTGCAGTGTTAGTCACATAGAGCATAAAACATGGATCCTCTGTGAGCTCCAGTGACTACTAGCTTGCACCAGTTCAAAGTGCTAGTGCTTCCCTTTATGAACCAGGTCCACTTGAGGGAATGATTTCCTGTAAGTTTTTTGACTGGTTGATTTTCTGTCACATTAGTGTGATGAGGGTTTTTTTGTGGGTGTTGAACAAATTATGGAAGCAACTGCACATTAAGGTTTGTTATATTGCTCGGCTTTAAAGACAAGCTTTTCATGGTTGATGTCTAATTGCTCTACTCTATATATTTTCTGATGCTTTTAAGCTTTCTTCTTGTTCTCTGCCTTGAGAACTGTTATACCAAAATGTGGGCTATACATTTTCTAAGTAAATAATTGGATTATACCTCCCTTGCCTTTAGATCTGAAGGTGGTTACTTATACCCAGTGCTTTTTTTCTGGGGGCAGGCAGGGGTATGCATACCCCTAAACATTTTGTGAATCTAAGTTTGGCCTCATTGAGGGGCACTATTTCAATATGAGTAGGAAAATGAGAGCACCCCTAAACATTTTTTAGAAAAAAAGCACTGCTTATAACTGATATGCAAGGTTTGCCAGACACACATTTTGAATAATGCATTGTCAATTGCTCATACAATGTTGTTTACTCTTTCATGGAACTGAAACAAGGAGAAAAATACCTTGAGTAGCAATAAGGCTTTACTCTACTGCCCATGGTTTCCTAAAACATATTGTCAGCATTAGATTGGAGATAAGCGTGTTTCACTCATGTCTCCTGCACCTGTTCAAGGGATTAATCACAAAGTTAGTACATTGCCTTGTGCAACACAAGAAGCCATGTGGCTATTCAAAACATTCATGTTGTGTTTGATTCAGAAGTAGTCATTTAAGAACGAAGAAGAAGAAGAGGAGGAAATAAACCAGTATAAATGACATCTGGCTTTTTCTTCCCTTCCTTCTTTGCTTGTTGAATTATTTAAACTTCTCCCAATTTCCAGGTTTCTTAAGTTTGCAGTAGCAACTGTATCTTGTACTTGTTATAAATAATTTGTATAGCAGCATGTGAGTTGCTGGCAAAGCCCTGCTCAAAGCCACCCTGCCGATTCAGCTGCTGTTTTTTTACTCTTGTTTGATTTCAGTGATGCTACAGGCTGTACAGTGCAGACTGCAGCCTTGGCAAAAATGGGAAATAGTACAAAGTGTTTGCTAGAGATATTAGTACCTCCTCAGACACCACTAGAAGTCCTTGAATACAAAGAATTAGATGTATCCCAATTTTTCGGCAAGTGTGATATGATCCATCTTCTCATGTGGCAACTTCAATGTATGCATCCAAACCCTTATCCTATTCCAGTTCTTAATCACAGAGCTGCATGGTCTAGTTGTATTTCAATACTGTTCAGGGTTTATTTTTATTTTTAAAAAAATAATATTTATTAATAGTTTCAGAATTATAGGAAAAAAATAAAAAAATAAAAAACAACACTACACTACAATACATAAAAAAGAAGAAAAAATGCAAAAACCAATACAACAATACAGCAAGAAGATAAAAAAAAGAAAAAAAGGAAGAAAAAAAGACACAAATCCCAAATTACAAATCTTTAACTTCCATTTGCTTGTTTCATTGACCTCCTCACACCTCCCTTTTTGTATTCTAGTTTAATTAGTTATTTCAGCAAATTCTTTCCATCTTTCTCAATTTTTGTTAAATAATTTATCTTAACAATTTAACCTAATAATTAGCTCAACAAATCCTTTCCATCTTTCCCCATATTCTGTTATTCAAATTACCTTAATTTATTTAACCTTATCTTACCATAAAATACCTTAAAGCTTGAATCTTAATACTCAAATATACATAACTCCTAATATCATTTCTGCTAGAGTCATATAGTTTCATTCCAACATTTTCCCTAATATTCATTGATTTTAGGCTAATTCCCTAAATAAAAAATTTTCTTTATAAATTTTCTTCCAATCTTCATCCAACGTCTCTTCTTCCTGGCCTCGGGTCGTGTCAGTCCTTACTGTCCATTCCATCTGGTCCATCAACCTGGAAGTCTTATGTCCGAGGCCCTTAAGTCTCTTCCATGTCCCTTCTGCAGATCTTCTTCTTCTTGTTTATACTTGCCCTTTTCCTTGTCTTTTGTTGGTCTCTTTCTTAATTTCTTTCCTTTCTCATTGAGGAGTAGGTCTCTGGGGGATTCCAACCCAAAATTGTCTCCATCTCCCTTCATCAAACCCGCCCATTCCCCACAGTCATCAATGTATTCCAAAAAGTATTTATAAGCATATTTCAAGGTCTCTCGAAAGTTAGGAACCTCCTCAGCTCCAGACTGCCCCTGGCCCCCTCCAACTTCAATCTTCAATGACAGTGGCTTATACTCCTGTAGGGCCTCGGGTCTCTCCATTTGTATTATTTGAGGTGCAACCACATCCTCCTCCATTATCTTCTGCACTTGCCCAGTCAGTACAGGTTCATGAGTTGGTCCCTGAATGGTTTCTGTATCAATGTTCCCTGTTTGTCCACAGTTATTAACCACAACAGTCATCAAGTCCATTTTCTCATTCATCAAATCCATCTTCTCGTGCATCTGTTCCAGCAAGGCACTTGTCTTGCATAAAGCAAGCACCCAATCTTCCTCCCAGCTCATCTTTAGTCAAGGTCAGAAAAGACTGGTCCCACGATCTTAATCTCACAGCTGTTGAGTCCTCAAGTATACTGCAGCAACAATTTAACAAGCTCCCTCTAGAGGAGACAATTTCTATTTGTATCCATTTTTTTTTTTAAGGCAAGTCCAACAAAGGAAAATTACTTTCATTTTTCAGATATTTTTCAGATATTTTGTTTCTTTAGAATGCAAAAGGCAACATTGGAATCAGTTTATTTCTCTTCTTTAGCTATCTGTCAAAGTATTCCATTCACAGTCAATGAACCTCTCCAACTATTTCTGTCTCTGACACCCCGTTCCCAGGTTAGAGACGGTGGAAACTTATCCTTCTTCACTCCCTCTCCTGCAGGGGTTAAACAAAGTCCCCCCCCCCTTTTCTCCTGCTTCCAAGGGGGTTTCAGTGATTCTAAATGAAGGAAATTTAGACCTTTTTAACAGCTTTCCAGGCTTTAGCTTACAAAGTTTTTGCTTTAGTCTATATACAAAAAGCGGAAGGCGGACTTCCTGTTTTGAACCTTCCCGCTTCGATGCCAAATTAAGATATTTCTTGATCCAATTTTCCGTTTCTACTCACGGGTACTTGTTTTAAATCCAATTGTCCACAGGAAAAAGTCAGCGCTCTCCGGCAATGGCTGTGCGGCTTCACTCCGTGAAAATAGCAATCAGTTCGCACCGCGCCGCTCACCCCACTTCGCTCCGGCGCCCCAAAATGGGGTTCCCAGTGAGTGGGGGGGCACTCCTGGTGCCCTGCCGAACCCCACGTTCCCAGGCTTCCTCCACCTGGGATTTCTAGCGGGTCCCCACCTTCGCCGCGGTGGGAAAACCCAGTTTCCACGGAGCCCGTTCCTCCGGTCGGAGGAACTCCGCCATTCACCGATGGCGCTGACCCGGAAGTCCAATACTGTTCAGGGTTTAAGTCCACCAATTTATCCATCTGTAAGCTTTTAGTACTAATTTTAATTTAGTCTTGGTTCAGATAGTAGTGTTTACTCTTCTTCCCTGCTCTCTCTTTGGGTATATATTATACACTTGTGTATTTTAGTATACTCTGAGACGTAGAATATTCCAGTATATCATAGCAACATAAAGTAATATAAGTACTAGGGGTGCAAGTCGGATTAATCTAAAAGCCTTTAATTGACAAAAAGTTGGGCCCTGATTACCGTATTTTCCGCCCTATAGGGCGCACCGGCCCATAGGACGCACCTCGTTTTTGGGGGGGGAAATGAATAAAAAAAAATTATTCCCCCCCCAGCCGCGGCTGCAGCCCCAAGCCTTGCGCACACCTGCCCGAAGCACGGGGCGCCCTCCGGAGGGCTCCCCGTGCTTCGGGCTGCAGGCTGCCGCCCCAAGCCTCGCACGCCCAGCGGGACCTCCCGCCGGGCGCGCAAGGCTTGCGGACACTTCAGGAAGCTGCCCGCAAGCCTTGTGAGCCCGCGGGAACTCCCGCCGGGCTTGCAAGGCTTGCGGATAGCTTCCTGAAGCCTGGAGAGCTAGAGGCATCGGTGCGCACTGACCCCTCTCACTCTCCAGGCTTCAGCGAAAGCCTGCATTCGCCCCATAGGACGCACACACATTTCCCCTTCATTTTTGGAGGGGGAAAAGTGCGTCCTATGGGGCGAAAAATACGGTAGTATTATGTGCAACCTGTAACAGTGCCGGTTCTGCATGTCAAAACAGTCAATGGGGATATAAGGAACGTGAGGAATAAGGGGAAGTATGCACCCCCCCAAACAGTTGGCCATATGCAAATTAATACAGATTTGATTGACCAAGCAATTAAAACACAAACGGTGGGTGACCTATGAGTATCCCTTATAACACGCCACCAGGTCAGTTGTCTACCTATCACTATGTAGGAATCTGGGGCTGCTGAAAATACCATGAAAAGTGCCAAGAAGGCAGATGATGATGTACAATATCTGCATTTTCTCCTACACTACTCCCTACCTGCTGTAAGGCAAAACTTTCTGAATCACACAACAACAACAAAGATTGGATGAAGAGACCACAGAGAAACAGAGCAAGAGAAGTTGAGGCTGCACTCAGCTTCCCTGCTCTGGGAGAGATGTAAAATATATGTTTTGGTTGCTAGCTGGCAACTACCAGTTGCATTCACACACCAAATTGTCCATTCCTTGGTATGTTTGGGTAGTGCATCATCTGTGACCACTGTGATCACTGAATTGTGGGGTAGTGGTTGTTTCATATTCTGTGTCCAAGACTTCTTTGGATTTCATACAAGAGTGATTAGTGAAACATTAACATGTCAGAAGCAGCAACAGTTTTCAAGCAATGCTGAAGCAGAAATGAGATTTTCAAGCCTGAAACTAATGTAACATCATATTCTAAGTTTCTCAATCTCTTAAAAATGCAACCTGTGAATGATTTCTAAGTTGATGAAAGGAAGAACTGAGGCAGGTGAGCTCTGATGTAGAACAACATTGGGCTTTTTTGTTGTACAGTGTTTATCTTCTAATATAACGGCTTTGAAACAATGCACTCCTAATTTTCCATTTCCTCATTTTTGTGTACATGAGCACATGTGCCCACTGCTCCGGCTTGCGTCCCAGAGAGGCAGGGTGAACATAATGGGTGTAAAGCAAGATTCATCACTTGTGGATGAAACGGCGCTCCTCGCTTATCCTGGCTGCTCATCAAGATAGCTTTTCTCAGAGACATTAGGCTTTACTTTCTGCAGCAATAAAGCTGCCAATAAAGCAAAATTAAGGCAACAGCTATAACAAACTCCAAGGAAATTACCAGGTAGCCATACAAGTACAGAGTTTTACTAGATGTCCATATTTACTGTAAATTATTCAGTTTAATTTGTAGAAAGAGCCATCATTCAGTGATAGAGAATGTGCTATGCAGATCAACTCCCTGGTGTCTTCAGGATCTTTGGTAGAATTTTCTGCTTGAAATGTGAGTTGTTACAAGCTGCATGATACAGTTCTGAGCATTTATAATGCAGATGGACTATAACACAATAGTTGTGCATATGCTTTGTATGCAGAAGTTCCCCGTTTCAATTCCTGGCTTCTCTGGGTAGAAGGTGAGTTAGCAAATGATAGGAGAGGCCTCTGCTAGAGAGTCTCTGTGAATCAGCAGTAGCCAATGTTGGCTTAGATGACATGACTCAGTATGTGGCAGATCTATTGGTTAATATGCTGACTGAATAGATAATGCTGTAGGGCTTTTGTGAGTCAACTAAGCAGGCCTGGTTACAGATTAAAGACCCTACTTCCTTTATGCTAACTGCTTTGGGGCAAACATTCATGATTACTGGAGCTTCCTATCCATGTAATGATATACAATTGATTCTAAAGTTACAGTAAATGTAAAAAAGTATTGCATGTCATCTTTAAATTACGCCCTTTCAGTATTTACCCAGACTAATTATTCTGCTTCATACTCAGTGCCTGAACATAATGATCCACTGCTATCCAAATAAGAACCCTCTCTATAGACGAGGATTAAAGATGTCTGTTAACTACAATGTGGTTCTGTTGCTGCTCTTCTGTTCTATGGATTCTTCACTATGCATCACTTAATTGAATGGAAAGCACAGTCATTCTGCTATCATTACTCAGCCTCTGATTAGGTGTCACTAAACTAGCTCTTTGTGTAGTATGATTTATTTAGCCTTGGAGTACATGAATGTAACTGCTAATTAGATTGATAAAGCCTATACAACAATCAATGTGTCTGATCGACTTTTAAATGTTGCACCAGTATTATGCAGAGACATGGTAAAAATCTATGTGTATCAGCAAGGAAAATAACTAATCCCTGTTTTATTCCATTACTAATGGAAACATAATGGTCCATGAAGCTCATGATCTTTCTTTGCCAACAAAAGATTTCCCAGGGAGCTTTTCTTTTGCAATTTTTTTCTGGGATGAAGTTAATCTAAGACCAGGATGCATTGGAACCATTTTATGCAATAAACACTTGGCAAATGGCAACTCCATGGTGGTGTTTGTTTTACACTGGGGAGAGTTCTCAACCCCACCAATCATCCAACCCAGACAGCATCATTCTATATATTTCCCACATATTTTATTGAACGCATCTGGCTTAAAATTGAACCCCACGGATCTCATGTTGAGCTGTTCAAACTGATTTTGGCTATGTGATCAACTTCACAGCAGTTGGAAGGTAGGTCAGGTCAATGGCATAAGCCAAACATTTTGAATTAATAGACTAATGATAAATTCCAGGTTAGCTGAATTGCAACAGTTTCACTTTCTTATACAGCAAGCCCAAAACTTATACAGAGGTTATGTTCTGGGGGTGGTGTGGTGCCTAAAGCCAAAATCGCGTACTGTATGGGGTTCAATGGCTGGTGAGATTGTCAAAGTCATTTTTCTTTTCTGTCCCCTTTAAAAAAAATTCTCTTCGTTTCTTTGCACATAAAACTGAACACACACACACATTAAATCTGAAGCTCAGTGACACAGGTTGCTTACTATCACAGTTCCATTTTGCTGTCACAATGCTGTCACATGTTAATGTGTTTCACATGTTTAACTTTCTTCATGCAAAAATAAAAATCAGAGTAAAAGTGAAGCTGCCCTAGGCTGTTTTCTGAAAAAAATATTAACTAGAAATAATCTTTATTTCAGTCAATAGGACACCTCCTTATAAAATGGTTTTAGAGTCATGCCACTATTAGTAATGAGTATGTGTCTGGCTTTCACCTATTATTTTGAGCAAATTGCAAATACTTCTGCAATTTAGAGATTACTGATGTGTTTTATATTTTAAATTTGTGTTGAGTAGCTGCGATTTTGCCTGTGAGTATGTTACATAGATTTGTTTAATGTTGTTGGTTATTTTAGATTTTGCAAGCATTACACAATCTGTTCTGTGTTTGTTATATGGTTGGTAGAACACCCTGTTGCTGGGACTATAAACTCTTTCTGCCTAATATGGGAGTGTGCATCACCAATTGGGGCTAACTGAAGTGATGAAGGTGTGAGGTGTGGGGATGGCAAGGTTCATGGTCAGTATTCTCCCTCTAGGAGGCTGGAAACATTTTAATTCCTTCACAGTGACTGACAGAGAATGTAATCCAAGCAGGCCATATTATGCTTATAGCTGTCAACTTTTCTGTTTTCTTGCGAGGAATCCTATTCAGAATAAGGGAATTTCCCTTTAAAAAAGGGAAACGTTGACAGCCAAGATTATGCTCCTTATTCTCTTTAGCCATCAGCTAAAGTCAGGCTGGCCACATGACCCAGAAAAACCGTCTGCGGACAAACGTCGACTCCCTCGGCCAGTAAAGCGAGATGAGCGCCGCAACCCCAGAGTCGTTCGCGACTGGACTTAACTGTCAGGGGTCCTTTACCTTTACCTTTTTAAAGGTTGAAAAAAACCTCTTCCAACCTATGGGCGGAAATTAAGCAGATATTGATTTCATGCTATGTGTAGCCAAACAACAAACAAGCAGGAAGACAGCTTTCTGCTTAAAGCTGAAGCTTCCTAGTTGATGGTTTGACAAACTATAAGCAGCTATGAGAGGCTTCAGATTCAGCCAGCATAAGCGCTCAGCTGGTTTGAGGAAGTTACATGCTTCCTGCTGAACTGGGGTTGAGAATGTAAGAATGGCATAGCCATGGCTAAGCCGGGGGAGCCCCAGATCCACCTACTCCACCCACTTATTCCAGCAGATTTTAGATTTGAATTGTGCTGTTAAGTCTTTGCAAATACACTCACAACTTGACTAGTAAGATTCTTTTTTTAATTCTTTAATCTGTGTCTTTCTACAGGAAATCTCTTCCTCGATGCCAAAGAATTAACAGAATGCTGTCCAATGAATCCTTGCGGCCTCCAGTGTACAGCCGCTCCAATTCTCAAGCCTCTGTTGACAGCACTTCGATGGAAGATTTCTGGTGTGAGGTAGAAAATATCAAAGAGAACACAGAAGATAGGCAAGATGAGCAAACCCTATTAGATGTCAAGGCTCCGGATGGTGTGTATAGACACTTCAAATACATCCTTACATGCGCTTGCCTTACATTGTGCTGGCAAAATGGGACTTCACCCCCTCTCCACCTGCGCCATCCCCAGATCTGCATCAGAGAGGCAGGAGAGTGCCCAAAATGGCATGCAGGAGGAGGCGAGGGGTGATGCACAAGAACTGCTTGTGCTGATGGAATGATGTCCTTAGCACATTAAATACAACCCATTACATCTGCTTTAAAATTGCAAATTCTTTGAAAAACTCCCTGTTTTACATAAATAACTGGGTACAATATATAAGTAGTAAATTTCACAGCTTTCTGGACTGCACGTTATATGTGTATAAAATATAGGTGTAGTAATTTAAGAAAAATGCAGGTGTTCAATGAGTGGTGCATGTATTGGGCACAATCCACCTGTGACAGTATAGGCCACAGTCTGTGCCATAAGAGAGGAGGGAGGGAGGCAAACACCAGGTAGCTCAGTCCCATCCTTCACCATTGCAACCACATGGATATATTTCCCCCCCCAAAAAAAAAAAAAATCTTGATCTGCTAAACATTCCTTTGACATCTGGAACATTTCTAACTAATCTCACATTCTCTCTCTATTGTGGGTAGACTGGTTAGGTAATAAATTAATTAAACGTGGTGTGAATAAGACCTCATACAAACTCAGATTTTTGTAGTTAACAGTTTTTTGAAAATATGTTCTTTTTTAAAAAGAAAACTTAAAAGTTTTAAATATCTTCTCTATAGTCATACAAGTTGTGGAATTTTATAAAGCTGCCCTATAATTCATCAAAGGCTGCACCTTAATCGGCTCACTCGTGTTTTTAAACAGTAACATCTTTAAAATCTTGGCAACTGTCCAGCCAGCATTAAGGTCATCTTTTCAGTCCCTCTGATTTCAAGTGGAGTAAATTCCCTGGAGCTAAGCAACTTTTTAACTCTCCCACTGAAATCAGCGAAGCAGGCAGAATGACCCAAAATGTGTTCATTTCTGAGTACTCCCACATAGGTCAGTAGGACTTACTTCCTAGCAAGTCTGCTTAGCGTTGCAGGTTTTAAAGTGCTTAACGTTGCCTAGATTATGCCCAGGCTCTCTAAATGTATCCCAAACAGAGATCCTTTATATATTGTATTTTTTAAAAAAGTATGTGAAAGTGCCATTGAGGCGACCTGGAGGTTAAATATCAGCTTGGAGACAGGAGAATGAGTTATTAGTCCTGTTTGTGGTCTTCCAAACAGTTTCAGAAGACGCATACAGTTTCATTGGCCTCAGGGGCCGAATCAATGAGTTGGTCATGCTGCTATACTGAGATTGTGTTGATAAAGATTACGAGGAAGCAATCTCTCAGGCTGGGAGAGGGAAAACTTCACTTTCTTGGAGCAGATGGCAATTTAATTTTCTATGTCTGTGTCTGCAAGACTAGTCCAACATTTTCTGAGAGGCTTAAGAATTGGCTGGAATATGATTTTCTAATTTCCTTTTTTAATGTCTGTCACTTCTCTACTTTCCCCCCAATAAAACTGTGGGTTCTGCTCAGCTAAATCATTGTTTATGTGGAAAGAGTTTCATGTGCACAATGGAATGTCCACCACCCTCTTTCCCCATACATCCTCCACTCCCCACTCCCCCAGTGATCTTAACACTCTCTGCTTGCCTACGCTTTCAAGGCTTCCATTGCCTGTTGGGGCCCAGCTCCCCATTTGAGGATCAACTGCCGCATGCAGATTTTAGGCCAGATGTTCCAAGGAGCAGAACTTATTAAGGACTTTTGTGCTGCTGCTGCTGCTGCTACTGCTTCCCTTTCCCACTCCTTATTGCCATATTAACACATGCCTACTCTTCCACAGAAGGGCAGCTGGAAGCTGAATGGTTGCAAGATGTCGGTCTGTCTACATTAATATCAGGCTCTGAAGAGGAAGATGGAGAAGCACTGCTGTCCACGCTGACCCGCACTCAAGCAGCGGCAGTGCAAAGGAGATATAACACCTATACTCAAACCATGAGAAAGAAGAATAAACACGCAGTCAGAGATGTGCGTGATATTTTTGGTATTCATGACACTCCTGTAAGTAGTATGTTTATTACTTCGGAAATTGTTGGAACTTTCCTTTATTAAGGATAAGGGTTTGGTTTAAAGGGCCTTTGGGCATACTAGTGTGCACCTAAATGTTGAGGAAATGCACTGAAAACACACCTTGAATTTTCCAACCTGCAAGTTAAGCAAATGTGCATTTTTCCAGGAAAAAGTGCTGCATCAGTTTGCTTAGCTTTGTATAACCTGTCTCTATTTAAGAGCCTATACATTAGAAGACTATATAAAGATGGTAATTAGTAGCAGAAACAAAAATATTCTGATAATCCTGAATGTGCAGCAGAGGCAAACTTCTTTCCACCTGCCCTTGTGATATGGATTCATCTGAGGAACTGATGCATTGCATCTGTAATTCTGCCAATTTCTCCCCTCTTTTTTTTTATATGGTGCTTAGTGCATACCAGACCCCAGACACTCATGCATCTCTCTCACATGCACACCACAGACCACCTGTCCCTTTCAAAACAGACCACCTATACCTCCCTCCCACCGCCTTCTCTCCCCTCTCTTTCACACTCACACACATATATATCTTCCTTCCTCTGCCCACGTGCATCTCTGCCTCATCCAGACCACACTTACACCCGGCCCCCGTTCTCTCTGCCCAAGTGCATTCATCTCAGTTACACATACAGAGTGTACTTGAGCACTTCCTACACACTTTCATAGGTGAAGGAAGTGCATGTCATAAAAAATAATAATAATCAGCTGCCACCACCACCCAGGTGCCCATTAGGTGCTGATATCTATAATAACGCATCCCTTAAAAATTAAATCATAGAACAAAGATAAAACTCGACACAAACTTCATATTGCATCTTTGTATTAATAATTCCTATGCTTTCTTGTCCTCAGCCCACATTCGAGGCCATACCAGTGTCACCTGTTGCAACCAATGGTATCCAACTTCCTGCACAGAAACCAGGTTGGGAAAAGGTTAACTGTAAGTACACACTAAACAAACATGGGGATTCTTGGTCCATGGTAGCATTGCCTTATTTTATAGGCTATTATCTATTCATAATTATCTCTGAGCAAGCCCTACCGAACTCACTGGGACTTCTGGTTTGAAACCCACTGCCAGTGTACTAAATGAGCAAAATATTTGTGCTTTTATTAGGTACTGCCATTGGAAAAGTGCTTACGGACTAATCCCAGTTAATATAGGTTGTGTTCGTAAATGACAAAGGGCACAATCCGGCTAAAATGAAGCACTTTTAAGTTCCATTATTTCAGTGTTGGGGAGAAAAGCACATGCAGCTTTCTGATAACAGCACAGCTTCCATCTTTTCTCCACTCCTTTTCCTCATCTCTTCCTCTCTAGGTCAGGGGTAGCCAGTGTGATGCCCTTCATATGTTCTGCTCTATAATTCCCATTGCATATGGCTGTGGCTGGTTGAAATTGTAGTTCAGCAACAACTGGAGAAAACTACTTTGGCTACCGCTGCTCTAGCCAAGCCATTTCAGGTCCCTGGATGCTGCACTGCTAATGCTGTTAACACCAAGTCAAGAAATGGGGTTATCTTGCTCCATCGCTCAGTGGTAGCAATAGCAGGAGCAGCATTCTTCTGGGTACTCTGCCGGTAATGCACAAAGAATTATCTAGGTTTCACCTAATGGAGCTGGTGTGCTGAATGCTCTAGCCCATGCTTCGCAGGAGGGATGCACAGAATTGCATTTCTTGGAATTCCCTTACCCAAGTGTTGCTTTCATCGCTAATGCCATAGCAATAAGCCATTAAGTGCCTCACCATTTCTTCATTGTCAGATGCTGTGTCTGTATCAGAAACTCAGTAAAGAATGGAAAGGAGATTTCAGTTACAAATATATGCAAGGCTTATGTGAATCTGCAAATGGCCTCCATCTATAGTTAGCCTTCACTGTAGGCAAACACTGATGGTTTAAAACAAGAGTGAGGAAGCTGTGGCTGTCCCAGATGTTGCTGGACTACAACACCCTCATCTCTAACCAATGGCTATGCTGGCTGGGACTGATGGGAGTTGGAGTCCAGCAACAATGGAGAGCTAACTGTTTCCCACCCCAGTTTAAAGATCTTCTGACTGGAATGATTGCTGCTTTCTCAGTGGCTAGCAGTTTCTTTCTCTGTTACTCCTCCACAGAGAACACAGTATTCATTAAAAATATCTCTTAATTTTAGCTGGTAGCTGCCTAGAATGTGAATTTGAGAAAGACAGTCAGTTGGTGAAAGAAGAGCTGTCTTTTGACGTCTCCTTCTCTGAATCAATTGTGGTTATTCCAAAGCACAGAGAATGGCACAAAAACCAAAGATTAAGAAAGGATGAATCTTCCTTGCCTGTAAGTTGAAGCTCTTCCTATTTTGACATTATTTAATCCTTCAGTTGGTTTCTGCTTTCTACTACAATGGCTATCTTAAAAAAAGATTACAGTACCTTGTGTGTCTTTTTGTTGGGGTTGTGGGAGGGAGCAGACCTTGTTTTAAATGTTATGGTTGTGACAGTTTTATCTGTGGTATTTATCTTGTTAAGTTGCTTTGAGACTTCTTATTTTGTATAAAGTGACTTACAACTATAAACAACAACAACAACAACAACAACAACGATGATAATAATAAGAATAATAATAATGTTTGTTGGGTAGCTGCTGGAATACTGGGGATGGTTACTGGGTGAGTAACAAGTTGCATAGATGAAGCTACCAAAATTGCCCACCTTGGGACTTGCCTTGTTTTGGACGACTCACAATATTTTCATGTTGGAACAAAAGAAGCATTGCCCCTGACAGAAGTATGCCTCAGTAGCAAATTACAAAAGACAAGAGATAATCTGTTCATTTACTTCTTCCTTGAGTCCACTTCATCACCTCCTTTTCTTTTTGTTAAAAAGAAATGCCTAATAAAGTCAAAGCATTGTTCATGGATCAATTTTAACATCAGTAAAGCTGGATCAAAATCAAAGTATGCCCTGAAGAATGGGTGCTGCCTCAAGAATTCATCCATTCATTCCATTTCTCTACCACTTTATATTATTGCGGGGGGGGGGACTCAATGCGGTTTACAACCTACATTAAAACATCAAATAAAACATTACAGAAGAAAATCAAATATTTAAAAAATGCATTCAGAGCAACATAATTGACAGGAAACTATTATCTTAAAATATTTCAAAATGAGACATTACAAAGGAAGGTCAAGTATATAATACACATTTAATGACAAAGTGGCAAAATTGTGAGGGAAATCCCATAATATAAAAAACATGAACAAATAGCTTTTTCCCCCTTACTGTTAAACAAAATTTTAAAAGGATGAATGCCATAATTCATTGCCCTGCCAAGCTGTGTAGCTGGACCACTATAGCTCTCTCCTAATATTTTCAAAATAGAGTTTCATTTATGTAAATAATGCATGAATTCAGTTCTCAGTGGGTTTCTTTGCCCTTCAACATTAAAGTAATTTATTGTAATTGAATAATGCAGGCAAGATGGCCTGTGTTCAGACATTCTTGATCTTAGTCCTGTACCAAAGCCATTAGACTTCCACCCCTCAGCTTTCCCTGGGGAAACCTGTATTTGTATTCATACCAAATTACTTCAGAGGTTCTCATAAGATGGGGAAAGGCAGAAACTGCCCTTCCACACATGTAGCCTATTATCTGTAGACTTTTGTAACTGGTTGGATGTCCTCTTATCAATCTGTGGAAGTAAAATATCAGATGATTTCTAAAACCACAAACCATACATATGAATGTAGGGTCCAAAGAAGTATGGAGCTTTCTGTAAGCTCTCTGCTTGAACACTTTGCAATACTACAGGGTGTGCTTCTGCCCTTGCCTATAAAGTTAATGTAGAATCCATTCTGCCACCCTCTGCCAACCTGGTACCCTCCAGAAGTTTTTTTACTACAATTCCTGGCAACCCATTTGTGCCAAAACACCTGGAAGCCCCAAGCTGCCAAGCTGCCATGGTAAAACTGTAACAGTATTTCCCCCCGATGCTGTATGTGAATGCATGTTGTCTTTATAAAGTGGGAGATATTTAGCCCAATATTTGGAAGGAAAGCCCACTATGTTTAATGGGGTTTACACCAAAACATGTTTCATAGGATTACAGCTTTGATGGCATAATTACATTCTTAAGTCATAACTTAAGATTTCAGTAGTAGCACAAACATATTTTAAGATGAGATTTTGCTCTCTCACACAAAAAAAAGATTAATATTTTTTCCAACTTTTAATTAAAGCAATTCTTTAACATATATTATAGAACTTTACGATTAGGAAAAGCCGTTTTGGACTGACGGAAGTTGGAGATTTGTCTCTTGATGACATGAAGAAAATTCGCTATCTCTCTCTGATTGAGCTAACAGCCTTCTATGATGCTTTAGGAATAGAGCTGAAGAGGAACCGAACAGAAAGAGTCAAAGGACGAGGTAACTGCATGAAACCGTGGCTAATAAATAAAAAATAAAAGCAAAGGCTTCTGAGAATTTTATTACTCAGTAAGGCTTTTTTTTAAAAAAAATGTCTTTTTATTTTACATTTTACATTTTTTTATTAAATTACACAATACAAATATGCAGTAAGAAAAATAAAGAGATTGCAAGCTATTATCTCTATATACACTAAAATACAATATCATAGGCGAGTCTACATTTTTATTGCTTTTTTAAATTGCAAATTCATTAAAGAAAAAGGAAGTAAAACCTGAAAGGAAAAAGGGAAAAAAATAACCATAAGGACACACACACACACACCCCATCTCACATTAACAATGCATTTAAAAACCAATACATCCATCTTAGGTTACACATTTTGATCAATAAATATGTATCCAAGTGAAGTTGGGTTTATAGAAAGTATACTCAGAAGTGTGTTAAGGGCATCAAACCATTGCATAATAGATGGCAAGTATTCTTCCAAGTTTTAAGTACAAGTCTCTTAGCGACTATTAGACCATAGCAGCCATAAGATCTATTCTGGTCCTGCTGTTAATCCCGATACAGTAAGAATATAATTTAAAAGTACGTTACCATCCACAAATTTCAAGGATTTTGCCAATACAAAACTGATAATTAGAGGAAAGATATATCTCATGGATGCATTCTTTTCATCTTGGTGTCTATATATACATTTATATTTACTATCCCTTGTTTTGGCACTTTTAAGTGTATATTTTTAGAACCTACTTGATTTTAAATATTGTGTTGTACAGGTGTTTTTTTAAGGAGGGATAATTAATAGTAGTAGTAGCAACAAGGTATTATATAAATCTGTTACCTAAATGTTTCTGATGGTGACTAACAGTATATAAATGCTAATTGATGTATTTATTGACTCAGGGTTTATAAAACAAAAGACCAAACAGGAAAGGAGGAGGAGGAGGAGGAGTATTATATGTAAATGATATATACACATGTGAAGAGATCCATGACCTGGAGCATGAGATTTATAGTATATAAATCACAATTATAGGGGAGGGAAACAACAGTGGCCTTACTGTTATAGACCGCCAAGACTATAGACTGAAGACTTGGATTATGCCTTCCTACAGCAGATTACCAAACATTTAAAAAGGAGAAATATAGTAGTCATGGGAGACTTCAACTACCCCAATATCTGTTGGAACTCAAAGTCTGCCAAGAATATAAGGCCCAACAAATTCCCCAATTGCCCTGCTGACAATTTCATTTCCCAAAAGATGGAAGAAGCAACAAAGGAATCATCTATCTTGGACCTGGTCCTTAGCAACAGGGAGGAACTGATCGAGGAAGTGGAAGTATTGGGAACCTTGGGTGGAAGTGATAATGTCCTCTTGCACAGGCAAGGGAAAGCTGACTGTAGTTGGACATGCTCTCTGAACTTTAAGAAGGCTGATTTCTGAAATGCTGAAGGAACTACTGGGTGAGATCCCATGGTCAGAAATACTCCATGAAAAGGGAGTCCAAGGTGGATGGGAGTTTCTTAAATGTGAAATATTAGAGGTACAATTGCAGACAATTCCAACAAGAAAGAAAAGTGAGGGCATGTAAAGCAGATGCAGCTTACAGATGGGGTGAGAAGGATATGTATAAGAAACTGAAGAAAGGGGAAATCCTGAAGAAATAGTGTACACAAGTAGCCAACAGTTGCAGGGAGAAAGTCAGGCAGGCCCAAGCTCAGAATCAGCTCAGGCTTGTAAGAGAGGTTAGAAAAAATAACAATAAAGGTTTCTTTGGCTATGTTTGAAGCAAGAGGAAGAATAAACTAGTAGCAGGTCCTCTGCATGGAGAAGAAAGAGAAATGCTATTGGCTGACAGAAAGAAGTTGGAACTTCTCAACATCTACTTTGCCTCTGTCTTCACCTAAAACAAAAGCAGTGAGCAACCTGGTGATAACAGAATAAATGATGCAAGGAGGGAACTACAGCTGAAAATACAAAAAGAGGTGGAAAGGGAACACATAGCTACATTAAATGAATTCAAATCTCCAGGACCTGGTGAGGTGCACCCAAAGGTGCTAAAGAAGCTTACAGGTGTAATCTCAGAGCCTCTGTCTATAATCTTTGTGAATTCTTGAAGAACAGGTCCCTGCAGTCTGGAGGTGGGCAAATGTTGTCCCCATCTTCAAAAAAGGGAAATAACAGGATCCAGGTAACTCCAGACTGGTGAGCTTGGCGTTGATACCAGGAAAGATAATCACAAAGTCAGTCTGTGAGCAGTTAGCAAAAGACCCAGCATGGGTTTCTTAAAAACAAATCATGCCAAACGAATCTCATTTCTTTCTTTTTTGATATAAATTACAAGCTTGATGGATCTAGGGAATGCTGGGGATGTAGTGTAGCTTGAATTCAGTAAGGCTTTTGACAAAGTTCCCCATGATATTAGAGCAGAGAAGCTGGTAGAATGTGGGCTGGATGAAGTAACTCTTAGGTTTGTTGACTTATAGAACTTAAATTGATAGCGCTTCACAGGACTTTACTGTATAATTTCCCCCTATTTATTGTTCAGATTTTTTTCTTTTCTTTGGTTGTTCCTTTAACTGATATGTGAGTAATTTACGCCATTTGTCAGCAACATGTTATTAATCAAGAGTCTCTCATTTTAAATTCTCTTTCTAAAGAAAATGGCCTTTTTGGTGTTCCACTAGCAGTCCTGCTGGAAAATGATCAGAAGAAGATTCCTGGAATAAAAGTTCCTCTCATCTTTCAGAAAGTGAGTGGAGCAAACTGACTTCAGTTCCTCCCTCTTTGTGTAAATGTATCTTTCACTTTAGATGCATTTGAGCTTGAATCTTTATTGTGAGGTTTGAGAAAAATAAGTGGGGTGACTTCTCATATAATTAATCCAATTCAATGTGCTGGTGATGACCTTTAAAGTCATATTAAAATATATGGGACCAGGTGAACTGAGGATTACTTTTACTTGTACCAAACTGCCCATATCTCAAGATCTACCTCTCAGGCCCTTTGGATTTCCAGCGCCGTGGAAGCGAGTCCCTTTAGGGCAGCATGCAAGCGGGCACCTCAGATCGGGGATTGCTCATGGGCCAGTCAAATGATCTCCATGGGCCTCTTCCAGCCCATGGGCCTTAGGTTGGTGATCCCTGGTTTAGGGTTTTATGGCATTTGTTGACATTTATTACATTTTTGGTCCTCAAGATGCCATGAGATACTTTGTTCTTTAATTTCACCTAAAAACTAGGATCTTCTTGTATAAAAAGCTGTACAGTGACTGGAGTATCTAACTATTTATATAAAAATAGTGGAAGCTATCTAGCCAATGAAAGAAAAATTACTAACTCTACGCTAGCTTTGCAGCCTTACCATTTCATGTTTTCAGAGACTTGAGTGTTCAACAAATTGTGAATGTTTCATTTCTGCACCAACAAACAGTATCTTTTGTCTGTGGCGCTTTAGCTGTTGCTCAAGCTTGAAGAGACGGGTCTGGAAACTGAAGGAATTCTTCGAGTGCCTGGATCTGCTTCAAGAGTTAAAGTACGTAGGTTTTTCTCACCTATTTTAAAAGACCAACGAAGCTTTCAAAGACAGAAAGTGGGCAAGCTGTATAAAAGCATTTGCTCGTGTAAAGCTGCATAAATCTATTTTGTATAACTAGTGCTTGCTTGAACTCAAGCCCACTGAAACTGATAGGTCAAGATTCAGCTAAACTGGACTGTGTGTGACCAAGATGGGGAAAAGAATGAAGACAAAATACTTAGGAGACAAGGTTTCATTGTTGAAGAGCAGCTATTGACACTGAAAATGCAAGCTGGCAACCGAGTGAGGTGGATGCCCCTCACCAAGGCCTCAGCTCCTGAGCAGCTGGTCATGGGATTTCAGATTTTTGAAGAAGGACCAGATGCATACTGCCCTGGCTGTTACATGGAGGAGGAGAACTCGGACCCGTTTCCACACATGACTTCTCATTCACTTCCTCTGCACCTTAGGCCTCTAACTGCTTGAGGCACAAATCTTGAAAGATTTTACTAATTTTTTATAATCATCCCTGACCTTTAATTTCCCTACATCAGTATGAGATGTGCAGTAACCACCCTTTTGTAAATTCTTCTTTAAGCCATTCTAATATTCCACAATGAACTTAAGACCAGCATGTAAAATCTAATCCTGCTCAAAACAACCCTATCAAAACTCTTTATTTTCTTTTTTCCCTCAAGCTCCCTGCCAACCACCACACAAAGTCAGACTGTTGCTACACATTGTGTCTTTTGAGAATGATTAGCGAATACAGTTTTAAGTTGTCCTTTGGTCGTGGTGTTTTTTTAAAAACATAACTTACAATTACTAGCAGGGTAACATGACTAGTTTTTTAAATTTATACATACATGGTTTTGAAGTGGTTACATGAGAGTCATCAGAATTCCATTCCAGGCCACATAACTTTCCAGATGCATTTCAGCCCATGCCAGCGACATAAATTTTTATGTTTTGGTTTGTTTGTAATCAATTTCCTCCCTGCATTCTTTCTCCTTAAAAGGCACAATTAAAGCCCTTGTCTTTCTTTTGTTTTTAGCAATGTTGTCTGGTTTGTTTTGGAAGGACCCAGCCAGCTTATGTCACTCTGACTGCACACATTTTCTGTCTTTGTGGTGTGGGGAATAAAAATATTTGGGATTTGTTGCCCGAGTCCCAAGTTGGAGTTCCCTTGTGCCTAATATTTATTTATTGTTTTGGCACATAAAGGGTGTGTCCTGAGGGCTGTGTCTAATTTCCTCCATGTACCGACCACCCCTGAATTGGAACATCTGCCACCTATCAACAAAAGCATGTTAGTCTGCATTTTGACAGTTAACAGCTGAGAATTATGGCTTTGTTTTTTAAAAAGCTACCTAAATAGGTACTAGATCATATTCAAGCCATATAAGATGATTTTCAGAAGCTTAAATTTAATAAGAGAAAGATTTGTTTATTTTTATTCTAGTGTTTGCTTTGATTCAGGATGTTACATTCTTGCCAAACAGGATATGGCAAAATTAAAAAGGCAGAATTCTCTTTATTAGCAGTAATTTATAAATGCCATTTTTGCCTTGTCCTGTAGAGCCTTCGCCAAGAAATTGAAGCAAAATTTGATGAAGATACATTTGACTGGGATCAGGTACGCAACAATGATGCAGCAGGTCTGCTGAAGATGTTTATACGAGACCTTCCAAGCCCACTCTTCACTGTGGAATATCTGCCTGCTTTCATCACTTTAGTGGAGAGTAAGTAGAATGGAATTAAAGTTGTTGAATTGTTGTTTTTAAAAGCAAGTCAGAGGGAGCAGGAAAAACTTCATACATTGTCTCTGCATCCTCCAGTCAATATAAGACCCTGAATACAGACCATTTGAAGACTTAAATCTGCCAGAAAATGGCAATCCCAATATATATTTTACAGAGAAGAGTTTATATGGTGAACTGAGACTAACAGAACAATAAATCTATGACCTAATGATAACTGGGGGCTGAACACCATTAAACAATGTGACACACACACACAAATTGAAAGTGAATTATATTGTTTTACCTTGAGACTGATATGTACTATGTTCTACAGAAGACTGCTTTGAACTCCAGGGCAGGCTTTCTGAGATATCAAAGAAGAGTTGATGGGAAGCCTGCAGTGAAAGATGTCCTGCTCGTGACCCAAAGGATAAAGTATGAAGGGAATTTGTCCCTGAATACAAGGCTTCCTTCTAAGAGACTTGCTCCTTTGAAAGCCAGACCAGACATTTTCTGATTTAATTTATGTAGGATTATCAGCCTGATAGTGTGTGTAAAGAGGAGAGAGAATGTTTACTCTTGAGTAAATCCCACTGTTTTTTGGGGAATGGGTTCAAACAACTAACTTTTACTCAGAGTAGACATGCAGAAATTAATGGACTTGAGTTAATCATGGCTGTTAATATCGATGGGTAAAAGTTAGTTTAATACAACCTGCTGTGTGTAGGATTAAATTGAGAGATTAAATGCAGAGCTAAGGAGATCACTCTGTCAGCTCAAGCATTTCTGTTTGCCTGGTGGAATGATTTCCCCTCTCCTCCCCCCTTGTGCACTTCTGGGAGTTCCCCTTCCCACCCTCCTGGAAGGTGGGTGCAGAGGGAAGAAGAGGGAAAGCTCAGTTGTACTAGAAGATGACATTGCGCAGGCTTTTGCATCCAGCCCAAAGCCAGTATCTTAGGTATTGCGGTATTTTTTTAAAAAAACAAACCCCAAATATAAATATAAAGTGTTGGCTTTCCCCCAGATGGTTCTTTAACAGACTTTCCCCCATCATTTTATTCTTAGAAATCTCCAAAGTCAAATTACAGCTGCAAGCTTTGCATTTGCTGATCATGTTGCTTCCCGATGCCAGCAGGGACGCAGCCAAGGTAGGCACATTGCTCAATGAGGTTTGCCATCTGTATTTGTTTATTTTTAAACGAGCCAATTCTATATGTAGAACCTAGAAGCAAAAACTCCCCAAACTTGTCATTTTCCTTTCCTCAGCTCGGGAAAAGGCTTTCCTGTGGGGAAAGCGTAGAGAAGGCTAGTTGAATTATTTCTGTAATTAATGGAGCTCCTTCTTTCGCAAGCTTACAAAAATGCTCCGCAGCAAGGACTCTCAGTTTCTACACACACACACACACACACACACACACACAGCACTCACGTGAAATGGCTGAAGCCCACCAGTCACAGAATGGTGATGCAAGGGCAGTGTCAGTCACAGATTGGTGGCAAATGAAGACAGTTTGGCATAATCAGCTGACAGTTACTGACATAATTGTCTACTCATATCTAATTCACCATTGGAAATTACTAAATTATTTGCCACAGCATTTTCCTTTGGCAAGGAGTTCCATAGATCCAGTTTTTCTCACGCTAAGCACAAACCTTTGCTCTGAAGGTATTGTGACTCTGCTTCCCAATTTACAAAGAATGTGCCATGCAGAGACTCTTAAGTGAAGAAGGCCTTTTATATATTTTTGCCCTTTCCACTGTTGCATACCTTTTGATGTGTTTTTAACTGTCCTGTAATTTCTCCTCCCCTTCTTTTTTCACACCCAGTTTTTAACTTTGCCTCACAACCCAAAATACTGTTTGTTATTATTAATAATAATAAATATCAACCTTTGATTTCACTTTCTAAATTCCTTCAACCCCTCTAGTCCTTTCCCCTCAAAGGAGAGAGACCTCCCTTCCCTCCTCTCCCCTGGAACTTCTTTGTCTCCCGGCCACCCTTTCGTCAGCATGCAAGGAGATGCTGTCCTTGGTCCAATCAAAAGGCTATAGCATGGCTGTGGTGGCAAGAGAGGAGGCACTGGGAGGCTGTGGCAGCACTCAGGCCCACCTGAAAGTGGCCCAGATCCCACCAGTATGTCCACTGTTTTGGAAACATACCTTTACACAATATGTTTAGTGGCAGTACATGCAGGTCGACTTGAATAACTTGTTAAATAACATCAATGGCACCTTGATTTGCTATTCATGAATGATTGTGCTAATTAATTTCAGGCATCCTTTGATGTTTATTTTGCAAGTGCCACAATTCAGTACTGAACTAAGCATAATTAAATCCATTGAAAAGTCATCCCTAGCTTATGTGTAACTCAGTAGAACATGAGACTCTTAATCTCAGTGTTGTGGGTTCAAGCCCCATGTTGGGCAAAAGATTCCTGCATTGCAAGGGGTTCGACTAGATGATCCTCACAGTCCCTTCCAACTTCCAATTCTATGATTTACTTTGGCTAAACTGAATAAAATTAATAGCTATGCAGGTCAGGAAACACCCTAAAGGGTCTCTGTGATCCAGTAAATTGAGTCTGAGTAGCCTTCTCTCTACTAGGCCCTTTTACAGTTCTTGAAGAAGGTGGTTGCAAATGAAAGGAAAAACAAAATGACTTTATGGAATGTATCCATGATTGTTGCCCCAAACCTCTTCATCTACAAAGGCAAACGTGCAAACCAAGAAGAGATGCTAGCAGCAGCCACTACAGCACATGTCGTGAGGCTTTTGATTAAATATCAGGAGATCCTGTGGATGGTAAGCAAAAGTTTTTATTCTGTCTTATTATTAAGGATAAATAGAGTCATCACATCTTCTTCGTAGAGCTCCTGTGATTTTAACTGATGGGTGCCGGGCAGAATCCAACAGACGCATATTTTCAAAACATGGAAATGCATTGATGGAGAATGCTTGTGGAGTTTATTCCTTGTTTTTCTGAAGGCACCCCTGTATCGGGTAGTTTTTCATATCTGATGTTTTATCATGTTTTTATATATACTGGAAACTGCCCAAAGTTGCTGGGCTGTAAATAATATCATCAATCAATCAATCAATCAATTATGCAAGCAAACTCTGAAGAAGCTCTGCCAAAAAGGTGATAAAACTGATGCTAGAGAATATGCTACCTTGATAACTCCAAGCAGTTAAGAATGTTTATAATGATTTTTTTTTAATGGATAAAATTCTGTTACTTGAAAAATATGGCAGCTAGGGCTTAATTTAAAATAGTTCTTTTTGTGTATTAAGATACGAATGAATTTCCATACAGGTATAGCTTTCCCGCTTGCAGGCTTTCCAGATTACTCCTCTTGTTGTTGCACAGCAATATACTGGCTTTTCTGCATACTGGTCTCTGCATACCAGATGAACATTACTTCTCCAGGTTTGATTTAAATGACCATGTTTCTTGACCAAGAAGATCCACTTTTGAGGATCATCAGTGATACCTCTCACACTTGTTTCTGAACATTCAGTCTAGCTCTTGCAGTCTTGGAGACCCTAGCAAATACATAGTCTCTAGTTTTACAAATGCTAATTTCAGTTTCATAGAAGTCTCATGCTGAGGCGGCTAATTTTTCATACAAGCTGAACAAGTCCAGGCTGAGAACTAATGCAGATATGTTTAGTAATTTCACAGAAATAAGAGACCGAAGTGCAAAATATAAAGCACACAGAGCATTTATAGGCAAACTATTTCTTTTAAAGTAATAAATCAGGGGAACAGCTGTAGTAGAGGCACACATGAAAGATATATTTGTTAAAGCTTCTTTCTCTTAGTATTTAGCAAGGATTTGGGAAACCTAAGGCAGGAAGTCTGAGAAGCTGGAAGAATGATAACCCAGTAGTGACAAGCATTTTTCATCTATAATCTCTTTGATTTGTCATTATGCAAGACCATGAAGGCTGGGCTTGATCCACCTTGTTACAAATGGGACTTTTGAAGCTTTGTAATAAGTGCACTGTTAGCATGTCAAACTATTGGTACGTTCAAGAACTTTGCAGTAGGAAAAAGGCTTAAAAGGGGATATTGCAGGAACTCATCACCTTTCTCTGTAGAGAATTAAGAAGCTGAATAAGAAGCTGTAGATTTACAGCCAGAACTGTTACTTCAGTTTCAGGGATGAAAGCTATGATTGATGAGATAGTGCGGAAAATGCCATTTAAGATTCTGCATGCTTCTTTTCAGGAAGTTGAAATGAGACCTCTGTTTTCAAGATTGTACACTGGGATTTTCTACAGTAGGATTATGTTCCAGGAGTGTGTGTGTGCACTGGGGTGGAAAGGCTTTTAGGAAGTAATTTGTAATGCAGACTCAGTTTTATTTTCTCCCTTCTCTTTAGGTTCCAACATTTCTGATATCTCAGGTGAGAAAGATGAACGAAGCTGCCATAAACAATACAAAGAGACAGCTGATGTTTGACAAGGGTGTGCGAAGGCTATTGAGAAGAAAAACTATGGAACGGGAGAGGCCTGAAAGAACAGAGGTGGTATTAATATTTCTACTGTTTCTGGTGGTTAGTTAGTTGCATTTATTTCTTTTAAATAAAAACTATGCCAGAGGCAGTTCGCAACAATGGCATTAAAAGAATGTGATACAGGGAAGGCTGTTCTGGGGCTTTATAGGATGAAGCCAACACACTGAATTGCGCCAGTGGCAAGGCTTTTCAACCACTGAAGGACAGATGTATTATAATTCGGGCATGAACCCCAATCCTTCCATACAAGGGGCTCCAAGTGGAGTCTGAGACATCAGCTGGAGCCTAGGACATGCCTTGGTGTCTTCCTTCAGCGCTTTCCTTGCACAAGCCCTGCTCGGTGTTTTTGTTCTGTGTGGTTTTGCCCTTCTTAAGCATTGTTTTATTTTGCTTCTGTTTTTATTTTATTTTATTGCTTTTAAAGTTTCTTTGAATTTTGTTTTTAACTTACATTAGCTGAATTGTTTTCTGTTGCTATCTACTTTTTTGGGGGGGTTCTCTAAAATGCAGGGTATAAAGTGTTAAAATATGAATGAGTTAAGTAATTAAGAGCCACCGACAGTCTACTCAAAAGACCCAGACATGCCTTAATTTATTTCCAGGCAGTGCAATTCTACTGGGCGGGTAGTGGCTGACACACCAAATCAAAGTTCTGCTTGGGCTTGGGCTCCGTAGGGCAAAAGGTGGGAGGGGGAGAACAACCTATCTCTGCCTCCACCCCCCCCCCGATTCCTTTTAGAGTCTTTTTCATTGGTCCCAGAGCTTTTCAGAAAATGAAGACTAGAAGCTATCCCATATTGTATTAGATGAATGGATGTTACTGCCTTTGAAAAGGATTCTTTGCCCAACCAATTTGTTGACTTTAGCAAGTTGTTTTTCTCCTCTGTTTCTACAGTCTGATATACCAGAAGGGGTGATAAGAGTTCATGCTCCATTGCATTCAAAAGTCTCTATGGCAATCCAGCTGAACAATCAAACAAAAGCCAAAGATATTCTGGCACGGTTTTACTGTGAAAACAGGTGAGTAAAAGCAAGAAGATGAGCAACAGCTCATGGGAAGATTTTGGAGGAGAACCATACTAATCTTGTCATTATTCCAACTTCAGTTTTATCTAACTGTGTGAGGAGCAAGAGAAGCTTCCATTCATTCTTTACATTCTTCTGACTGGTTATACGTGCAAGTTTCACACATGCAAGAGCTGACAAGATTCAGGCTAATGTAAAGCTGCCAGGTGATTGCTTTGCAGGCACACAGTTTACAGCCCAATTTGTTTTCACCAGTCATCAAACAACTTCCAATAATTTGTTGGCTTTGGGCACCAAGCGACGACAGCTGAGACCATTATGGGAGACAGGTGATGCAAGCCCATCAGGGCACTCCGTAGGTGGTTAAAATCCCATCAGATTAAACTTTACCACTACCAGCAGTCTGAGGATATGATTGTTAATGTTTTGTTTGTTTTCTTTTGTAGCCACGGATCATCAGAGAAGATGCAGATTCAAAGTTTACATGAAATCGGAGGAAATATAGGTTAGTGCTTAAATTGAAACAATAACAACCTTTTCTTCTAGATTGGTTTTTAGAGATGTGCCTAAAGTCAACTGTGATGAGCAGCAAGCAAGGCAGAGTCATCTAGCTTTGCCAGGCAAAATTGACCCATGAGCCACATACTACTGAAATAATGGAATCATGGCGTAGCATTAAAAGTCTCATTCTGCTGCCTCATGTATAGCTTACCATGAAAGTACTCCTGCCAGTACTCTAGCTGGAGTGGGTAATAAAAGCATCTGCCCAAGGCCCCAACCTGAGTAGGGACAAAAATGGGCTTAAAAAAAATTCTAATTATTTCAATAATTATTAAAATAAAGTCAAATTTACATAATGTTGTAGTTTTTAAACATTAAGATATGTTTTGAATGTGAAAGATGAAAACAAATAGAACTTCTTGCTCACAGGCTTTGTTGAGGGACAGGTAGGAAGAGTGCAATTTTTCATTTTCTATGTGTCTGCAGGAACACCCTTAAGACCTTTACGTATGTCCATTTAATGCACAGAAAATGAATTTGTTCTTCCTTATGCCCCAATCCCCCTGTCTTCCCTGTTTAGAGAGTCCCCAGTTCAAACAGAAACTACAAGGCCAGCAGATAAATATTTGTGGTGTTTACTGCAGTTATGGGAGTTCCTGTACCCTGATGGTTTTACTGAATTTCGAGCATCATTCAAAGGCAAAAGGAGATATTTCAGGAAATGTAGAATTCACACATTACAGCTATGGAGGATTTATGTTGGAACAGGGAGAAGGAAATCTGTGGCCTTCCAGTTGTTGCTGGACTGCAGCTCTTGTCATCCTTGACTATTAGCCTTCTGGTGGGGCCTGACGGCAGTTGTACTCCAAGCAGTATACAGGGTGCTACAGGTTCCCTGTCCCTGAATGAAAAAATTGACTTTATAAAAATCTACCACAGCTTATAAACAAAGCTAAAAACTTTTTTTTTTAATCCTATGTTTCTTTCAGGACAACACTGTTTGGATCCAGATGCTTACATGCTGGATGTTTACCATGCAAATCCTCAAGCGGAATGGGTGATAAAACCAAAAATAAGTTGAAACTTGTAAAAAGACACCTTGGCAAATCACTTCTGAAAATGCCAAAAGGGTGGTTGAAAAGCTTCCACATGAAGAAGAGCCATCTTGCTAAGGATGAAACCAAAGTAGTTGCTACTCTGCATGATCTTCTGAACATATTTTATAATATTGTCCCTTCCGATGCATCATACAACCCAACCTTAGGGTTTGTTATAATAATTTATTTTGAAATGAGTACATTTTAATACTGGTTTTACTGGTGCCTGTTTCAACTGACATGAAGGAATATAGATAGAACTTTTTGTTTAACAGAATATAAAAACTGGATTTTTTCCCTATCTTGCCACCTGCCTTTTATATGGAAGAAATTCTGAGGCCTCCCAGGAGACAAAGGATGAACCACTAATAACAAGCTAGTCAAATGAAAAGAGGAAGTATCATTCAATATGGAAAAAGGCAGTGCCAAAATTCTGTGACAACTTATTCATGTTGAAAGGAAAGCTTTTATTGTCAAATGTTAATACCTGTGCCTCAGTTCTTATTACTACTGCCAATGAGAAGGGGGAAACTACTGTGTAAAGGCATTTTTTTTTTTACTGTTAATTTACTGTGCATGTATATAAACATATAGGTATTCAGCATTTTAATGGCATTTCTTTGACTTTACCAATGTTCAAATTAATGTGTAACAAATAATACAAGTTAATTTGTAACACATTCATTTCACATACTGTGCTATTGATTGAGCTACACGTGAACCACTTGGAAAGAACTAAAAGATAGATGGAGGCCTTGATTGTTCATGAAATTTTCAAGTCTGCTTTAAAAAACCAGCCATACTATTAAGCATTCTCAGCCTATGAGATGTGATGACTTATTTGACAGGTGCCCATTCCTCCTTTTATTTCTTTTGCTTTTTAATTTTGAACCAACAGTGTTTAAAACAATGGCTTCTCTTTCACGTTTATTGAAATATGGGAGAAGTGATCTTAGATTCTTTTAATCAGAGCCTTAATGAAGTGTGTTTTTAGTAAGAGGCATTTTAGACCATTGGTTTTCATCTGTTGGGTTCGGGGCCCATTACTGCAGAAGTAGATGTTGCAGATTGCAGGTCTCATCAGCCACTGCCAGCATGATCAATCGCTTAAGGATAATAGAAGGTGTAAGTTCGACATTGGCTACCCCTTCACTATCAGGTCCCAGCCTGATCTAAGATGGGTCACAACTGCAGCACTATCACCATATAAATATATGGATAAAAAAGAGAAATGAGTCTCCAGACACATGTCGGTATTAAAGGTCCCAGGTCTGAAAACATTGAAGGCTATTTGTATAAACTTTGGCGAAATCCAGACAACACTGAGCACTTTTAACTGGAGAATTGAGTATGTGCTTAAATCTCTTGCATAACAAGAAAAAGAAAAGTGCCTAATGTTGGCTGAATTAGGCCTTTAATTAAGTTGAATTAAATAGATTTAGGGAGAAATCTGGATGTCCAATGAGAGGTATTAACTGACTGATGGTTGCAATAGGAGGCTAGTTCTGCGGCATGAATCTATATTTCCATTTTTATTCCTATCTGTAGAAAGATTTTTGTGGGTTTTTTGGTAAACCTCATAAGATGCAAAGCAGAATCTCATTTAAATTCAAATACTTACTGCACAGTTAATTCAATGTGGTTTGGTTTTCTTTTAAAAAGCTGGGCTGTGGGCCATGGAAAGGAAGACGTGTGGGTATTTTGAGCTATAACTAGCAAGTGCACTAACTCAATAGGCCTCGGCATAGTTTTTTCCCGGATGGCATTGAACAATGGGAATCCTATTGATTTCATTAAATGAAATCAATGTAGCATATATTGATGTAGTAACTTTTGGATATAGGGGGACAATTCAAAACATTTAGAGGGATATTAGGCAGAGATGGCACAAAGTTTACACTCCATGGGCTGTATCCAATGCTGCACCAGCAGGACTCTCCTTATGTACTGATTTTGAAGGCATGCAGGAGTTGGAGGGGACAGGAGAGAAAGCTTTGTTGTGTGCCCAGGAGTGAGTGGAGAGCCTGTGATTGTACAAAACAGAATAAATTTCTTAAAAGGCTTCTCAGCCTTTTGGCTAAGATCAAGTGAAGTACTGGAACGTTCTATAACAATCAGTTGCTCATGTCTTAACAGTGCAAACTACCTCATTGTATTTTTATTTTTTTTAGACTAATACATGCTCACAGCACCTTTGCATTTAATCCGAAAGGACCCAAATACCCAGTCTGCCCTGATCAGCTGTTCATTGGGTGGGCGGATTTCATCAGCTGCTTCCTCACTACATGTGATCAGTGCTAACTAAACTGCCCCTCTGGAGGTGTGCACACAGCTTGGGGGCAAAATGTGGGGACATTCAGCTTGTGGGTTCTACTTTCCCTTCACTACAAGCTTACTGAGTTCTTAATAATTTTTATTTGCATGTATGAACGTGTGCTAAATTGCCACAGGAGTGAAAGGCAAGGTTAAGAGAATGCATTTTCCGCTCTTGACTCTACCTTTCCAACCTGGTCTTTTTCGATGTTCATGTGTTATAAGCTTATCTGTGTGTTTTTAACAGCCGAAGCTCTCTTCCCCTTCAGTGTCATGAAGTGCTATCTGGTTCACACAATGCTTGTCTTTTATCTAACTACCCAACGTTCAATCAGCTGGAACTATATCAGTGTTTATTTCCTGTGCCACTATTTACCTCTCTGCACATGACCAAGTATTTTCCACCAGTGCTTCTTTCCAATGCTTTCCATTTCAGTTTGTCAACTACTCATATCTGTATGGTCATGGAAAGAGCCATCTTCCCATATTTTCCTTTTTACCCTATGGAAGATTTGAACCCAGTTTTTCAACTGAGCCATTCACTTTCCACAACAGGATCAGGGTCAAGATGGGGCAGCACAACTGGAAAGGTGCTGTGCCAACCACACTTGCCTCTTCTAACCTACCCCACAGTGCATCAGAAACTACAAAAATTTCCTCAGTGGAAGACAGACACTGGGATGGAAGTAAACAGATACTGGAGAGCTCTAGCTGTCAATTTGGTCAGCTCTTAAGCTGCAAAGGATACTCTCCCATTGTCAGTTAAAGGACCCCAGGAAAGGTGGGCAAATTATTCCCGTAATCAAGCCAACTTTGTTCTTTTTATAAACACTAGCAGCCTTGTATACCTGGCCTTGCTTGGGAATTCTGAGGAACCAAAAAAAATCACTGCAGTTCTGACATCAAATAAGTGCAGTTTTAAAAGGTTCATGAGGCCATCTTGATTCATCTAACATGGATGAAAAAGCCTGCTCCTTGATCTCAGGAAGCATCATGCAAAATTTGGTTATGATATCTTAACAACTTTCCAAAATGTAGACACATACACCCCTTTAAGTTGCAAGCAAACAGTATCACTTGTACCATATATTATCTTAGGCAGAAAGTGAAATTGGGCTCTGGGGTAATGTTCCTAATGGTGCTTATCCCCACAACCCAATTTCCCCCCACCTATCATATAGGCCCCAGAACAGAGAGAAGCAAACAAAAAGCTGCTTGCTTCCCTTCAGCCTAGCTGACAGCAGGTACAGCTAGTGACCTGCACCTACACACTGCTGTTGTCCTGGCTGCATGAAGGCAAGTGTGCATTGGCTGCTCTTTTCCTCCAATTCATATGACAGAAGGCAAGGATGCCCCACCCCACCCCAGATTTTAATATTTGTATAGCTGCAGGCATTCCCTTCTATTGCAACATCCATTTTTCAATTATATAGGGAGTGGAAACTATAATTCTGCAGTTTTTATGTATTCTTTTCCATGGTTAAATCTGGACTTTAGCTAACGTTTAACGTGTTAAGTGTCTTAAGTATTGTACTAGATTAAAAAAACCAACCTCTGCACTTTCATTTCTGTTCATACTGAATTCAGCTGGAAGCTAATGTCAGAGGCATATCACTTTTTAAAGCAGTCCTTAAAAAATAATAATACACTAGTAGTATTTAAACACTCCTTTAAAATGAAATCTGTTAGCATCTGTTTTCATTGACCATCTGTTGTGAATGTTTGATTACAGCATTCTGACTAAACACAGAGGATTTAGAAAGTAGAGCATGTGTGTACTTAATTCAGGAAAACAATTAAAATGCTATCAACTAAACCTCTTACATTCTTTCTTGCATCTTGTATTTAAAACATGGCTTCCTGAAAATGAGTGACTTAAAAGTGAAATGCATAAAAAGGACTTGATATATAGGTTTACTTAGATTAATCTTGTATTCCTAATCCAAATAAATAAGATATTTTGTTGTGTCTTGTTTGTGTATTAGATGGCCAGGATTTTTGGAGGCATGAAAATGTTGTCTTATGCTTGAACAATTAATCCCAGTGAATTTAGTTAATGGTTCATGATGTGATCTGCTACAAAGAAAACCAACCTACACTCCAAAATCAAACAAACATGTCTATCAACTCCTTAAAAGGGGTTTTAAGAAGACATTAAGCTTTCCAAATTAGTTGAGTTCTCCCAGAATAAATTTAGATTCTAACAGCTATTACAGACTTTGGCTGCAACCCTAACCATGTTGACTCAGATGGAAGTCCCATTGAATTCAATGGGGTTTGCTGCCAGGTAAGGGGTTAGGATTGTAGCCTCACTTCTGGAAACCAGTGGTCTCATATCAGCTGCATTAAGCATTATTAAGTCTTCTGAAGGAAACATGGGTGCTTTACTAATTGATAACTAGAAACTATATTTATAAAACCAAATAATAATGAAGTAATCCAAATAAGATGTTTTACCTTTTGTATCTTCTAGTCCACTTCAAAAAGTGAACCAATGACACCAGGCTATATACGTGACCTGCCAATCAGAGGCTTCCAGAACACAGTACATGAGATCTGTGGGCCTCAGTTGTTACAAATGCTCTGGAGAGGGGTGTAAAATGTTGTTAACAGAAAAACAGCACTGTCTGCAAGTCATTCCCAGAACACAGCAAATATAAATAGCTCAGTTGGTAGAGCATCAGGGTTGTGTGTTCAAGCTCCACATTCAGCAAGATTCCTGAACTGCAGGGGGGTTAGGCAAGATGACCTTTGTGATCCCTTCCAACTCTAGGATTCTGTGATGAAGATTTCTTGTCCAGGCTTCTCCTTGGCATGATAGTTTTCTATTTGCAGGACATTTTTGTGGGAGAACATTCAAACATGCAAACCTCCACACCTACAATCCTAAATGTTATCTAGTCCAGGGAAAAGTTGCGCCATGCGATTCTGCTGATTGCCAACTCTCTCATTTGTCTGTGACAAGGGCTGCAGAAGTGCACAGCACCAACAGGAACCTTAGCATTATGCCTCCAGTGCTTTCATTACAATATAAATGAGGAGTATCTGCATAGCAAATGGCCACAAAGGATATGCACTTGCTTCAGCATGGGTCAAATAGAACTGGCTCTGCAACCTGGCCCCTCTCTAAGTGTTAGGGAGCAATTTACATACTCAGCTTCCAGCTGAGCTTCTTTTCTATACAGAATACAAATTACTAGCAGCATTACCAGTGATTTACTGAAATGCTATTGGCAGAATCTGCTCAAGATTTTAGCACTGACTTCCTACTAAATTCCTCAAGCTTGTGCCTAACATTTTTTCTGAGTCACATTTTACAGCTACAAAACACACACAACCTGAAAAAATGTTCTACTGCCTGGGGCCCCATTTTATAGCTTTATTATAGAAAAACCACTATACGCCAAATGAAATACTGTCAAACATATCAGCAGAAGATACACTGTAAACACTTTGGGTGGGGGTGGGGAGAGAAAGAAACAAATTTCACCCAAAATGAAAACCAGTACTCAATGTTGTTAACATTTTAGTAGAGGTATCTGTTGTACAAAGAGACTTTAAAAATTAAATGTGGTATCGTAGAAGTTCTGGTTAAAAACAGTTGTCCTGAGTTGGAAAATACATGGATATCGCTGAGACCAGGATTATCATTAAAAACATTTTTTCCCCATTAAAAACAGATGAAACATCTAAAGATGGACCGTTCACTGCTCAGCCCCAGGGCAGGAATGTGGAAAAACTCCATGCAGGTCAAAGGCTTCACTGAAGTCAAAGGCTTCTGCCTGTTGGCTTTTAAGCAGCATAAGGTTTCTCAAACACCCTCGGAATGAGCTCTTACTGGTCAAGCAGTTTTGTTTTACATCAGCTAGAAAACAAATGAAAGAACACAGTGAGCCTGTTTGCTGTTAGGAGGAGATTAAAATTGTACCTTAGAAATGGTCTGACAGCTTCCAGTAAGTCCTCGATTGTACACTACCAAGTAAAACAAAAAACAAAAACCCACAGCCTGCGGTAGTTCCCTCACCCCTTTACCATCAAAAGGATTTCCATTGCAGGACCCAAGGGGTCTATAAGCACAAAGGAAACTCCAGACTAAAGGGTGGGAGAGAAACAGGCCTTCTGCCACAGCACTAGTTACCAGACAGCAATTTGGGGACTGTAGGGAGTGCCTAGACCCATGATGGGTTCTAAATGGGCTTATAAAAAAAGGTAAAGAGACCCCTGACCATTAGGTCCAGTCGCAGACGACTCTGGGGTTGCAGTGCTCATCTCGGTTTATTGGCCGAGGGAGCCGGCGTACAGTTTCCAGGTCATGTGCCAGCATGACTAAGCTGCTTCTGGCGAACCAGAACGGCGCACGAACATAGCGTTTACCTTCCTGCCAGAGCAGTACCTATTTATCTACTTGCACTTTGACGTGCTTCGAACTGCTAGGTTGGCAGGAGCAGGGACCGAGTAACAGGAGCTCACCCCATTGCGGGGATTCAAACCGCCAACCTTCTGATTGGCAAGCCCTAGGCTCAGTGGTTTAACCCACAGCACCAACTGCGTCCCTTATACGTAGCTGCTAATTCATACAAAGCCCCAACCTGGCTTGAACCAGATTCTGAGGTGATGGGAAAAGAAAGTATCAAGCAGGACATTCTCTAACTTTATCAACTTCATGCTGCTTTATGGCATTTGCACCACCAGTCAGCCAGAACACAAACCAAGGGTGGGATGAAAATATAATGAGTAAAAAAAATAAAATTCTGTATTTTTAAGATGAGGAACATAACATACCAGGATATCCTCCAACATAAATAGGGTTGTTCGTATCTGCAGAGGTGGAGTGCAGATGTGGATTGTCAGTCTGAACCAAGTTTCCATCAACTATCAAAGCAATACGATGCTTGCTTTTGTTTGCTTGGAGTTTGTGCCACAGTCCATCACACAGACTAGTTGTGCCTTTGGGCTCATAGGTAGCTGTTATTCTACCAGCTCCATTGTTGACACTGAATAAAACCTACACGGCAGCAGCCATGCAACAATAATAGAAGAAGGCAAAAAAAAGATTTGTTCTTTTAAATATAACAATTTGCTCAATAATGATGTGGGAAAGTTTTCATTTTAACCAAATGGTTGGTAATTCATTCAAACCTCACTGCCGGTAGCTTTGACAGTTGAGCAGTATGTAATGCCCACGAGACTATTCCCTATCAGGAAGAGGCCAAACTAGCCTCCCAGGAGCCATCCCTATTTTTAGAGTACTACCCAATTGCCTTTTCTAACCCAGGCTAAGGGCTTGTGATGGATCAACACTCTGCCTTGAAGGAGAACTCTAGCATGTGGGGGGCCTTCGATCTCTCCTAGGAATTATTATGTTAGAAACTAAATGATTGCCTCATTTCCTCTATCTCCATCTGATCCCTGTTCTCTGCAGGAAAGGGCACCTTGCACATACCATTCCACACAATGTCAGAATCAGGCCTTTAGTGTCGCAGCACCTACCCTTTAGAAATCCATCCCATTAAATATCAGATACGTGCTACCTCTATTTTTCTTTTGGCATGTATTGAAGATTTTTCTCTTTCAACAAGCCTCCTAAGATTCTTATCCCAGCTGGTGTCCGGATTTGGTCTGAAACTGTTTTTATATACGTACTTGCTGTTAACTGACTCTATGTATGCAATTGTTTTGTATGTGTTTTTATTATATTGTGAGATCACTTTGATATGCTGCATAGCAGAATCATCATCTGGCGCTGGGGAGTTCCCATGCATGGCCTCCTTGGCATCTAGATAGATGCCAGCTGAAGGCTCATGCTGGGTGTGAGGTGGGGTGAAGCATTGCAATAGGCTTCCTTGGCAAGGCTAGTGTTACTGCTGCTACGTCAACATCCTTCATATGAGTGTTTATGGGTGAGGAGAGGAGCCAAAGTGGCCGTGACTCACCAGTGACTAAGGAAAAGGCAGTTCTGGATGAGCACAAGCTAGCAGGAAGCAGCGGCTGAATAGGACAACTGCACACTCAGGGCAGATCAGGCGGGAGGGCTGCCCCAGAGTTGGGGGCATCATCAAAGCCCATATCTAATCCCCTGTACTTACCATGATGGAAAATTAATCTTTCTCCTGATCTAACAAAACTTTCTAGGAGGTAAAACCATGAAACAATTGTCCCCTTTTCTGACCTTCTGTGTGGAAACATATTCATTAATGAATTTGCTCACACTCAAAAGCCTCCCCTCGTCACACTTAATATAAGCTGAAAAGCGCAAAGGAGAAAAGAGGGGCAGAGAAAACAGAGAGAGGTAATAGAGGGTTCAAGTTATTCCACAAAAGCTTCGTTTAATGGAAAAAATTCCTAGGAACCTAAAATAGTACTTTGAAGATGGCTTCATTGAAACTGTTTAGATGTATTTTGACGGTTCTCAAGATGGTTTATGCTTTCCTTCATTTGCAATGTATTATCTGACAAAACAGCTTAAATAATTAAGTTTTAGGCTTCTCAGGTTTATTATGGATATATTTATAAAACGATAGCCATGGAATTTATGTCTAACGGGTATTTTGTTTTTTTAAAAAAACCTTTCACATTTTTCATCATCTTATTTTAGAGACCTTAACTTCCTCATTGTTTAATTAAAGTCCCCAAATAGACGGTTGTGAAATAAGTATTATACTCAGAATGAGGCGAATGGGGAGGAAACACTGGTGTAGGAGAACACGGAAGTATGATTCACAGAGATAGCTAAAACATACTAGCTAACTAGTGGACAAACCTACATTCACAACAAATTCTGCATTCAACATTTTTCTGTCACATATTAATAACTGACCCAGCTTTTTCTTCCAGCATTACACATTACATATGCATTCTCCTTGATTGTTATTAACAGACCCCTGCCAGATTTGTCAAGATTGATTCACAAGCACATTTTCACGCGACCTTATAACTCACCTTGCCATTAACTATTTCCAATCCAATGGCATCTACTTTAGCACTACTAATTCCCAGAAGAACTCCATTGAGAGCTGTGGTGCGGAACTCAAATGTAACATTAACGTCAGATCGGACTTTGTAGCCTTCCTTAACTATTTAAAAAGAGAGAGAAATAACAAAGTTGGGAGTTAGTAATCCTTCCTCTGATGTCATGTTCATATAGCATTGCATTAAACGCAACCCAAAATTTGCACCATACCCAAAGATGTAATGTTGATTATGTGGGTAAAAGTAGATACACATTTTTGACTGTGGAAGATACGCACTGCTGAAAAGTTCTGGGGTAGTCACAATACAAGTTACCGGTACTTCTCAGAACATATACGTGCATGATGCTGTTGCATTTTATAGTCTTTGGTTGTTTGTTAAATAGGGCTTTGATTGAATGGTGTGAAACCTATCTAAAAAAAGTCATTTCCCCTATTGCTGGCTGGGGCTGATGAAAGTTGTAGCCCAAAACATTTCAGGTACACCAGATAAGAATCCATTTTATAATAGATCAATGCCTTTAAAAAGTGGCTCAGAAACAGCTGTCGAGACAGGATGGGTTACCTCCTGGCACACTTCCAATGTAAAATAATGGCTAAGGGGCTTGGTTTTGTAGGAGAAAGTACAAATTAAAGCTTCCTCTAAATTTTGCTATATCGTAAAGCTTTTACTTGCTCCATGGTTAGTAATACAATTATTATTTTTCTTTCTGAGCAATAAACAGTTACTTGAAATGTGATCAATTAAGTAATTATGTTTCAGAATTAAGCAATAGCTGTTTACATATTATCAGTAGGGAATCAGCAAAACTGGAGCAGAGGATCAATACAGGAGTGGAAGTGTAGAATAATGGAATATTACTGTATTATTTTATTTTTGCTTGGGAAAAACGGTTTGCAAAACAATCTGTTGCTTACCAAGGGCAGCAAAACCACTTCCATCAAAAAACGTTCCTTCCTGGGCTGCAACGTAACATTTATTCACAGCAAAATTTGAGACTGGGCTCTCTTTGTCCATTTGTTTGCTATTAATGGTTACTCCACCAATGCATGCAGGGATACTGTGAGTAATCTGCAAACAATTCAGTGTCATGATTAATACAGTACATACATCTCACACACATACACACCACAAAACCTTACTGCTTCAGAACTGTAAATCACTGAAGATCAGGGTTAGTAACGCAGCTGTGAGCACATAAAAAGAAAAGAAACAGCATAAATTCACATAAAGTGTGTCCAGACTGTAAACAAACCAAAGTGCCAGGGTAGTTAGTGAGCCAGACCAGCATTGAGGAGTCCAGGGTTCACGTTTCTACTAAGCAATGAAGGATGCTGGGTAATCTTGGGCCTGTCACACTCTCTAAGCCTAGCCTACTTCACAAGATTGTTGTGAGAATAAAACGGGGAGGAAAAACAGATATCTGAGCTTGAGCAAAAGGCAGAATAAAAAATGTAATAAATAAAAACAGATCAATAATCCTACTTCTAGGGCTGAAATGTGAATTTCTAAATTAATTTGAATCCTGTTATTAGCTCCACAGCAGGAAAAACACATACACAATACAAATACCTACATTTTTTCCTTGATGGCTACTGAAATTGAGGGAGAGGGGAATTCAGAAAACAGGATGTAGGAAAGAGTTAATTCTCCCTTCTTGCCAGCACTACTGCTGGGATAAAAATCAGACCACCAGAAGTTTATTGAATTTAAGAAATAATGTTGGGAGCCCCCACCTGGTTACAGGATACATTTTTCACTGTTCAGAAATGTCATACTGCTTTTGTTATGGCTATGAACAAGCGCCTACTTATTGCAGACACAGTGAAAGCTGAAGCTGCTTCTTTCAGACACTAATACACTTTGCAAAGCTTAGGGAGAAATCACTGCTCTTGCTATTATCTTTCTAAATAAAATAAAGATTCAAAGGACTTGCATACTTTAAACACATTCAGACCTAGGAGGTGAGAGGGATGAACGATGGTATAAAAGCACCAAAACTTCCATGCTGCTGAGATCAACATCTGATATTGACAAGTCAGTGGTGTGCAATGATTCCCGCACGGATTTTGTGTTTCAGTGCACTGCAAATTGTTGTTTTCTTTCAGAATGCTGTTATGCAGCCTGATTTGCCTGGCAGACAATAGACATAAAAGACAATTAAAGAGAAAAAGCTTACATTTCCCATTTTCTTGGCTGCATAAGCCGAGGGTAGCCCCCCTAGGTACAGCTTCCCATCCACATCCAATGTGTTTCCATCTCCCGGAACATTTACAGCCGCAGATTCCTGCCCATCAACTATGACAACACCTTTCCTTTTAGTATACTCTGTCTTCACCTATAAGATAAGATACAATATTTGTAAGCTAACACCAATAGTTAAGACTAGGAAACATCCAATTAAGAATAGGGTTCCATATATTGTGTGGGATGAGCATGGCTATTTTAAGTTTTCTGCTTCTTCCAATGCTAGACATCAATGCAATCTTTATTTACCACATTTTTGCAGCAAATTAATGCCTTTGGATAACTTAATGCACAGTGTAAAGAAATGAAAAAGCTACCATGCATTTAATGAGAAATTTATTTTTATTTTTAAAATACCGACATGCAGATAATGAAAAGCTCTGAAATAGTGCAAGAGGAGAATACTTAACCGGGAATTATTTTTCCAACATAAGAAAGTATGCGAGAAAGGCAGGAGACTCAGACCTAAGAAAAGGCTGGATGCAGGCATTTGGCCCACCTACCGTATGCCATTTCCCATCACTGACGATTGCTCCATGAAAGGCTACTGCCCGACCCTTTCCAAGATCAAATGAAAAATAAAGCTTTCCCCCTTGTAGCTGAAGGGCTGCATAATCGACCTGCTTTTGGTGAGTCATGTAATATATCAGGCCACTAGAAGCAAAAGTCCTGAGGTTCAACTGCACAGAAAGCCTAGGGGAGGAAACATGAAACTGATCAGAGCTTGGAAGCCAATGGAAACTGTTCTAAGCTCTCCAGAGGAAGAGAATGGTGCAAGTATGGTATGCCTATGATAAAGAAAATGAAACACCATCACATCTATTCTCTGCTTGTGGCTAGAGCTCCACAGGTAAGGAAGGAAGGTGAAGGCACGTGGTGTGAGAACCAGTAAGGAAGGGAAGTGAGGTAAAGAAGAGGAAGGTGGAAACAAGACAAGAGTTAGTGGACATGAAGATAAATGGCTATGTTCTCAGGAGCTGCAGATGAACCAACCAATCTTCCACTGAGGAAGACGGAAGATTCTGGATCCTGCCTGTCTCCATTGAGGGAGGAGCTTTCCTGTGGAGAAGGACTGCCCTCCAAGTGTGTCTGGTGCATAGACTTTAACAAACCCACACCCTTTAAAACTAACTGCTTTAGCTTATCCCAAAGAGAGATACATACTTGCTTAACTCTCTTACAAATCAGTGGAATTAAACCTTTCTAAACTTTTATTCAATAGCGCTCTGTGAAACCGGAATGATGGCCTATCTCATATGTTGTTAGGCATTTTGCATGTTTAAAAGCGCCATTTAATTTTTTTAAAATTACAATTAATCATAGCAAAATATACCTACTTTTTTCTTACAGTGGACTGATTGAAAAGAAGCATCAAGTGACTGTTCCTTGCAAGGCCAAACTGATGAGCGCCAGAAACATACTTCAGTATTTCATCTTCTGCACAAGGTTTCTATTAAAGAAAACATTAGTTAAAATCCCACCCCTTGCATCCAAGCATTGCTTTGCTTAGTTTTTCACCTTAATGCTGATGCCTCACAATATATAAATCACAAGTATAAAATTCAAGCAAAACTAACATTATCAGAACCCAGGCAGAAATAATACAACATTCATCTTTGCAGACAAGAGCTGTAGGTTTAGATCAGGGCTGGGGAACTGGATTCAGAAGTGGCAAGCCCTTTGCAGGTCATTCTGTCACCCTGCTTCTCTCCCCCCCCCCTTTGTCTGTCTTAACACCTCTCATATTTCCAGGTCTTGCCATGGAGAAAAAGGCTGATTAAATTTTGACAACATACTTTCTTAATTTCTGCAAGAGGCCTGTAAGAAATTGGCATCATCTGCATCTCAGGAAGGATCTCAATGTCTTCTGGCTGGATGGTAGGCCTAGGCCTCTCCCAAAGGAAGCAACTATCCATATCAACACCTTCATACCTCACTGCAGTGGTGAAATCCAGAAGTCTGGGTTTTAAAGAAAGAACAAGTTATTTATTTCAATGAAACACACAAGAAACAGAACCACTGTTAACAGGTCCACTGTGCATACTATGAAAGCTGGAGACATGTTACATGCAGCGCTTACAAAAACTCCCTATGTGAAATTCAAAAGAGCCCTCACGTTTATTGACACTAGTCAGACATCTCCACAATTATGTGTTTTGGGTGTAACATCTACAGGTTTTGCCTGTTCTTTGTTCCACCCAGGACACATCCTCCATAACAGTCAGCTGTGATTCTGGACTTCATTGCAACTTTAAACAAAGTGAGGCAAAAACTTGACACCTGCATGTTTTCCTGTGACGTGAATGCCAAGTGACGCACATCACCACCAGCAAGCAACCGTTGTACCCAGAGAATACTTGCGAGCAGCTACAGAGCGGCAACATAATCTGCTGTATCATCATCTGGGCAAAAAAAGGCCTTAGGAAGAATTTAAGGTTTAAGGCTAAAGCAATGGAAACAAGGATGGCAATCTAATCAATTTGATATCATTGTCAAAGAACCATAGCTATGGATTTGCCCATGTTAAGTTTGGGGGTTCCTGTGTGTTTTATTATTTCTGGTTTCTTAGCTTTAATTTATAATTGTGTTGTGTACATTATCACTTTCACAGAAGCCACCTTGAGGGAGCTTTGGCTCTGAAAATAAAGGCTCTACACGGATATTTTAATTAAATAATAAACTTACTCCATATTAAATATCAAGTTGGTTATACAGCCATAGAAAGAGCCTGCCATCTTTAGTCCTAAAATGCCTTCTCCTGCAGGAATCCCACCAATGAAGAAGTTGGATATATTCATTGGCCTAGTTTCTGCCAATGGGCCAAGCCTAATTTCTGCAGGGCTACTTTCATCCACCTGGACAGTTATAATCCTGGAAAGAAGAAGAAAACACCACAAAGTGAACTATTATCCAATTAAAAAAATGTCTGATTTAAGAACAATAATAGTGAGGAATCCACAGTAAATGAATCAGAAATAATGGTGGTTCTCCAAAGGATCTTGCAGTCCCGATTGTGTGGCAGACCAGGCGTGTTCAGTAGCATTCCAATTAATTTCTAGCACTAATTCAGTTGTAGGTGTCGCATAAAACATTGGATTTATATGTTTCTCCATCTAATAAATAAAATAGCTAATTGTGTGTGTACTTCTTGTATCAGTACTTGGCATGATTCTCCCTGGTGGCCAAAATGTCTAGCAATTTCAAGAGAGCATCCATGCACAACTTAATCAGAGGCTCTGTAGTGTATGCAATTACCATATAAATCACAACTTCTCCATTAACAGCAGAAAAACACAACTGTGGTTATTCTACTGAAATGAACTAAACTAAGCCAGTTCTTTAGGGAACATGGTAAACTTGACAACAGGCCTTAATTAAACAAGTGATTCCGCTTCTACCTCTTATTCCGAGTCAGGATGACCGAATGTTCTCGCCCATCGCTGTAAGTTCCATTAGCAGGCTCAACGAGGACCTTTCTTGTACTTGCTCTGTCCCCGGCATTGACATGCACTGCCAAATGGCCATTGACCAACATGATGGAGAAAAAGGGCTGAGAAAGATGGAGAAGATCAAGTTCAGCTATTACTCTCTTGCATACTCCTTGTAAACTGTGCTGCCCAATCCCAGTTCTGCTCACCCCATTCCAATCTGAATTGTGCTCAACAGTGTGAGCATCCCTGCTTGACTTTGGATGACACCACTAGGGAATGACTAAGAAGACACTTGAGACCACAAGAGCTGAAAAGATGGTTGGGTGCTTACCAGCTGAGCTTGCCTGCGCCTTCGCTTTTCTGCGCCTTTACTGAGCCCAACGAGGATGATGCCGCTGGCATTCTTTGTAGCAAAAGTGGCCATAAGTTCTGATTCTGCTGACAGGGGTTTGGGCAGCAACTCAATATAGCCATTGCTCAAGATACTAGCACTGTGTATGGGCTATTTTGCAAAAGAAGAGAAATAAAATGAGTGAATTAGATCTTCTATCTGTCAGAGACATAACAATGCAGGAGTTGATTATCTGACAATTTATCAACATTATAGCATCCATTATAGTATCAGCAGACACTGTTGATTGGTTTTTTCCAGCAGCAAGTAGCAATCAGTTTAAATTTACCAAGAACTGCCTGTGTGTCCTACCTCCAAAATGCAGCCTTTCCTCACACCGTATGAGTTTTTAAGCAAATCAAAAGTGGAACGGGATATTTCCAAGTTCTTAATACATCCCACATATTTTCTACTGTTAAGCCCTTTCCTAAAAAGAGAAAATATTATTGGGGTGGGGAGAGAAACATTGGTCTACGATATTTAGCTCAAAAGGAATGGCTGTGTAAATCCAAATTACAGAATAAGCAAGCACACAATGAAAACTAGTAGAGGGAAACGGTTACTGGATACATTCACAATCATTTTGAATTCTGTTCATAAATGAAACCTGACACAGCGAGAAACTTTTTCTTCCCTCTCTCCCTGCATCTCTTCCCAGATTCTCAGATAATTCTTAAGAAATGTCAGGGCAATTTTCAGTTTGGTATTGGTATTTGGTTTGCAATATGCTAGGCAGAAAAGAAGGTGGGTGGAAATGAGTGTATTTATATAGATTGTGATGCATTCATGTTTGTTTTCTTAGTTTGCTTGCTTAGTTAGTTTACTAAGACAAACAAAAGCAAAACACACAAAATAAAACACTATATAAAAACAAGTAAGGAGTGTTATGAAGCCTGAAGTTCAAAGCAAATTAGGAGTTCAAAGGAACCTGGGACCCTGCATTTAAATACTATATGAGAAAGTTCAAATATAGGAAGATCTAAGTGTATAACTCTTTTTATTTAAGCCTACCTTACTGCCCTTGACCGCGGTAACCCGCCAATGTAAATAGGATCCTTATCGGAACGATTCAGGTCAGAGGCTGTACCAGGGGATATTCCTTGTTTGGTTTCTTTAGAACTCAGGTTATAAGCATCCATGACTGCCAAAATCCCTGAAAGGGTAATGAAATCAGAGATTAGCAAACAGAAATATCTGAGATTTTGCTATGCTACATTTGTTACGACTCAAACATTACAGCAAAACATAATAGTAACAGGATATCATTTTGACAAACTGCTTTACTAATATGAGTCTAGATATTTTACTGAGCTAATCTAATTCTTCTATGAAGGCCCCTTCCTCATTAAGGAAAAATATGAAACATATGGCTTATATGCTATTTTGGACACTATTTCCACAACAGGTAATAGCAATGTCAATTTCCAAGTTTTTCCAGTCTTCCTGATTCAACAAACACATATGCAGTAAATTTCTCATAGGTTCATGAACCAAAACCTCCTTGGGGTGAAATCCAACAATGTATGTCTGCCTGTAGAATGAACGCAGCTGACAGAATGGATCCTGCTTTCTCCATAATTCCCAACCCCAAATTATTCTGGAGGACTGAAGAACTCTCCAGAGCAGATGAGGGAAGCAGGGGCAGGAGATGGGAGCTGAAAGGGAGTTAAGAGGATAAGGAGGCGCTCTTGCACAAGCAGATGTCCATTCACTTGACCCTGGATGCCATTCCTTATTTATTTCCATGTTTCACAAGTCAAGCTCTTTGTGAGCAATGGTTTCCAGTCACTCCAGTTGGATAGTGACTGGGTAAAGTACTTCTGACACTGTATGATTTCTTCCTTCCACTAACCAAGTTCCAATACTTGGTTATATGGTTGTGAATCTTAAAGGGCTAATCTCATTTTAAATCCTTGCCTTGCCTCCACTGTTACGCAGTTGAGTAGAAACCTCCAGAGAAAACAACTATATAGATTCCATGCTGAAGAATCTCACTGTCTGAAATTTACAACCTGATTTGTCGCATGGTTAAACTGATGTAAGGACATTTTAGCATTAAGCCAAAAGATCAAAGGCCCATGGAGAATTCAATTAAAGTAAACAAACCTAAACAGGTATTTTGAATGTGTAAGTACTCTAGCTTATATATGAATTGTCAACTGTCAGGCGCTGACATCAGCGAGAACAGAACCAACCAGTCAAAACAATCTCCCACCAAGGAGTAATAAAAAAGAAGTGGTAGCATTATACAGAAAGTGACCTTCACTGATAAGTCAGATCAATGTGAACAGAATAACAAAACAGCATAAAAAGTAGAATCCTATATCATGAGACCGAACCTCCATCTAGACCAGCATCCTGCTTCCTGAAGTAATCTGGGAATGTTACAACATGTCATCGCATGGTAGCAGCCAAGGCTCTCATAAGAACACTGGAAGACCTGTTATATTTGGTTCCTCTGGTCAAATATTATCCACTAGTTGGGAGTGGCTCTCCAGGAGTCTATCCCAGCCAGAGGCGCCAGCTTAGGAGGATGATTGGTGGTGGCCAACATCTTATGCATGACATCAGGACATTGGGAGGAACCGGGGAAGGAGCTGAATGTGGTGGCCATGCAGCTTTCATGGCAAGTGGCTCTCTCTTTCCCCCTGGTGCCACCACCAGTGGGAGGTTACTTCTTGTGGCAGGAGGAGGAGGAGCTGGCCACTGGAGCTGTGCTGTGCTCAGCTCCATGCTTTGCCTTTGCGCTTTTTGGACATGGGGGCAGCCCCACCCCCCAAAAATATTGGTGCCCCCTAAAAGGGCTCAACCCCCAGCAGCTGGTGCCACTGATCCCCGCCCAACTTGGGGGTGCTGGGGATTGAACCTGGGTCCTCCTGAATGCAGAATGGATGCTCCACCCAACTAGGGGTCATCATCTTGTTCACACACACATATGCTTCTTGACTGTCACTTGGAAAGTTTCCTGTCCCAGCACGAGCCCATTTATTGATTTATGTTATTCACCCTAATGTACAACAAAGTGCATCGTCCTCATAAAACAATTCTCAAAAGCCAAGAAATGTTTAAGCTTCTGCACTATATTGAAAATTAATTCACAGAATTTTGTCACTGTTTTGCTGATACACAGTTCCAATAGATCAAGTAACTTCTCTTAGAAGTTGGATTAAAAAACAAACAAACACATAAGAAGAAGTAATGTTGAAGTCTATTTGGATTTAGCTAAAAACATGCTTGGACATTTGCATGAAGCTGTGGCCTTTTCTAAAACAACGCAAATTAAATCACCTGAGACCATTATTTCATCAAAATCATGGAGACAGGAATAGTTTACTTCGCTTGGTTTTCCCTCCATTTGGCTATCTGCTAATAATTATAGAAAGAGTAAGCATCTGTTTTTTTCAGCCCATATGTAACATTTTACCTTCTTTTTTGTTTCGGGTGAATGAAATTTTATACCATGTTCCATTATTGTAGCGGCTTTCTGTTTTAAGGGTAAGAGGACCTGAACCAAGATCAACAGTTAGCTTAACTTTGCCATCCACAAGCTCCAGAGACAAGAAATCCCTCTGCAAGGATGAAACAAAAGTCAGAAAATAAATAAAAGCTCTTTGGTAACATCCTCTCCTCTCAATAAGTTCAAGGCAACATACAATATAAAACACCAAGGGTAGTATCCAACCAACCTGATCCTGCTCAATGGAACTTTCCCCCTCATCTCCCAGCATGTTCCTTGTGCCCTCCCCAAATCTGCTCTAGAGGGTTGGAAGAAACCCAGAAAAGATTTAGGGGTGTGTGCAAAGGGAGGAGGGTGGCAGTTCCATTGTGCAAGAACAAGTTAGTTGGATACTGCCCAAGATCTTATGTATGCATGTCAGGGGGAAATAAAGATTCTATATGCCTTTAAACAATGGTTTTCAACATTCAGCAGAAAACCATAGTACTATATAAATAGTCAGTGCCACTTTTTCTTGAAAAGTATATACAATCACTAGTCATTTCCACAGAATCTTTGGAAACTACTGGTCTAAATAGTGCTTTTAAACACTGGGTGAGTTTTCTTACTGTGCCATTAGAAGTCAGGTACACTAAGAGCCCATTTGGCGAGAAGGTGCTGAAAAATACTATGATTTGGGTCACAGTGGAGCGAAGTGACTTCTCCACCACTGAATATCCACTCCCGTCAAAGTGAAATGAAGTGTCTTCATCCTGTGGGCTGCAGAAACAAACAAAACATTTAAAGGGTTCCAGCCTCCAGAAAAGGAGTCGTTTCCTTGTCAAGAATGGAAACTCTACCCACAGAACCTTGAGCTAATCATTTTTATTTAAAAGCATTTATAAATCATTTATTTAAAAAAAATCCTCTAAGCAATGCACATTACAAAAACTGGGCATTTTCAGCTGTTGCCTCTGTACTGTGGAATGCTCTCCTCTCGTCCACATATAAAGCAGTAAGCTTCTGCTGCTTCAGGCATCTTGTACAGATTTATAATTTTGCCCTGGCTTTCCCTGATCTATGGAACCAGCCCATGTTTCAGGTGTTTGAATTCCTGTTTTATGTTTTCATATGCTGTTAATAGTACTGTTTTTTGTGTTGTGGGTCACCATCCTATTGTCTTCTGCAGGGTGTGATATCACAAGTTGAATTCCTCCGGGTCATCTAAGTGATCTTACAGACCAATACAGGGGGAAATTTGCTTGTTTAACTTCAATTAACTGACACAATTTGCCTACCATGTTAACCAGCCTGATAAGCCAAATTGCAAATTGCGGCATATTCTGAAATAATTATTATGGTAAAATTATCAAGTGCAAAAACAGAATATATACATTCCAATCTTCCAAACTGCTGTCACTGATTTACTGGATAAACACTCTCAGGAAAAGTGGCTCAAGAAATCAAGCCATAATTATAAGGATTGGTCTGATGATATTAAAAGATTTCTAAAATAGTCCTGCATCTCCCTCTGCTGGTTACAAATGATACCTACCAGGAATATGCAAAATAAAATAAACAATTTTTTTGTCATATACAGTTCTTAAAACATTAATAATAATAATAATAATAATAATAATAATAATAATTTATTATGTGTACCCCGCCCATCTGGCTGGGCTTCCCATATTTGAGAACTAAATGAATGTAATATCTGATGCTATTTTAAAGCACATTTTCACAGAGAACAAATATACATGCATGGAAAAACATCCAAATCAGAGTTTAATCATGGGGAATGTGCTCTGGTTGCAAAAGTTCCCTTGTCTACTTCCTAAGAGTAGCAGTAGTAATAGATTATCATCCCCTTGTCATGTAATCATAAGATCACTGTGAGGTAGGTTAAGTGGAAAGATAGTGACTGGCTGAAAGTTTGCTTCACGACTTGTTTGGGGATTTGAACCTAAGTCTTCCTGGTCCTAACCACTGCCCCATGCCTTCTCTCATTTACACCAGTTTCCTGTGACTTTCAAACTCAGGCAAAAAAACCAATCAGCGGTAACCACAGCATTCTGCCCAACAAGAATCAGAACACACTGTTTAGTTTTTGAGGCATTGTTTTTAGCAGGAACCAAGGATTGCTCAGTTTGCATATCATGGCAAATTATAGTTACCACAAGCTAGGAAGTGGGTGAAAAAAATCAATCTGCATTTGGGGAGGGGAAAGGCGAAGTACAAAACCAGGAACCCAACAGCCATCCATAGTTTGGCTGTGATGAAGCACATGTACTCCCTTCTTTTCATGTGGATTCTGTAAAATGGTAAGGAGCTTCAATATGCTCACAGGAAACAATGGCAGGCAACTGCACCAAATAAAAGCCCCAAGGAGTTTCTACAGTCATGGTGGTGTGGTTTGGAACCTGGACCCAGCCACACAAAAGATCATGAGCCTTTATACGAATGAGGAGCAAAGCAGGAATGCCCAGCTCAACCAACCATCACTCCTGTGGAGAAGCTGTATTTATGCAAACATGCAAGACAACTCCTGTTTTAATTACAGATTTCTATAAACTGTTTCATGTTCTCACCTTCCAAAGCATCCATTGCACTTGCCTTCCCTCTCCACATAGTTCCAAAGTCCAACAGATTTGCCATTCAAGGATGCTTCCCCCATGCATCCCTTAAAATGAGTAACCTTAATGGCAGGTGATTTCTGTACAGAAGAAGCACATTCACCATGAATGATAATAAAAAAGGGAATTTGACATTTATCCAGATAAACAGCAATCCGTGGCCTAAAGTTGTAACTTGATAATCAGGATAAATTGTACTAGGCAAATAAGAGCATTACTGATACGGTTATTCATAATTATATGTGTGCAGGTGGCTTAAAATAAGAAGAAAAATACAAAAATGATATCCATAGTCAACTAGGAGCACAATTCTACATTCAGGATCTGCCAGCTGAGAAGCTGCATGATTTGGAAGAAATGCTGCTAAACATATCTCCTGTCATCTCTGAATGTGTGGCAATTATTGTTCATTCATCACAGAACAGTGAGTGGAAAGCGACAATAATGAACAATAATGAAGTATTACAGCATGGCTATTAATTTTTTCACCTTTATTTGTCCTCCAAGTCCACCAATAAACATGAGTGTTGATTGGTTTACATCCAGTACTGTAGCTGTCCCAGATGAGGTGGCAGTTCTCATAAAGGGCTTCTGAGAAGCGTTTGCCTCTTCTACACTCAGAGTGCCAGTTCTTCCAAACCTAATTATCACAAATAATAAGGGGATTAAAAATAGTAATGCATGCTTAACTGCCAATCTGTGTTATATACTTATCACTAAAGAAAGAACTGCAAAATTTTCTGAAATTAAAAATGGCTACATTATACATGGTTGACAGCAGATGCTCTCATCAACCCCAATTATTTGGATGAGTTGTACTTCCCAATAAAATAATAATAATTCTCCTTTAGACAGTAATTATTTCAGGTTTATTGGTGACTGTGCAAATCTGATATTCCCCTAGGGTTCATTAATTACATGTGCTGCACACCAGTTACATCTTACCTTGTAGCATGTATTCTGTGCCATTTGTTGTTGTTAATGGAAAAGTCAGGGTATTCCAGCCTCGTTGATCCAGAGCCCATATCCCACAAAAAGGCCACCTTCCCACGTCGCATCTCCACTGCCATGAAATCAGCCTAAAAACAAGGTTGCCAAAACACTGAGAGAATGCCCAAATGGCTAACGTTGGTGAATGTCAGCTACTAAAAGACAGTATTTGAAAGCATTGATCAAATCCAAATGAGACTCAGTTCACATGTTAAATAAGCAGCACAGTAACACTTTACAAAGGGACGCGGGTGGTGCTGTGGGTTAAACCACAGAGCCTAGGGCTTGCCGATCAGAAGGTCGGAGGTTCAAATCCCCGCTACAGGGTGAGCTCCCGTTGCTGGGTCCCTGCTCCTGCCAACCTAGCAGTTCGAAAGCACGTCAAAGTGCAAGTAGATAAATAGGTACCGCTCCGGCGGGAAGGTAAACGGCGTTTCCGTGCGCTGCTCTGGTTCACCAGAAGCGGCTTAGTCATGCTGGCCACATGACCTGGAAGCTGTACGCCGGCTCCCTCAGCCAATAAAGTGAGATGAGCACCGCAACCCCAGAGTCGGCCACAACTGGACCTAATGGTCAGGGGTCCCTTTACCTTTACCTAACACTTTACAACATTGGCCCATATGGGAATGATTCTCTCAGGAAACTATTTGTATCATTTGACCTCACATTGTGGACTGGGCCATTTCAAACAAAGGAACATGACTCTGCTCAAAAAAGAGGGGCTTTAATGGGATGGAATGGCTAAAATTGGCCAAACACTGCAGTAAGTAGTCACCACTTCACTTGCATATTAATCACTTGTACAAGAATACTGAAAATAAAATTGGCAATCTGAACACATGCAGATCACACTGAGTTTCGAGAAGCCAATGGTTCAATAATTCAAGACACACACACAGTGTTAAGTGCAACTTAAACACTAAAAAAAAACCCCCACAAAAACCTCTATTCAGAATTTTGGGGACCATTAAACTTGCTATGTGCAAATGAAGCATTCAAGGAAAATAAAACTAACAGTGCATTTGTAAGGTGTGCCGACAATACAAAATTATCCAAGCTTAATTATCCGAAGGATTGTTTAATTGAAGATACAGCTGGCGCTCCCAGAAAGTAGTTGAAGAACCAGTTGTTATTGTATAAATGCTAACCACTATACAAAACAATCCAAATTAGCTGTAAGCAATCATGAATGCTATTAATGTCAGGAACAGTATCTTTCCATGTATTTCATATATCATATGATACAAATTTAAGAACCCTTTCCTTACCACTGCTATTTGGAGTATTCAAGAGCTTACATAGATACAATATCACAGTCTGCTTTCTTGGAGGGTTTTCAACAGAGGTTGGATGGTCATCTGTCCTGCATTACAGGGGATTGGACTAGAAAACCTTCAGGGTCCTTTCCAACTCTACAGTTCTATGGTTCTAATGTGGATTAGAATCCCCATTTCACCAATGAATGTATATGAATAGATAGAGTGACCTATCACACCCAGTAGCCATCTAGTATAAAGGGACAGCTAAAAGGTTTTCCAGTAAATGACCAGAACACTTGGTCTTTGGTAAAGAGTTTCCAACATATAAAATGAAGACTTAAGTTGCCATATAAAATGTTCTAAATCCTTCTGCTTACTTTACCACTGCTACCCAGGTAAAACAGGAGGTTATCAGGTTCAGTTGTTTTAACATTTAATGTTAATGTGTTATAGTTTGTAGACAGTATCTGGGGCTGATAAGCACGAATGCAGTCTCTTTCTGCAGACACGGCGACTTTAATCTGAAAAAAGAGAAGAAGAAAAAAGGCAAGGTTGGTATATACGTTGTACATGTCTTCAGAAATGGTCTGTCAAATTTAAAATTGTTTAGACTTGCCTCAGCCAATTAGTTTCTAGGATTGTGTCGTATTTATAGTATTAATCATCACCACCACCATCAATAATGGTGTTGTTATTAAATAATAAATGATATTAATTAAATTTTAATTTTAATGATGCAACTTTGGGGCTTTATGGAGTGGCAGGGCCTTTATATATAGAAAAGCAAAAGAGTAAGTGAGAGAGAGAGAGAGAGAGACAAACTGACAAAGAAGCATTTTTGTTACGTTCTGATCCAGGAATTCTAAACGTAAATGGGACACCTGTTCACTGTGATCTAAGAAATTTGCTAAAGTTCTGTTTTGCCACTGTAGGGTCAAATGTTTTACAACAGCTTGGTAAGGAAATAGGTAAAATTGTTGTAGGGGACAGTTCTGCCAGCTAGTATGTCAACTGGCTATCTATGAACTACAGCACAAGGAGCAACAAGTTGACAAATGTTAATGTAACTTCACATAAAGGAAATTTCTCTAGAAACTCTGATAGATTAAGAAAACAAAGAGCTCAACATTACTAATAAGAACTACTATGGGTACAAGCTACAGAACTCCTCATGCCCTGTATAGCTTTTCAAATTCTTTTTTCCTAACCAGTAATTTGACACACTGCATAATAAATCACCTTTTAAACTGCAGGGAGTTCATACATAGGCGTAATGTTGTTGAAAGAAAGAAATCAAAAGTGCTACTGGATATTCCATGAGACCCTGAATTGTGGCCTGTGTCTTCATATTGCAACACACACACGTACACTATTGATTCGGGCATGTGCGTAGCATTGAAGCTTAGTAGCATTTCCCCCTCCTAGACCATGTAGAAGGGAATAAGCTGCTTACAGAGGCGGCCTGTTTACGGGCTTGACTGATGAGCTCTTTAATTTCCGAGATGTTTCTGCTGAGGTTCTCTTCCAGCACTTTCAGAGGCTTCAGCCTACCAAACAGGAGGCTGGCCTGGATTTCAACTTCATTCACTTTTCTTTCAGCTGACGCTGCTGCCAAAAAAAAAAAGAAGTTGAGGTTTTGAAACAGGTGCTATTGCTTGAATTTTGGAGAAAACTGAAGATTTCGTTGCGTTCAAGTGAAAAAACATACACCGGTACAAAATGCATATGTAATGGCCAGTTTAAAGCATTTCTTATAATTATGGCCTATTAATTTAGGATTGCAGTTCTGAAATGCATACTTGTCATGGGAAAAGTATTTAGCAAATCTCATCTGCACACTTTTAAGAGAAGTAGTATAAACTAGCTTTAATGTAAATAAAGATAAGGAATACTTAGGTTTAAAAATTAACTCCCCTCTCACATGCAGGGACATTTCTAGGGAGCAATGAAGCAGCAAACCTACCAGCTTTTGATGAGTCGATTATAAGTTCATTGGTTTTCCGCAATGTCTCATTAACCTTAGACAATGTGAATGAAGTGTTCAGGAACTTCTCACTAAAAACCCCAGTGTGCCTTAAACCATTAAGAGCAGTTGTATTAGCAGACACAGCCAGCTCTCTTACAGCGAGAATATTTTCACTGGTATCTGAAACATATGATCAACATAAGTAGATTACCTACTTGCATTCGGGGCAGAAAACTCAGGCTCTGGGTCTTAGCTACCAGTTTTGAGGCCAAACTGGGTATGTAGGGGGTTGGACTAGATGACCCTCATGGTCCCTTCCAACTCTATGATTCTATGATGCGAGAGATAAGCAAACAAGATCCCTTAACAGACTTGTTTGTCTCTTTACAATAAAGCAGCCATGGAGAGTTGAGAGATTAATACTTTCCCTATGCAGTTTCCCCAACTTAAACTGTACCCACATCCCCAACAAAGCTGCTAATTTCCTATGGATGCAAACACACAGCAGAAGATAAGTATTTTAATTTATTAACATCAAGGAATGATTATGATTTAAGTAGTCATCAAGTCAATTACCTCCACTGCATTAACATTTAAATGTAGGTTTCCTTTAGTCAACAGATGTTACATTTCGATGCACCTTAATGTCCTGAATGGTAAAATGGGTTGGTTTTTAATCTTAAGAGAGATGTTGGCTCACTGAACAGTATTAAGTTAATTGGGCCATCAAAAGCAGACTCAGCATCTTCTAGTAGAAAAAAATTCAGACACTGTCTACTGCAAATGGACTCGACAAGCAGTCTTTAACAAGTCTTTAACAAGATGTTAAAAGTCTGTTCTTTTCCATTAAAAAATATTCTACATTCCAAGCTATTATTATCTTAAACTAGGTAAAGTCCCTTGCTTGTTTAAAAATATAACAGAAAAGCTACTATAAAGTTTAATTAGGTTGTTTGTATTATTAAGAAATATTATTTAGAACAACACAGTAGAGCTATTCTTTTTCCTTCTCTCTCTCTCTCTTTTTTTTTTTTTTACTTATGCGAAGTTCTAAAGTTTTTAAGGCTTTTCCTAAGTCTTTTAAGGCTCTTCTTTTCATTACTGTTTCACCAGCATGCTTTCAATGAATTCAATTAAAATCTTCATTACAGCTTAAAGGTTGCAAAGGTTTTGATTTTTTTTTTTTTGTTTCGTTTTGTTTCAGAGCTCCTGTGTCTTTACAGATGAATACCAGGCAGGATGTCAATACCTTAACCGTTGCCTGGCCTAAATATGGAGCAACGAAGAGTAAAGGCTGCCTGTTGAAATTTTCTTCCTCTGCATGTGGCAAAGTCATAGGAACCCTTCCAGGAAAAAGAAAATGTCTATCCTATATGGTACATATCCAAGAAAGTGATACACAATGAAGACCTTTTCTTCTTACATGCCACTGTCGCTTCCTCTGTTTTCAGCATTCTCAAAACGTAAAGGTATTGCTGAACTTTCCAATTAGTGATGACCAGGGGTGCTGCTCAAGTTAAATATACTTACCTTGTGTAATGAAGAGGAAGTCAAGATGGATTTCACTTACCATTTGGCAATGCAGTCAGTTGCAACAGTGAGCCATTAAACTGTTTAGCAAATCCACTAGCTGTCTCTCTAAGTTTTTCCACTTTTATGTTCATCTCATTTAATCCAGATGTAAGCCCTATGGAGGAATAAACACTTGTAATCCTGACATAGCTGGCTGCTTCTTCACACCACTGCTTCCAAGGTTATCAAACTCAATGCATAGGTGCAAGGCAAGACCAGTTGTCTAATAGTCTCCCTCAACATTCATCCCAAATCAGACCCTGTAGTAGAGACCACAGTATGGCAATGAGAGCAGATGTACTGTAAAAGTATGTCAGGAAAAGAAAAGGCTTTATATAGCACAAGTGAGCCAAACCGCATGCTGCAAACACACACAGCAAACATCCTGTCAAAATTCTTCCCTGTTGCCAAGTATGCTGCCAGAGGGGAAATGTGGAAGTGGTTCAGGCTCATAACATGTTTCTTAAATGTTTATACTCCATGCTAATATACAGTATGTATCAGTTTTATTCTACCATTCCTGAAAGGAGCTCAGGCACATGATTATACCCATCCCATTTGATGTTCAGAACAACCTGTGAGGTAGGATGATTGCTGGTCCAAGGTCACTTTGTAACATTCACGGCTGAGTGCAGATCTCTTCGATATCCAAATCAAACACACAGTTATGGTGATCTAATTCTGATTAATAGCTGCTTTGCTCTCAATTAAGACATAAATCATAATACAGTAAGCCCAAAACTTATGCAGCATTTACGTTCTAGAGATCTCAAGCCAAAATCATGTATGGTCAAAACACATTGGGATTGATGGGTGGGATTGCCAAAGTCTTTTTTTCCTGGACACTGCCCCCCTCTCCCCCCCCCCCCACTTTTTAAAAAATATTTTTTTGTTGAGCGTGTAAAGCTGAACGTGCATTAGCTAAATGTGCATAAGTTGCAGGCTCACTGTACTAAAGTTGTACACAGGAGATCTCCCCTGACCAATCAGGACTTTTCCACACAGGTATCTGTAAGCAGAGAGTTTTGCATTCAGCATCCTTCTCGGGAACCAATTTCCCGCAAGACTTGTTCATCTTAGGTGACAACATTTTCCCACCCAACTGTGAATAAATAATTTTCTGGTTCCTCTTAAGGCTGTGTACACATGTACAGTGCTTGAATGACAAACACGCTGTGGATCCACACTCACCCCTTTTGCAAACAGATGTGCAAACTTTCAAAATGAGGTGAGCAACCAGCCATCTGCCAACTTTGCAGATGGATGATTCTGACAATTTTGAAGTCATTCCCTTCTCCACCACCAGCCAGCTGATTGCTAGGCCCTTACATCACTTATAAAGCCCTCCTCACTGGCCCACTGCCCAAAACAAAGAGCTTTGTTCAATGCAAAAAGGCCTGCATGAAAGGGACAAAAATTGATGGTAGGTTTGCAGCCAGATACATGTGTCACTGGGAGAGCAAATGAAGAAAACCCCCACACTGACTTCTAGTAGGATGGCTTCCATAGCTGGAGGTGATGTGGGATATAAATAATATATCTATAAAATTCTGTATACATACATACACATCACCTGGGAAAGGGAGTAATGCAAAGGGTCAGCATTTTGTCAACATCTGTTAATTGCTGCTGGAAAGTTAAGAAACAATTATCTCTTTTTAAAGGGAGAGAGTGTAATTGGACTTACTCCACTTGTTTTAATAATGACCATCAGTATAGTAGTCAACATTTCATAAGCTATCCATATTTTATACTTACCTTCATACTTCTTGTGCAAACTTTTTGCTTCCGTCAAAAACTTGGAGCCAAGCTGGAGAATGTTTTTCCCAGTAGAATTAAAAGTTTCTTTTGGCTTAAAATAATCAAGTAAGGAAACACTGTTATACACGAACTCTATGAAAAGTATTATTTATATATATGAAAAGCCCTACAATACAATTTTTTGGGGGGAAAGTATTAATTGTCAATGTATGGCCAGAATTTAAAGGAATACATTCTTATGTTTACATATTATTCTGGTATATGTTCCTCAATCCTAAAATTAGTTCTGCAAAACATTTATTTCTCAGAAAGTGATGTAACAACAACAATATCAGCAACAAAAAATATTACTATACTGGATAGTGGAACAAAATGTGTAGAAATGGGGCATTGTGAACATATCCAGTATTTAAATGCAGTACTACCTTTCTAGGAATCCTAGATTTGACAGTTAGGCTGAAATCCTATGCCCTTGGAAGTAAATCCAACTGAACTTAGCAGAACTTGCTTCTGAGTATACAGCACAATCCTATGGATATTTACTTGTGAACAAATCACACTATGTTCAGTGCTGCTTATTCCCAGTTTGCACAGGACTACACTCTAACTCAGATTATTATTTTTTTAATCTTTTAAGTAATTTCATGTGAAAAAATAATTGATCAAGAATGCCGATTACTGTTACCAATCCAAAGTCATTCACATTCTCTTTTATGAGAATGGGTTGTGACCATGAACTAACAAATCAAGCAATTACATCCAAGCTCAAATTTGCCTTTGATTTTACATTAGGCATGTCAGAGAGATCATATTTTTTATTTGAGGACTAGCAATATGGTACATAGTTAAAGCTATGGTTTTCCCAGTAGTGATGTATGGAAGTGAGAGCTAGATCATAAAGAAGGCTGATCGCCGAAGAATTGATGCTTTTGAATTATGGTGCTGGAGGAAACTCCTGAGAGTCCCATGGACTGCAAGAAGATCAAACCTATCCATTCTTAAGGAAATCAGCCCTGAGTGCTCACTGGAAGGACAGATCCTGAAGCTGAGGCTCCAATACTTTGGCCGCCACATGAGAAGAGAAGACTCCCTGGAAAAGATCCTAATGTTGGTAAAGATGGAGGGCACAAGGAGAAGGGGACGACAAAGATCGAGATGGTTGGACAGTGTTCTCGAAGCTACCAGCATGAGTTTGACCAAACTGTGGGAGGCAGTGGAAGACAGGAGTGCCTGGCGTGCTCTGGTCCATGGGGTCACGAAGAGTCGGACACGACTAAACGACTAAACAACAACAATATGGTACATATTCTGGTTCTAGGGCAAGGGTGGTCAGCCTGTGGCCCTCCAGATGTTGGCTACAGCTTCCATCAGGCCCAGTCTGCATGGCCAATGATGAAAACTGTAGTCCAACAACATCTGGAGAGCCAAAGGTCCCTCAGCCCCATTCTAGAGAGTGAAACATGGATTTTAGTAAGAATGCAGTGTGCTTCAGTTCTCAAAGCGGCACTTACCACATCTGTTATAATCCTGTAGGCATCTCCTGCTAGATTCGCTGCACTTTCAACCAAACTTTTAATGGTGGAGAATGCAGAGACAGCATTTGTTGCATTCAAGGACACATTTCTAACATTCAAGAGACCACTGCGGTAGGAAGGAAAAATCGTAACTTTTTCATGTAACATTTAAGCTAATTAAAACATTGCACAATGCAGGGACATACCATATTTTGGAAACCGTTAAATAGCTTGACTATTGCACTTTAAACAGATAAATAATTTTCATGAAATAAAAAACATTATAGTGTTGCTTAAACTCTGGCAGTACATTCCCCTAATACCCAAGGCAGCCACACTAACTGAGCTTCCCTTTGTACTTTAGCTTTCATTTGGTTTACTTATTTTGTTCAGATCCCTCAACCAAGAGAACAGTCATTTAAATCCCAGTTCCTGAATCCTTGCCTTCCTTGTCCATCCTATATAGCAACTAAAAGCTTAAAATGCTGGCTAAACTCCAAGGGCAAAACTCAGAAGGGCATCAAGATCAGCAGGCCTATTGGGGTGACTTTATTGGTAAAGGCAGTAATATAGTCAACTCCACACTTCAGTTCATGATGCACTCACCTGTCTAGTGCACGAGCAACTCTCTGTAACTCAGCTGCACGTTCTTCCGCTCTGTAAACCAAATCCACAGCCCCTCGAGTGGACATCTGCATGACCAGGTCATCCACATGCTGCCTTAGTTTGCCATTCCATAGGACCAGTCCATCCCGGTGGATTTCTAGACTCTGAATATGCAAAAGTAGTTATTGCTGAGTCATGGATAATTCACTTTAACAAATGATGACTCAAGTGTTCAGTAACTTACAGATGTAGAGTTAATTACATCTTTAGCAAGTGCAGCAGCTGCATCCACCTGTACTTTGCCTTCTCTGGTCAGCATAACAGAGAGTTCCTTCTTTTCTTGAACATTCAGCTTTGTTTGCTGTGGCATAAATGCAACGATGGGCAAATTTAATACTTTGTAACAACATTATAGAATATATCTGACATTTTATACTTAAAAGGACCACAAAAGGTTAAAAGTTGCCTCTCTCACTAATCTTAATATCAATTCATTTTTAAAGCAAATTTCCCTTAAAAGTTACTTTACAATTTCTCTTGTAAAATCAAATGGCATTGCCAGTTTCCTTACAGTGTATTCCTTGAGGTTGCTGTTAATAAGAAAAAGCAGCCGCATGGTTTCATTTGTGTTAGTTGTAGCCTCGTTCACAAGATCCTTGGCTTCCTGAAGTCTGGTGCTGTGGTTTGATAATATGTGTTTGGCAGTTTTTTGTAAGTTCTTAAATTCCTGCTGTGGTCTCCCATACTCTTTCTGGATTCGTAGCAACAAGCGTTCTGCCGCTCTAATAAATGTGGAAAGGACACTCAGTTACATAAGCTTTCTTAGATCACAAGTTGTAGAAAGGTACAGTCCTTTGATAAATAGTCGTATTGCATTTTGGTGGGCAGGGTGAAAAAAGACACCCCCCCCCAAAAAAATGCATGTAGTTTCCTGTCACTGTGAATTATCACATACACTAGGCACGCAGAATTCTCTCACTCTCCTTCACATACTCATAGACGAATTCTCACACACCAGTGAGACAAGCAGGCACATTCCCAGCATTCCCAGAGAACTCAACTCCAGCACTGGGCTGGATGTGGCTGCAAAGATCCCTCTGCAAGCTCCTAAGAAAGGTAAGGTAAAGGTAAAGGACCCCAGGACAGTTAAAGTCCAGTGAAAGGTGACTATGGGGTTGTGCTCATCTCGCTTTCAGGCCGAGGGAGCTGACGTTTTTCCACAGACAGCTTTCCGGGTCATGTGGCTAGCATTACTAAACCACTTCTGGCACAACAGAACACCGTGATGGAAGCCAGAACGCACAGAAACACCGTTTACCTTCCCGTCACAGTGGTACCTATTTATCTACTTGCACTGACGTGCTTTCGAATTACTAGGTTGGCAGGAGCTAGGACAGAGCAACAGGAGCTCACCCCATCACAGGGATTCAAACCGCCGACTATCTGATTGGCAATCCCAAGAGGCTCAGTGGTTTAGACCACAGCGCCACCTACTTTTTAGAGAAAGTTTCTCTAAAGAGCAGGCAAAGGGATTTTCTCTCTCCATCTTGGCACTAAGTACCACAGCTCTAAGATCAGACATAAAGTCTCTATCTACTACAGTGGTACCTCGCAAGATGAATGCCTCGCAAGACAAAAAACTCGCTAGATGAAAGGGTTTTTTGTTTTTTGAGCTGCTTCGCAAGACGATTTTCCCTATGGGCTTGCTTCGCAAGATGGAAACGTCTTGCAAGTTTGTTTCCTTTTCTTAACACCGTTAATACAGTTGCGACTTGACTTCGAGGAGCAACTCATAGAACGCGGTGTGGTAGCCTTTTTTGAGGTTTTTAAAGACTTTGGTGATTTTTGAAGCTTTTCCAAAACTTTCCCGACACCGTGCTTCGCAAGACGAAAAAAATCGCAAGACGACAAAACTCGCGGAACGAATTAATTTCATCTTGCGATGCACCACTGTACTTAAATAAATTATTTTATAACTATCATGTGCGACAGCCAGAAATGTTGTAAAAATCAGGCTATTTTGTAGCAAGGAGTGGCTCATCCAGTGTGGTAGAGCTGCAGCAACAGGATCCTGGCAATGGCATTCCCATTGGTTACCATGGAGGGAGGTGGTGGCAGTGAGGTCAGGGATGCACAGATCCACTACTGGAGCCAGTCTGGTGTGCTCATCAGTACACCAACACAGTCTGACCTCATTGCCTCTTTCTTCTTTCTTAGGCTTGCAAGCAGCAGCAATGCCAGTCCAGTGGCTATTGTTGTGGTTTTACTGAGCTCTTGGCATCTTCCTGTGTATCACTTTAAAAATATTACTGAATGCTTCCAAAACACAGTTCTTCAAATTTATTTTTAAAATGAAATAAGGTTCACTTATTTTCCAGCACTAATTCCTTTCCCAATTTTCAAATTCAATTCCTTGCTTATAGTAGTAACAGATTAAAATAATTTCTGATTTTCTCATCAACATTATCTAGCTCATGGATCATGGAACTGTTCTAAAAATGAATATATAAATGTAAGTTACGTTTATTGTTTGATAGATATAGATAGAAATTGTGGCTTTGTTTAAAGCACAGCTGAAAATCAAATCATTTTATGCATTTAAAAAAAAACACATTTGTCTAGCTTGATTCAAACCTCCTAAAGTCATCACATATTAAGCTTCCATTTAAATTAATATATTGACATACTTCGGAGCCTACTGCCTGCAATTTCCTCTTTTAAAAACATTTTAGATATACTTCTCTATATGTTCATTGCATATGTTAATAGAAGCATGATCAGAAACACCAGTTGGCTTACTTTAACTCAAGATTACTGTCTTGGTACATCTGCTTGAAATATCTTCCACGCATTATATCCAGCATGACGGGGATCTCATCTTCCAGTTCTTGAAATGTCCTGTTTGACTGAGGGAAATCCATACCTAATGTTTCATTAAGGGATGCTGCCACTTCCCCAAGTACTAGATGGAAGAAAAAGTAAGTTACAAAAGAAGAATTGTTTTAGTACTTTGTACAAATGCACCAAATATATTTTATCTTTATAAATGATTTTCACAAATAATATTTGTATTTCAGAAACATAACTACTATAGCCTGCCATCAAGAATTTTACCTTTAACAGCTGCCTGTAATGTGTCGATAAATATAGCCAATTCTCGACTCTTGTTCAAGGTCCTTTCCGCAGCATCATGGAGAAGCCCTCCTCTTTCTAATATCCTAGTTAGCTAGCATAAAAGCAAATTGTGGTTTTATTTCAGTTGCTGTTAGAATAGTGGTTTCAATGGCTGAACCAAAGAATGAAGAGCGTATCTCGAATTCATACTGACTCATACAGGAAACTAACATTACTTTATGAAATGTATTTATTTGATTTCTTTTCAGATTAACTGGTTTCTATTAACCAGCTCTCTCAGGAAGAATAAAAGGATCAGCAAAAGCCAATCATATATCCAAGACAATTATTAACATGTCATTACTATCGGTCATAGTAAATCCTGACAGAATCAAATTATCAATTATTTCAAGTATTTAGTGCTATAATTTAGAGAGGGCATAGCTGGTAATGAAAAGATCCCAAATCTATGAGGGAAAACCTATAGTAACGGCAAAGCAGTTTAGTATTTTCTGGGTAAAAAAAAAAATCTAAGGCTAAAATCCTAATCCCCTCATTCTTGTCGCTGGAGGGGTTTATGATGCAGTGGATGTTTCTGTCTTCCGGCCTCCACAAACTTCTGATGGAGGCTCCACTGAAGGACCTGCCACGGCTGCATTAAGAGCAGCAGATGTGACCTGCTGTTTTGTCCTGTTTCTGGCAGTGGTAGCTAGTGTAGGGCCCTAAAATGGGATGTTACACGGTGGAGCAGTGACAGAACAGAGCCAGTCATAGACCCATTGGATCCAAGGCCATACCATTCCCCAGCATAGCTGTCAACTTTCCCCTTTTTTAAAGGGAAATTCCCTTATTCCGAATAGGATTCCTCACAAGAAAAGGGAAAAGTTGACAGCTATGTTCCTCAGAGAGGCACCCAACCTGGACTCTGCGGCTATGCCAATCTGGATGACAAAAACCACACACAAACACACACCACACCTTCTGCTTTAGTTAGTGGGCCAGTAGGACTTCAGACAGTGGTTGATCTGATACTGCTACACCCAGTTGATCTTAACCAGGACTTAGGACTGCTCTGCCCAGCTGCCACTTGTACCCATAGTCTAGTAGACCCAATTCACTGTAGTGACTTTGATTTATAAACCAACCTAAGTAAATCCCATGGGAAACTTCTGTAGATCATTTTGAAATAAGTCTATTGGAATATCTTTGGGAATAAACAAGCAAGACTCCTACCTCTCTGTGCAGCTGGTCTGTATCACCTGAAAGGGTTACAAGATGGTCATTCATGATTTCTGTTGAGGAGGTTGGTTCTTTCTTAGTCCAAAAAGACTCCTAGAAGAAAAAAGAATATTATGTACTCAAACATATTCAGCTCAGTGTTCACGACTAGGAATGATAAACAAAGAACATGTATCTACTGGCCATGAATTTTAATGTAGACAACTACCTTAATAGCGCTTATGTTCTATTAATGCTTCCAGAGCACTCCAAAATGCCTATATGGTCACAAAACCTTCTTGATAAACGGAAGTAAAAATGACTATATAAGCAACTAACCCAACACAGAAGCTCAGCGACACCTTACATACCTTTAAATGCTTTGTGGCATTTTCCAAATCTGCAAGTATCCCATAGGGCACCAGGACAGGGCCAGTAAGGTTTACCAAAAGCATGGCTTCATCTAGTTTGTCCAAATCATTTAACAACAATCCTGTGCAGTCGTCATCACAAGCTGAAGAAACCATTTCAAAAAAATATTAAGTTTTAGTTGAATACGCAAAACTGGATAGCACCGAACAAGTAAATTCCACTCATTCCAACAGAGCTTATTTCTGAGCAAGTGTGCTTAGGAATGCAATCTTATGTAACCATAGTATCTACATGCAGTATCAACAAACACCACCCCATGTCTACAGGAAATCCTTGTTCTTTTCTGGACCACCATATGCATCGATGGAGTGTGCCTAAGCCCACTTCACCCCTTTCTAGCACCCCGCCCCTTTTCATGACATCTTTATGATGTTTGGGGGCTACTTCCGGGTTTGGTGCTGTGAACGCTTGCATGATCACTCATCGTTCGGGTGTGCCAAAATTGGAAGTTGCCCATATTATTAACACATCAAAGCAAAAAAGAAAGAAAGGGGAACACTTACCAACACATTCATTTTCCATGAGAATGTGCCTTGATTCACACTCATCACACAGCTGCCCTGTTACACCTTGTTTGCAGATGCATTGCCCAGAGATATGATCACAATTATTGTGAACAGATCCATTTGGGTTGCACTGACACTGCTGACAGTGGCCACCAGGTGCTTTAGGGTTGCCATAATAACCTGGAGAACACCTAGAGGGAAACAGAGGTTCATTTATTTATTTGGTTTATTTTGTTTCTTCAGTTTTCAGCACACACCCTTCATCAACACACAATCCCAAGGTGGGTTGCAACCTATAACAATGCAATACAATTTAACAGCAACATGCAATGCTGATGTTAAAACACCATATAAAATGCTTAAAAATATATCACTATGGCTGCAGGAGGGCCCTTGCTCAATGACAGGCCATATTACTATATCAGACTCCAGAAAAAGCTTGGGCAAAGAGATGTGATTTTCAGCTGGCACCAAAAAGCAAGTAACATTGGCACAAAACATCTCTCAGAGGGAGGGGCATCCCATAGTCAGGGAATCATCACAAAGAAGGTCCTAACTCATATCACTGAGCAATATTATCTCACCTGGTAACTAGACCATGAAAATCTTAACACATGGGCAGAGCCATTATCTCAAGTCCCAAGTTGTCTGAGGACTTTATAAGTTACCAGTCATACTTTTAATTTGGTTTGGAGGCACCCAGTGCAGATCCTATAGAACGGGCAATCTACCCAATTTCTGGAACTCAAAGCTGCCAACCCACAGTGGAAGCCTCTTGATGGTTCTGCATATCCCTCACCTTTCACAGTATTGCCCTTCATATCCAGTGATGCAAGCATTGCAGTAGAAATCACTCACACCTTTCATAATGCATGTGGAACTAAAGCTTGGAGAAAGAAATAAAAAGAGCAAGTTTTAGAAAGAATTCATATATACCCACAAAAAATCTATTCACACAGGAATGTGTGTTTCTACTAGTTTGTATGCAATGGAGGGTGAAAGTAACCATCTTGTGGGGGGCAAGGATTTCTGCTTGTGCAATGGGACTTCCTCCCCACTCCTCCCTCAATCTGTTCTGTGGGTTCCTCCAACCCTCCAGAGAAGATTGGGGGAGGGGCACACGATGCGGAAATACAAGCCTCCCTTTCTCTGATGGTATAGCTGCTTATTGCTGCATTGAATGCACACCACTGATTGTATGAACCGGCTCTCAGTTGGATATAGGGTGCTTCCAAATGGATGTGTATTGTGGAATCAGCGCTCCCCATGCGCACGAGTTTTTGCAGTTCCACAAGGCACCGCTGGCATCAAAATATCAGTCCATGTTTATATCCAAAATATCAGTCCATTATATCCAAACTACCCTTTCTCGTGGAAACCTGGTAAACTAAGGAAAGGAAAAGGGGGGGGGAGAGAGGAAAAAAAGGAAAACCGGCAGCCAACAATCCATTTATGATATTTCAGCGATCCTTTTGCAGTATCGAGCTTCTGTATGGAAGCACCCATAGACACAATTCACAAAGAATATTCAGTGGAAAGCTACTGCTCTGGATTAGCCATTTCATCATCTATCACCATTACTTTTCAAGCTACCCACACTGACCCTGATAATGGAATCTCTTAGCTCAGGGATTCAAAAACAAACCAACAGATAAATGAAAAATTCCTAGAAATACAATCTCTACCTTGCTACAGTACTACCTGGAAACAGTAAGTATAACAATAGTAATTATTAAAAACATCAAAGTTAATTTTTAGTTACCTCCCTGGGCTCATTCTTGGACATGCACACAGAGAACAATCATTGACAGATCCAATCACCTTGCCGTAATAGCCTGGAGCACAAACACTGCACTGGTCACCAGCTGTATTATCTCTGCAGTCCTAGCAGGCAAAATCAGGAAGTTTAAGATGAAAGCAGAAAATTCAATGGAGCACATTTAACTTTGGTGGGAAAAGAAAAGAGACTGAAATCTAGAAAAACAGCAAGGTATAAGGAACAGGAACATTCCATCTCAGGCCCTAATATCCCTGCAAGAGAGGAACAAGTATGCCCCCACTTTGCCAAAGGTATTCCAAAATGCAGTCTCAATACCTCCCAAGTCCCTCAAGCCAATTCAAGTCACCCCTACTCGTGACCAGCCCATGTTAATTTTTATAAACTGTAATTAAAGCTTTTTTTTATTTGTTAACGCTGCAATACTAAAACACTGAATTCAGAGGGCCTTACTTTATCAGTGAAGTTTAATTTGTTAAGCACAACCATTACACTGCAAACCCCATCCTCCATTGCTGCAAAAATGGGTGTGTGTGTTAAATTGTTCCTTGTTGTTCTTTACAGACCTTAAGTAAATGCTTAAATGAAATAAAAACAAGCCTCTGATTATGCACCGATTAATCCAAAGCAGTGTGCAGCTTCCGTCCAAATGTATACTATTCAAGTGTAAAAAAATACTTCACATTTTCAATTTGGGAACTAAATAGGATTTTCATGAATTTTCATTCTTTGGAATTTTCTCCCCCCCACCCCCGCCAGTTGTTAAGTTATTGATACTGTGACAAAAACCAGCCTAGCCCTAGTAAGTCCACATACCAAACACTTTCCTGTTTCTTGGTTGCAAACATCACTGTGATTGTTGCATCGGCATGGCACGCAAGGTGGGATGAATGAGGGGAAGGCTTTAAGGTTTGCAGACTTGTCCACATACTGTTTCTCTCTGTAGTATCCTTGTGCACAGTTCTACATCGTAAAAGAGTTGAACATGCTTTTAAACGGCAACTGAACTTTTGCTTGTTCAGAAGATATTTTAAGACTCCCCAGCAAGTAACATACCTGGCATGAGAGGCCTGCATAACCTTCAGGGCATATACATTTCTCAATGAGATGAGCAACTTCCTTAATCAAGGGCATCTCGTCAGCTTTCATAGCAATTTCCATAGAGACATTTGAGATTCTAAGAGATAATTACATAACACAAAAAATAAAAAATGATGCAGTGATGTTCATTTAGGAAACAGAACCTGCAATTTTACTGTTTACTAGGGGTGTGCTTCAATCACAAAGTTTGGTTTGGAGCCCAATTCAGGGCTTTTAAAAACAGCCTGCCTTAGGTATTGCCATTTATATCTTGACTAAGCAGGTAATCTCTCAAATATGCACTAATAATCTGATTCCTACTAATTTAACCCTTAGTTTCCTAAAAAATAATAATACTAGAACCAAAGAGTGCTTCACCAAGCACAAGCAGTTTCCCACATGCACTGGGACACTACCAGTTTTCCACTGCAAACGGCTGCACAGAAGGCTTGTTCTGTAAGGTACCATGACTTTCAGGGTTTTTTGAGTAAAGTGGCCCTTGAGTATCACTCATATCAAGATAACATGCTTACTACCTTACTCACATTTTATCAAAGTTAAGAGCCCCTAGGTAGAGTAGTTAGCAGAGGTTTACCTGCTTTGTTGTAATCCTTGACCATAGGACGCCTTTATCAAGATGTACTCAACATTGCTCAGCACTGACATGAAGTCAGAATGTGAAACAGATTCATCAGACACAGAATTAAAATATTTCCAGGCACTCTAAAGAAAAATAAATAAATTTGCATCACTTGCGAACACCCAATGTTACAATGTTGTTTGATAGTATTAGTTTTGCAATTGAAGAGGAGAGCAACAAGGCACTTCCACAACCAATGAATCTGGTTCCAGGCAGAAGTCAAAACACTTAAGCTCTTAAATTGTCTTCACGTGCACTCTGATATGGCAGGGGAATGGTTACAGACTGTGCGAGCAACATAAAATTACACTGTAGCCCATCCCTATGTTGCAATATTGTGCTACGCCTGAATTTGAAAACCATAGTTTGTTGTTGGTTTATAAACCTTGGCTCATGTCAACCATGGCTCAGTGTTACTTGTGAACCCAGCCTATATCTTCAAATGGTGTACAACCCAGTCTGGAGAGGTATTAAAACAGCCCAAATGCAGTGTGCACCAAGCAAAATCTCTGCATTGCTGCTGTTATCTGTTTTCATCCATAGTATCTATAATGTTTTCAAACAAAGCGTTGATCTAGGATTAACATGTTTCCACAATATGTGTGGAATTTTAACAGGCATCTAAGACTCCTTCCCAGATCTATATGAAAAGACATTACATCTTGCTTGAGCAAAATGGTCCTAAGACAAATGTTGAGGGAGTTCCAAAGTAGTACAAGAAAAAGACTTTCTTGCAGGCAAAGCCTCTAATTCATCTAATTGAAATGTTTTAAACTCACCTCTATCATTTCTATTTCTTCATCTTTTCTTACTCCATTCTGTGGAGCAGGAATTTCCACATAGATGACTTGTTTACTGGTGCGACCCCCTTTCATTAAGATTTGTGGTTCGAGGTTTGAGGTTCCAGTGCCATCCAATGCATAAAAAGCTACTGAGTATTTCAATTTTCCACCATATGCCATGAGCTGTTTGGATGATAAATCATTACAATTTTATTTTCTTTGATAATTTTAACTGAAATCTAGATCAGGAGGAGGGAAAAGCTTAACTGAAACTCAGCAGCAAACCCTATGCTCCTCATCGTTAGCCTGATATCAAAGTAGTCCGATATTGAGACTACCTTTATTCAGATGATTTTTCACATCTTGAAATTTAATGGAAACTTTGCAAGAGCTGAGATTGCAAAATGAAAGCAAAATACTTCACAACACAGATTTTCTGGAAATGAATTTAAATAAGGTTTGGGAATGTTGATATTGCCAGTACACAGGTCCTTGCAAGACCTTGACTGTGTTAACAAAAAAAAAAAAGCACAGGTTGATCAAAGCCAGAATCTTCTTTTCAGCAGCAGCCAACCACAAGCTCTTCGGGAAGCTCTTAAACAGGGCATGAAGTTAATAGTTTTCTTCCACTATGGCTCCCTAATAGCTGGTATTCTGGGGTATATTACCTTATAACACAGAGAGGTTCCATTGGACAATCAAAGTAAACATTTGGTAAATATCTCAGTTGTAAATTTGCCTAATTTCCTTTAAAAGTCATCTAAAATAGTGGCCAATACCACATTGTGTGGCACTGAATTCCATAAACTACGGTAAGTAAGTGCTATATGAAAAAGTCCTTTCACTCAGTTCTATTATTCTGCAAGCAGGCTCAAATCTAGCACAAAATCTAAATATGCTACAGAAAATACTTTTGCTTTGACATGCATTTAGAAATAAGAATTGAATGAATACTAAAATTATGCACACCGATTTTTTAAAATATATATTTACTTTTGTTTCTCTTCAAAGTTCTTAGAAAGTGGCAGTCCTTCTAATGTCCCCACCCCCAGAATATATAGAAACACAGTCAAATCCAGATTTATTCATAGTTAGAGCGGAACCATTGAAATCAATGGACCCTAAGGGGGTTACATCAGTCACAACTATTTCAGTGGGAGTACTCAAAGAATGTCTAGGTCCGACTCTAAAAATAACTCATATGCTTACCTGGTCTCCCTGGAACTGATCTGGCAATTTCCAGTAAAAAGGTTCTGTAGTCAAGTGTTGTCGGACTGCTTTGACATCCATTAAGATATCAGGGAACTGGGAAAATACACCTTCACTGGTTCCAGTGAGGTTACTGTGAGAAACCACATACAGAACAGTCTGCTGCAGAGACAGGGGGACCTGAAATGACAGACTAATAGGTCATACCTCTTTGTAAAATGCACTATATCGTTTCTAGCTAAGCAAGATTTCAAATGATCTGTTTTCAAGTAAATAAAGCATACACATTATAACTTTGAAATTTTGAAGGAAATTAATTTTTTAGTGTGTTATATTCCTGTATTACTATGAAGTAGTTTCATAAAGCTGAATGGCAGTATATGGATGCATCACTGGCTTTCCCATGTATAGTTCACAGGTCATGTCAAAGCAAGGCAGTGAGGGAGAAGCAGCCACAGCAGCAGAGGAATAAAAGGTAGCGAATACCTTCTTTGCATGATTATCATGGTGTGGCAGAACTTTAGGGTTGTACTATGGCCCTAGGATTACTAGAGCTCAATCCAATCCAAACTTCATTGACAGGGAGATGTATACAAATGCTAGTAATATTTTATTTGTTTATTACAAACTTTTGTATCCCACCCGCCAATCAAATTATCTCCAAGACTGTTTACAACAGATACAAATCAACTAACTCATCTGCTGCTATCTGGATGTCCAATAAAGGTGACAATGACACATGGTCTTAAATTAAAGCCTCTTCCCAGCTCTCTGCTGTTCTTGCAGTCACTGGGATCAAATACGAGATCAAGCTGCGTGCAGATCAAATTATGACAAGACAAGGTTCAAATGCAACAGAAAACCAGGCACAGAAGGTGAAACTGCTTTACTCACTGGAACTCTCACATGGTCTTCTACTTCTGAACACGACTCCGACATCCCAGAGCAAAAGCATGAAATGCATCCCAAAGCATTGGTGGCATGAAGAGCAAACGTCCCAGGTTTGCATTCACTGCAATGCAATCCAATCACATTCTCCTGACAAAGAAATAGATTGTTAACGCCAGTAAGGCTTGAACTGAACAGTTTCAGCTCATAGGTCTCCAGTTATTTATACAACTCAGTTTGCCATCTAGAGAACTTCTTATTTAGTATGGAGTGGCTTGTGGCATGAATGGAGTAAACGTTCCAGCCCTGACACACTGTGTGTCAGGGCAAGTAGTTGCTCCCATACTGCTTGCTACTCTTAACTGCTTGATCAACACACAAACCGTGAACATGCCTGGTTTCATCCGAGTCCCAATCCTGCTCTTGACTATAGCCAGACTATAGCCTCCAGCACAGACACATGAGGAGGTTGTGAAAAGCAGCAGCGGTGTTCTCACAGGGGTAGTGATGTGTTCACGAGGACAAGGAAGGGGTGGGGCAAAGTGGCAGCAAGCTCTGAGTTGCCAGCAGTATTGTCCTGCAGGTGCATGAGCACTTTGGACACACAACTGAACACCTACGAAAAGCTGACACAGCCAACCCAGAGCTCCTCCAATGCCTTGCCCCATTCCTGCCCTGACAAACTATTCACTGTTCCACCTACTGTATATCATGTATGACTGAAGCTAATACAGGTTGCCTTATTTGTGTTTCTAAACCATAGTTTTCATTCTGTCCTGAATGCTGCTTGACGTCCTAATTCAATGTTCTAACACCCAATTTTGGTCTAAACTCTTCCCTACAAGGTAAATGTTTTGCATGTCCAGTCTGAAGGTTACACATTTGTTTTGCTCCTGTATTAACCTAAACCTGGCTTTTCCCCCCAGGAAACACTAGTTGATGTCTGTGTAAGTGACTATTATTGTATTACAGGCAAAGAAAAACGCACAAAGAAAAATAATACGCAGGCAAAGGTTTCATGCTACCTTGCAGACACATGCACCAGTTTCCTCTTCACAGTTGCAGATTCCTTGATTTTGATCACACATGTCTACTTTGCTGCCACGCAAGTCACAATCACACGGAATGCAATCTGGGTAGTCTCTATACCCCAAAGCACAGATAGCGCAGCTGTCTCCTCCGTATCCATTCTTACACTGACATTGAGCAGTCAGCTGGTCACACTGGAGACTGACTGAACCTATATCACTGCAATTGCAGGCCTTAGAAGAAAACAGGACAAGAGATATGTGAATCTTGCAAAGGTCATGAAGTTCAGAAACTATAAACTTTTGACAGACATTAAAACTTGCCAGCAATTTTCTGTAGAGTCCAACTTTAGAAATTGAATACTTTATCTTTATCAAAAGATTTATAATCTGAGCCCTAAATTATATTTTCCCTAAGTAGATAATATCGGTTTGCAGGTGACCATTAAACAACTAGAAGTGATCCAATACAAGCCATCACCATTACAATACCTTTAAAAAAAAACCCCATCTATACAACAATTACTTGGCCATGAAGCAAGGAAAAGGAGGCAGAAGACTCTCACAACACCCCATATGTGGGACTCCCTACCTCAGCAAGTTAAATCATCTTCCTCTTTATCAGTGTTCCACCAACATCTTAAGATAAGCTTTAAATAAGCTTTGATTCTATTGCTGTTTTTATTAGCTGAACTGCTGCTCTTCTCTTAAAAAAATATATCTGGAAATTGTAGTTTAGAAAAGGTTCTGATCATACTTTGTGAAAGATCCCTGGTTCTCCTCGCATAATTACCACTTCCATAGTCCTCTGGACAGAGGAAAGGGTGTTAAATCTTACATCTGTAGAGTAGATAATCCCTTGAAAGTGTATTAATGGCTTCTTTTCACCTAATGAAGAGATTATTGAAGTCACAGCTCACTGGTTTGCAGTTTGCATACTGCATCTAATTCCTTATTATACCTTCTTTGTCTACCACTTACAACGTGCTTGTCACATTTTTCCCTCTATACTTGCAGCTATAAGCTCCTAGCACAACGTCAAATCTGAGTGTTCCCATGTGAAAATATGGAACTAGTCAAATTGTTCTAGAGCCACAGAACCTTGTTTTAGCTGCTTCTTCTTTTTGTTTTTTAAATGAAACACATTGTTATGATAAAGGTGATCTCCCTTGGAGGACAAATTCTAGCTTTTTGCTTCATACTAGCTTTTTAGAAATAGACTGCTTAGGCTTCAGGTTATAAATATTTTGAGAATACAGTTATATAGAATCCAAGGCTGTATTAGCCAGTTTTTAATTAATTCATTGCTGAATGGTATTTCTTTCTCCACAACCAGAAAAAGACTCAAACTCAGGGAAATTCCTTGTCCTCTCAAAGACAATGTATCTTGCTAGTAACACAATACGGCTCTCATTAGTGAAGATGGATTGATTAAGTGAAAGAAACTGTTATATACTGTGAAATTCTTACAGATATTTACCTTGATTCATGGTTAAATGTCATAAACCTCATATATGTCAATAAAGGGGATATATATTGTTCTAGATACATCAAAACATAGGGTAGGAAGAAGAAAAAGTTTCTTTTTACCAGCATCAGCAAAACCAACATAGCAGAAGCTGACCTAATTTGTAGTGTCTAAATACCACAAATTCAATGTGCTATCTTGTGAAATATTTTTAAAAGCTTTGTTTTTTAAAAGGTTCCTAACAAGCACAACATTACCTTGCACCCATTCTCTGGCTCAAGACCCCAGAAGTTCTCCTCACATAGTTCACATTTTTCTCCTTCAGTATGAGGAGGGCAGATGCATCTTCCAGAATCTCCATCACAAACATCATGTGTATGAGCACAATTGCAAGCTACAGGAAGAAGACAGGGAGCAAGTAACCCATTTTGTCAGTGCTAGTAGACTAACAGCAGTGCTAGTAGCGGTGCTGTAGCATCAGGTCCATCTCTGCCTTAGGTGGCCTCCGCCTGTGAGTTTACTCATAAGGAAGGAAGTAGCTCATAAACATTTCCTATAAAGTCCTTTCCAATGTCTGAATTGGAACGTACACTGGTATCATCCAAGGTACACTGTTGTGTCTTAGGTGTAACCAGTGCTTTTTTTTCTTAAAAAAGTGTTTAGGGGTATTCTCGTTTTCCTACTCATATTGAAATACTGCCCCTCAATGAGGCCAAACTTAAGAGTCGCAAAATGTTTAGGGGTATGTGTACCCCTGTGTCCCATCCCCCCCAGAAATTCTTAACAGATTGAGTCAACGGTAAAAGCAAGATTATTACCAACGCACCTCCTATAATCCCCACACCAAATGGCAAAGGGAAAATTGGCACAGGAACCATTTTCATAAGCCCAAATCTTTATTCCAATAGTTGGATTAATTGGATTCCCGTTGTAGACAAAACTTGATGAGAAATGCTTTGATATCAGTCTGCTGACCAGGCTTTACAAATAAATAAATGCTAAAGAGGCTCACAACTGACGTTTCCCATGGTGCAGCACAAAGCATTTTGTTAAAAGAAAATTCGTAAGAGTTGAAGAAACTGCCATGACCAGATTATGGGCTATAATTTACGTGTGCAGCCACCGTCCCGGAATGCATAAAAGCCATGAGCGCAACGATCACACTTCTCCCCAGCCACTCCTGGCACACAGAGACATTGTCCTTCATCATTACAGTCCTCAGCAGTTGAGCCAGCTTTACTGCAGTTGCAGGGACGGCAGCCAAGTCCGCTACTTAGGCCGTAATATCCAAGCTGTCACAGAGAAAAGAAAAGTGTTTCAGCAATATTTCATAGTTCCCTGAAACAAAAACAATTCCTCTCTTGTTTTCATTTTCATCGCTGAATGCGCTCCATTCCTGCTCTTTGGCCTGCATAAAAATAGTGCAGTTCTGCTAGGCAGTGTGTTGGAAAACAGCTCCCAGCTCACATTTCCCCCACCACATAGAACTTATGGGTTCTACTGTGCCCATCAGAAGCCTTTGGAGAATATATAGGAAAAGCAAATATTGTTATTTTAGAAAGGCTTTTGAAATACACATCCAGTTTCCTAGATGAAACTCCTTAAATGCAAAAGTTCACAAAATTTTCAACAAAAGTTCAACAAAACTGCCGCCCCCACCCCACCCTGCCCCCATTTTTGTTTGTCAAGAATCTATTAGCATATGAATAGATCCCAACATTACTTATCATTGAATAACCATGCAGCACAAGTAAATGAAAAAAAAGTTCAACTTTTTCACTTCTCATCAATGTCAAATACTACAATCCACATCAGTTACACATGTTTTTAGACATATATTTGGAGCTATTAGCCCAAATCTAAAAATTGCTGAGGTAACCAAGTTCAGCACAGGGTAAGGCATTATGACTACAGTGGACGCAACCGTGCGGGATGCACGTTTGCAACCCGCATCTGTGCACACGTGGGTTGCATTTCGGCGCTTCTGCGCATAGCGCGATCTAGCACTCCTGCGCATATGCAACCGCTGAAACCCGGAAGTAACCCGTTCCGGTACTTCCGGGTTTCGGCGGTCCGCAACCTGAAAAAACGCAACCTGAAGCGGCTGTAACCCGAGATATGAATGTACTATGATTCGGCCCATGTCTCAAGACAGCATGAAGGTTACCACCACCAGGCCACTCCACCAACACAAATACTGGAGTATAAATAGAGCATGGTATCTTCTGTCTGTCTCTATATATCTGACTGAAAAGAAAAGGCCGGATTTTCAGTAACTCTGCACAGGGCCAGGACCATAACACTAAGGTCATAGTATAATTGACAAAAGAGTAACTGCTGGCAAAGTGAGAGTGGGGGGGGCGTGCACAGCCTTCATTGACAAAAGGGAAGGCTTTCAAAGGGTGCTATTGCACCCACAGGCACTGCCTAGGGGGACACCAGTAAAACATGCGTAAATTACCAATAGAGCAAAAAGTAGAGCAAAAGAAGTAAAATCATGTGTGCTAACATCAAGATTTATTATTTCTTTCTTACCAAACACTTATTGCATTGGAGTCCCACCACATTTCCTTTGCATTGGCACAAACCAGTCTTCGGATGGCAGACACTGGAAATGGAGCCATTCACATGGCACCCACACTCTGATGTGTAAAAAGCACAAATAGAAAAGCTGAATATAACCAGCTATTAACAAAATACTTGAATAACTTTTCTCTATGTGAGGTTTAGGATTCTATACCCCACTTTTGCATATTCTTTCCATCAATATTTTAAATTTGTATTTTTGGATCCTGGACTTAAAATTAAGGCCAAGATCTATACAGTGCCATGTGTGAAAGGAAAGTATTTCCACTCAGGAAAGAAGGGGGGCGGTTCTGTGTCTCCCCCCAACTGCAACTCTGTTCTACATCAATTCTGCTCTAGAGGGTCGTCCAACATTTGAGTAGCAGCGTTGTGGGATTCACAAGGAGATGCAGTGAAAAGCAGAGGCGGGAACTGGCCCACAGACTATAAAGATATCTATGCATATCTTTGGAAAATAGACTAAATTTTCTAAAAAGAAAGCTGAGCACCAGAATTCAAAATACTCTTTTATGAGCTGTATAAAATGACTGGCCCCAGCTTGAACTACAGAGACAAATCCATTGCCAGCACTGATGTAGCATTTGGAAAACCCTCAAACACTCTTGCCTCATTGTTGTAAATAATCGGATATACAATAAAAATGGTTTTGACTCCATTCATGTTGAAATACATCTACCTCACTCTCTTCTTGAGATGTCCTTGTACCAATACAAAAGTACTGGAGATGATGCATACAAAGAGATTAGGCAGGAAACTACTCTCATTGCAGGAAACACAAGTATTTTTTGCATTGGGGTGCCAATGAAATGGCTTGGATCCTAACTAGGCTTCCACAGACAGGAATGTCTCCTGGGTGGAGTTCGACACATAGGACTGTTCTGCTAATGGAAAGCAGAGAGACAACTTTCACCAATTCCTCCAAAAGGCCTGTGTGCCATCAGAAATCTGCTCTGGAGAGTTGGGGAAGTAGACCGTAGAGCAGCATGTGAAGCAGCAGAGGGAGATGAAAGAATCAGTAAATATTACCCCCACCCTTCTGCAAAAATGATCCTCTGCTGGAACATAGAGGAACACCTGTGAAAAGGAGGAGTCACTGCGTTCACAGTTAAGAGTAAAGTGATTCTATTTATTAATCCATTGATTTCCTCAACCCTAATGTGCCTTTTTTTAGGACGTTGCATAAAGCAACTGTCCTACGTATACAAAAATACTTGATCAGTTGATTTAACAGGAATTACTCACCACGGCAGTCTTTGCTGATCACCGCATCCCCGTAATACCCATCAGCACAGCTTTCACAGTGCTGTCCCACAGTATTCCCAATGCACTTCAGACACTCTCCTGTTAGGGAATTGCAGTGGCCGTCTTCCGTGGGATCTACATTGCCATTGCAGTCACAAGGAATGCAGGACTGCCCAGGGACCAAAGGATCACCATAGTACCCATTTGCACATCTGCACAAGGGATTGGAAATTGTGTCAGGTTACAGAAAGCCACATTTTGGAAACACAACACAAGTCTGAAGAGCATAGTGTGTTCATGTACAGATGCAAAACTAGGGTTAGTAGAGAAGTGGCTGAGAAAACAGTACATAACAGGATTGCAAAACTGAACTTCCATCTTTACTATGCTGCTTGAAAAGATAATTTCACCCTTTGTTATGCTACATGCGCACCTAATTTGATTTCAGGGGCAAAAGTAGAAATGGGGAGAGCAGGGGGCAAAATATTCTCTAAAATTACAAAAAAAACAACCCACCACCCCTGCATACTTTAATTCCTCATTTTAAAAACATGATATTTTATTTAAAGGTTATATATTTACAACTGCTTACAAGACTTATAGTGAAATGTTAGAATGATGGCAAACTTCCAGACCACAGTCCAAATTAGGCCCACCTGCCCCATATCTGGCATATGACACCTGCAGCAGGGCAGGTAAAGATAGGGCTGCAAAAGGAACAGGAAAGAGCCTTAAAATACACTCCTTACAGTTCCTTGCTCTTCAGCACTTATGGTGAGGTCAGAAGGAAACTGCTCGTGCAGTTTGATTTCAAACCATTCAGGCAAAGGGAAATACACTTCCCAACATCATGGCAAAACTTTTAAGATTCAGATTCAAGTTCACTTACATGTTTTCCCTATAACTGGGTGCACACTGCATTCAAAGTCAGCTCAGCTTTTTCGAATCACCCCAGAATACTGCTCTGCATCAATCTTTTGCAGATGCCCTTCCCCCATGGTGGGCCACAGGCAGTAGTGGCCAGGGTGGTGGGGCAGAGCTGCCATTCCAAACCCTGAGATGCTGCTACTTACCTGGACAGCGTTGGGGCAGGGCAAGGCCGTAATGAGGTCGGGGCTGTGCTGATGCACTGACAGAGTCAATCCAATACTCCTGTTAGTGCACCCACACAGCCCCAACTTTTCTGCCGCCTTGTCCTGCCCCAGTCTCAGTAAGTTGCAGCAGCATCAATGTATAGACCAGAGCTTAGGGTTGCCATACGTCTGGAATTTCCCAGACATATCCAGAATACCGCATTCAACAGCAGTGTCCAGGCGATACTTGGCTAAATGTCCAGGAAAATCCGGACATAGGGCAGCCTATGTCGGCAATGCTCAACAACTTTTCTGTCTGGGTTTTCATGGTTTGAAATGTGGCAACCCTACCAATGCTTTCCAAACTGTGTGTTACATTAATGTGTTGGCTGCAGTGTGTAGGTGTGTCAGGTGAATGCTTCCTGAGCTCCTCCCAGGGCTGTTTATCCTCCAATTTGCTAGTAAAACTGAATTACTGTGTCGTGAAATGATGCATGTCTGAAAAGCGTGTCACCAACATGGAAAGTTTGGAAGCTCTGGTATACACACAAGAGCAGATATGGTAACCATCATTATTATTCCCATCATGAATGGACTAGCTCTTTTGCAACATCATCTCTCTCACTCACTCACTCACTCTCACACACACACACACACGTGTCAAATCAGCAGGGAGTGGGGTTTCCACCCTCTGCCAAAAGCAGCTTTGGGGACACATTCCTGAAATGAGACTGACACAGGTACAAGTAATGTGTATTTTGAGCAAGAATTCTGAAACAGGACAGAAGCAAAACTGTTATTTCCAAATATATTTAATTGACAATATTTGCTGTTATTTCCAGGGTTCTAGTTGCATACCTTTCACACTTGGCTCCTGCATAACCTGGAGGACATTTATCACAGATAACTTCACCTCCATTATCCAAGTGACAGGTAGGACTGAAACTAAAAAACAATTATTTGGGGGATTATCATCAACCTATACAGTTTAAAAGCAATACACATTAAATGCACACTCTGTATATTTATTACATGAATTGTGGTCACTACTGATAGCACCACAGAGAACACCACAATGAGTGTTGTCCAGTGAGTGTACATTGCAGACCCTTTCCTCAACAAGAGCTTCTCTGTGAGGCAACATAAACTGCTTTTTTAAATTTCAGAAAGGTGAAGAACTGGGGAGAAATATGCTTTTAGGGGAAAGCGAATGGGCATACACAAACCTTTCAGCTTGCTTATATAGCAGCTTGCTGGATTGCTACCAGTATCTAGCAGCTGTGCAAGAATCAGCCTGAATTGATTTTGTTCACATAAAGAGCGTTAACACTAAAATATTTTCTAATATTAGCAACGCATGAAAATACCTTTTCAAGAAAAAAACCCCCAAGGGCGACATTTGTATTCAGTAAAGTACTGGAAAATTTCCAGCTCCTTGTCTTAGCCGTCTAGGAGCTATCGTTTCTGAAGGGTGCCGTGGAATTCTTGTCATGTTTTAACACCTTCCCTTCAGATTGATTTCTCGTCCCACCCCCCATTCCTTTCTGTTTCTAACTGGCACTGCTTGTCTGATATTGCTGGAGATGTCAAGCAATGTTTCCAGTTAGCAGCTTACTTGTTTGAAGCAGTTTTCAGTGGGCAGGCGCACGGCTCACAGTCCTCTGGAGTCCCCCTGGACGGCATCCCATAGAACCCAGGCAAACACTGATCGCAAGAACGCCCTGTAGTGTTGTGCTTGCAAGCCTGTGAGACATGCAAGACACCTTTTGATACTTATTCTGAGTGGAATTCTATCCCCAGAGGGGGGATCTCAGCATGAAATGACATGCAGCATTAGAATTCAAAGAGCAGAGACAAAGAAACAAGCAGGCTATTGACAATATGCTTTTCCAAGCCAGCAGCAACAGTTCCCTCATTAGCAAATATTTGGTCTCATGGATTAGTTGTGTTACTTTGACTGTGGACTAAATCAGTTTGCTAATATTGAACACTGGAAATTAACAGGTTAATTTAGAAGATTTAAAGTTCTTTTTTTATTAAAAAAAATCACTTTAAGGAAAGGTTCCCTTTCTGGTGCAGAACTTAACGGAACCAGCACAAAAGTTGAGGAAATGTAATCACAGAGTTATGCTCCAATCTTTTTCCTACTTGGATCCACAGGAATTTTTCCACTCAGCTGAGAAGGAAAAGCTATGGCTTTCATGACTTTTCATATAAAAGTGTTTTATGTCAGTTCTTGCCTAAGCCAGATAATTTAATTCCTTTAACATGCACACACACAAAAAACTTTTAAAAGTTACAGAAGCTGGGTGGGAAGATGCGCTTTGATGCTTCTTTGGGGTATATTACAAAACTGCATTGCACTGAAAAAATTATATGAATTGATTTTTTTTAATGTGATCTTTTTGGAAATGAAAATGAAAGCGCACTGCAAGGTAACTTACAACACAAACACCATGAATGTCACATTCCGTTGCATGATCATGGCAATCACATGGCTGGCAAATCCCTCCAAAAAGTATGCCACCTACTCGGTAGTAGCCAGGAAGGCAGGACTAGGAAAGAAAGAAAGAAATGACAGCACAAAATGGTTCTTACAGCACTTCAACCCGATTATTAGAATATTTGAAAACCAATTAAAAGTGAGTTCTGCATTAGTTCTCCTATAAAACAACAGCACAAACGTGTCTCTGAACTCAATCTACAGATCTATGCTTGAACAGAACCTTTGTGTGGCATGGGGAGTAAGTAGTGATGTTTGCTATATAGCGTAATAGTCTGTATTTACAAAACAAAAAACACTAATTAAATATGTTATTTTTTTATATTTATACTCCGACACACAGGGACAGAATCCCATCATACAGATATAAAACCAGTCTTGGAAAGGACCCAAATATGGACCAAATAATCCCAAACCCTATTACAATATTCCCTGAAATCCTGCCATATTTTCTTAAAGTACATTAAAATATATTCAGGAATCTGACATACAGTGTCAATTAGCACATATGAGAAACTGTAATTTGTCAACCGTTTCCCCAAATTTATAACAGAACAACTGTTAGGTGTTCAGCTTTAAAAATAATCTATGCCCTATCCAACCTTCAGTTTCTTTAGCTATAAACCCTGTAAAAATGTGGGGAAATGTTATTTTTTAGCAAGTGGATAAAATTGTCATAAACAATGCAGATTTTAAAATGTTGTTCTGCCGTTCCGGTTTTAAAAACTGCAAGCAAATACAATATGGTCTGTATGGGGAAAGTATATTGAAAAGTGCTTCCTTCTTGTATATAAAACCATGACAGATTACCTCACAAGAAATCCCAGAGTAGCCTTGGGGACATTCACAATATTCCACATCTGCAGCTGAAGACACATCTATGAGATTAGCATTTGCTGTATCCAAAGTGACAGAATCCAACCTGTACCAAGACAGCAACACACACACGTGAATATTGTAGTTAACAGGTATATAAATTGATTAAATAAAATCAATATATTTCTGAAAGATTTGAAAAGAAAAACATAAAAGGGATCGTGAAAACCATTTATCACTGAAAAGCTAACCTTCCTGAACAGCACTGTAAGCATTATTGTACTCAATGGGGGCAAATTCTGAGTAGACACTAAAGGATTTCACTGGAAAGGGATATACATTTAGAAAACTTACCCAGGTATGGATTCGGACCATATCTTGTTAATAATTTATAGAGTCACATCAATTACATTTGGCGATGTATTAAATATCCTGGAATTAAATACTAAATGAATACCCAACATAATCAATATGAGCTTTGCATCATTTGCAGTACTCCAGCACTTTCTATGGATACAGGGTCCTTTGTTCTCTGATATACAGAAAGATGGGGAAAGGATAGCATACGAAGCTGCCTTATATCAGATCATACTATTTGTCCATTCAGCCAGGTCTCTGGCAACAGCAATCCAGGAACTTGGGATGTGGGAGAGGGAGAGGGACCACATCACCTGCTAACTGAGTCTTTAATAATTGAAGCATCAGGGAACCTAGGACATTGTGCAAGCAAAGCATGTGCTTTACCTCTCCATCTAACCCTGTACTATGTACTCTGATTCTCATGGTTCTCCAGACTCTCAGACATCCTTCCCCAACACCAGCTATCTGGTATTTCTAACTGAGTATGTTAGAAACTAAAGCCAAGTTTACCAACATGTGCTAGGGTCCCTTCCCAGTCATTGATGTTTTCATAAAATCCTAACGTCTCAATTTACAAATTAGTAATTTGTGCCCAGGTCATCAGTTCACATCACCAGAGATGTAAAAAGATGGACTGCAATTGACTCAGACTATGCACTTGTGGGACTTCTGCATATTTGCCTACAATCTGAATCTTCACTAGTCAAAGACTTCACATTCCCAAGATTTCCACGACAGACAGAAACTTGTTTCATTGGAGATTAGATTCCGATGACTCAGGATACAAATTTCTACATCAAATTTCATACCCTGCACATAACATAGAACTCTCAGCACATCTTTACTGATGTGTCTATCAGTCTATCTTAATAACATGGCATTTCAGCAAAAAATAAAAATTTGACATTACAGCTCCATGGTAGCCACAAACAAATGCACACAGTAGCCTCATCTTATAGATTGAAAATCAAGAATAAATGTGAGATTTGGTAATATAAAGTCTCCTTGTTCCACACAGTCTGGTACAGAACAATGATTAACAAAATGTCAGCTTATTAGAATTCAGAAGCACATACTTTCCAACTTAAAGGCCCTAATAGGATGCAAGAAAGGAAGGTCCATCCTTCTCGCTCTGCAACTGGTCTTTTATAAATGAACTGCTTTGTCAACAATGCATGTGCTAGATGAAACCAATTTATTTAATACCCTCTATCACCACAGGCAAGGAGGGTTCAGTGTGTTCTCTCTCATCATAAATAATAATAATGATGATGATGATGATGATGGCAAAAAAGTAAATGCTTGGGCTATGGGCAAAATTCACTTGTGGAAAGGCCTTTCACTTTGCCAGAATAAAATTTCAATTGTAAGGTATAAATCTGCAAAGAACTGGCAACAGCTTTATGTGGACCTCTAGTATACTCTGTTAATGAGTTGCCTTCTTAAACTTCCTCTTCCAGAGCTATTAAAGGTGTAGGATTCCTGTCCCCCTTGTTATCTGGAAATTTCACCCATAAGTAAGAAGCATCTTGGAACCTAATTTTCCAAAAGTCTTCAGGTCAAGATCTAGGCAAGAATTAAGTGAAACATCTGAAAACATACATACCAATATACTTAGAGCTGACATAGGTAAAGTTAGGATTTTGGTGACAGAAAATTATGAACAGCATAAATAAGGCCTTATGACTTTGGAAACTTTTTCTGACTTGTTTTCATCAAAGAATACTAAACTGGCATAACAGAAATTTTATTTCTAAACTGATTCTTCTTGTGTCCATTACCTGTATACAGCCTTTTTTGCAATGTTGTAACTGGCCCTGATCAGAAGATGGGTAACATTTGCCAAAACTGTCATCAGCATATCTCGATCTATTAATTTCTTCGTATTAAAATCAACGAAGTTTTCAGACACAAGCCGCACAGTGCTGGAATACTCCTCATATGGTTGCAAAGACAACCCTTCAGATCTTGTACATAAAATTTGTCCATTGCCCTGAAATGATACATATATGACTGTATAGAGCTTTCCATGACAAAAGTTAATTGGAAATTTGTTTAACCATATAACTTATGAAACATTTACAAAGAACTGTCCTCTTATTCCAGAATCAACTTTCCAACCTTTTCACAGTTCATTCCGTAAGAAAAATTCTGTTTAAGTTGATCCATGTCCAAGGGATACCTAGATTCTGATTTTAAACACATGGAAATAATTCCCACCAAAATCAATGGAGTGAGGGGACGCTGGTGGTGCTGTGGTCTAAACCACAGAGCCTAGGGCTTGCCGATCAGAAGGTCGGCAGTTTGAAATCCCACAACAGGGTGAGCTACCATTGTTTGGTCCCAGCTCTTGCCCACATAGCAGTTCGAAAGCACATCAAAGTGCAAGTAGCTAAATAGGTACCGCTCTGGCGGGAAGGTAAATGGCATTTCCGTGTGCTGCTCTGGTTCACCAGAAGCGGCTTAGTCATGCTGGCCACATGACCCGGAAGCTGTACGCCGGCTCCCTCGGCCAATAAAGTGAGATGAGTGCCACAATCCCAGAGTCATCCGTGGCTGGACCTAACAGTCAGGGGTACCTTTACCTTTAAGATGTTTAGAACCAAGGTATTAACAAAACTGACTACGTGTAGAGGATGCTAGTGTACAATTTACACAGCAAACCAAGTACGCTTTGAATATGGACAAGAGGAAACAGTGCAATCCTATATAGGACTACTCAGAAATATGAGTTACTGAGTTTAATAGGACTCCTCCCGGTTTGTAAATAGGTATAGGATTGCAACGAAAAAAGACCAGTTTCCTCCCAACCTATATTTGTATATTCAGCACAAGAGGATCACACATACAGGAATTAAAGCATTCTATAATCTCACCCAAGTTTTGCAAGCATGGAAGCAAATGGTGTACTTGCAATCAGTCATTGTCAATTACTGAGTGAAGGGAAAACTTAGGATTGTATCTAATGTTAGTCCTACTCCAAGTGGACCCACGGAAATTAATGGACATGACTAATTTTGGTTCATTAATTTCAACAGGTCCCCTCTGATACTGGGTATAACCCATTTATATAGCACTTTTGAGGTGTTAAAAAGACTTCATATATATTATATTATTGAAATCCACCCCCATATTGCAGAAATGACAAGGCTGGAGAATGTGGCTTATACCTTCAGCCACCTAGTAGGTTTATGGCAAAGGAGACTATCAAATTCATAGCTTTAGGCTTTGAATTAAACTCCTCTAACTGGCAGTAACCAAAATGTCAAGCAATACAAATACACCATTCACTGCATTTAATTTGTTTAAATAAATCTAAAGGCAAAGATCCAAAGGGCTGCATAAACACACTGGAGCTTCTCGACCTCCTCATTCCCATCAGCAAATATCCCACCCCCAACAAGCTATACTCAAAAGGTTATGAGATCTACCATATTGCCATTCCATGACGCACAAGAGTTGTCACCAGAAGAGGGGGGGAAACCAGCAACCAATACGACTACCATCCATGCGTGTTCACCTGTGTTTTGTGCATTCTTTCTCTTTGAATCCCATGGTCTACAACCACCATTTCAATTCACATAATCTTAAATTACCTGAACAATAACATCCACATTAGATACCAAATCACTATCCGTACTGTCCATGGGAATTTCATAGGACACAGTATACTTCAAATAACCACCAAAGGAAGTGAGCTGAAAGAATAAAAGTGTAAATATTTTTTTAAAAAATAAGTTTTCAGCATAACAGGGAAGAGTAAAACTTACACGCAGTAGGCTGAACAACCATTTCCCCATTCTTACTTTTTAGCACCAGTGTGGATTCCTCACTATTAAGAATTTACCTGTAACATGCACCCAAATAAGAGATAACACTGTCCCACTTGCCATGGTAGAAAGTGCATGCTTACTTTGCCCACCCCAACCCCTTGTTAAGTGCATAGAGCTGGACGAGGAAGCTAAAAGAGCAACGATCTTCCTTACTACTTCTTTTAATTTTGTGCCCTTTTCATTGCTATCTGAGCGGCTGAACAGAAAGCAGAGCAGCCCAAAGGGTGGGAGGGAAAGGGGGGGCAATTGCAAGGTGGGGAGCAGAAAAAAAAAGTGATTGCAGGAGCGAAAGTGGGCTGCTGCAGAGTCAGTATGGGAGAGAGAGGCAATACAGATCATAACAGATCCTCCTAATTTTTTAAAAGATTCCCCTCAAAATCATCAACAAATAATAGCTCTTCACGCCCACGGATGTATTCTGAAGATTGTTGGTGTTTTTGTTGACATTCTTTGTAGAAACCATGAAGATCCATTGCTTGTTTCAACTTTTTGGTGATGCCGCTCCCCCTTCAGTGCAGTAAATCACCTATGGAGATTTAACCTGGTGGTGGTGGGGTTGCGGGGGGCACATGTTAAATCATAAAAATTCAAAAGGGTCCATTTTAATTCTACTGGATCCAACTATTATCCAGACCCATTAAAAAAACCATTTGTGTGAGTTTGTCTAGACACTGTTCCTCTTCCTCTTTCTGTTTCTGTTAGGTGGACAGGAGTGATCCAAGGGAGGGAGGAGAGTAGAAACTAAAGGGTTTGATGCCCATGGCACTCTCCCAAAATTCCTCAGATGCCCATGGGCCCAAAAAGATGGGAGATCCCTGTAATACGATATAGAATAGTTACAAAAGCAACAACTACCTATTTTCCCTTGGATACTTACTTTATTTCCAAGATATGGCTTGGGTGCAGACCAGTAATAAGGAGACTTCAGTATTTTTGCAGCTGCTATATTATTAATACTTATTTGATGAGGTCCATCAAACTGATCTTGTTGAGGCTGTACAGTTTTTGTGGTAAGTGGAGCAGTCACCAGCCACCCAGCCACAGAAGACACCTTAAGGAAAATAAACTAGAAAACATCATTTACCACACCTAGAAAGCACGTCAAAGTGCAAGTAGATAAATAGGTACCGCTCCAGCGGAAAGGTAAACAGTGTTTCCATGCACTGCTCTGGTTCGCCAGAAGCGGCTTAGGCATGCTGGCCACATGACCCGGAAGCTGTACGCCGGCTCCCTCAGCCAATAAAGCGAGATGAGCACCACAACCCCAGAGTCGGCCACGACTGGACCTAATGGTCAGGGGCCCCTTTAACTTTACTGTTGAAGCACAGGGCACTATTATCTCCCAAAGGGGCACAGGAAAAAAAAGGATCATACAGAAAATTGTTTTATGTACTCTTGGCAGGAAGAGATGTGTGCATGGTCCAATTCACCACTGCAATTGGCTCCCTCAGAACACCTGTATCCATCAGGCTTCCACAGTCTGATTCACACAACCCATTAAACCACAGTGAAAATAAGCTGGTTTCTCTCTGAACAAACCATGAACCTGGTCTACATTTGCTCCCAGTATGTTTCCAAGCACAATTCAAAGTGTTGGTGCTGAACTTTAAAGCCCTAAACAGCCTCGGCCCAGTATGCCTGAAGGAGCATCTACACCCCCATCGCTCAGCCCAGACACTGAGGTCCAGATTCAAGGGCCTTCTGGCAGTTCCCTCACTGCAAGAAGTGATATTACAGGGAACCAGGATTTCTCAGTAGTTGTGCCCGCCCTGTGATACACCCTCCCAATGTCAAAGAGGTAAGCAACCATATGACTTTTCATAGACATCTGAAGGCAGCCATGTTTTCACAGACATCTGAAGGCAGCCAAGCTCTTAATATTTGATGTTTTGTTGTGTTCCCCTATATTTTCTTGGAAGCCACCCTGAGTGGCTGGGGCAATCCACTCAGTTAAGTGGGGTTAAATAAATAATAATAATAACAACAACAACTACTAATTATAACTACTATTAATAACTACTAACAATAACTAAAAATTACTACTACCACTACTACTACACTCTTAACTTTATTACTTGGTACGGCCTGCTTATGTGAAATTGGATGGAGATGGGCTGTCTGTCATAAAATAAGATAGACAGGAAGTTTTGCTCAGTATTTTCTACTATAATTGGAAGCAGAAATCCAAGGTTTCAGCCAGGAGTCTTTTCCAGACCTGCCTGGAAAATTGGACCTGGCACTGTCTGCATGTCTGCATGTAGAACATGTGCTCTGCCACTAAACAATAGGCCTTGAAGTACATTTATGGGGATGCCTGAGAAAAACTAATGAGGTCTTTGGACATGGAACATTAGCAAGATCATACCTGATTGATGGGCCATGGAAGGCTTTCACAGACATCAGAAACCCCAAAACAGAAACATTCAGTGCAGCCCTGGGGATTTCTTTCTTGGAGATTATAGAATCCTGGCATGCAACGGTCACAGTTTTCTCCTTCAACATTTTCCTATGAAATACATGCAATATTTGTTCTGTTATCATCACAATAATAACCAGCATACACTAGAGGTTAGAAGTAATCCTGGCATAATGATTGACTGATGGTCCTAGAATTAGTATTAATGCATTTCATCATTATTTTTAACCTTCATCTGACCAATTTCTTATTTTGACATATACAAGTAAAATTAAGCATGTTAATTTAGGATTGGAAATATGAAGTTCCATATGGCTTATAAGTTTTGGGTTAATCCAAAGAACATCAGTTCCCATTGAATGTAAGGAAAAGTAAGCATCAAGACCTCCCACTTTGATAGTTGTGTAAAAGTGATCAGCAAACATTTCCAGTGCCATCCTCAATGCTAAATAAGTTGCTGTCCTTGACTTAACTGTCTGCTGTTCATTCTAGTCACCCTTCTCCACCCTCAACTGCATTTACTAATTCTCTCACACCATGTGACATGTAGTGCCTCCCTGAAATTTGTGACAGATATACCATGAATCATAACTCAAATCCCCACCCCAGAGAGATTTTTGCCTAAGCCGCAGTTAATTGCTATACACAGGATGTGATCTTTACCACTAACAGAAATGTTTTCCTTATTAAATTAATTTACAAATCCCACTCCAAAGTTCATAACAAATCAAACTGAAAATCAGTAGTACGCTTACTTTACAAAGGCAAGGTTCTGTGCATGGGTCATCATTAATGCTACCAACCAGGCTACAGTTGCAATGCACGCAGCTTGGATAACCTTTGTAGCCGAAGGCACAGCGATCACACTTCTCTCCTGCGTAACCTTCCTTGCAGCGACACTGACCAGGCTGAACACCTTGAAAAAGGAGAAAAGGATGAAAAAGAGGAAGACCTATCACATGCAGATAAATATCATTTTTTGCTCCCTAAGCATTAGAACCATGACAGAAGCCTTATGCAGCATGCTACAGTATCAGCAAGTGCAAGAAGTCTGGGAAAGGTTTGAGCTCAGCAACCTTTTTCTGCGATATAAGTGACCCATGGGCCTAATTACTAAGGGTTGTTCCAGTTATGCTTTGTGCTACGGGAAGTGTTTCCTTAAGGCAGGGCAGCTGATTTCCCGCCCTAATCTCTCCAACCCTGTGCTCCCAAAGAACTTTTCCTCAGGTTTGCAGGGCCTTCTAGTGCAAGACAGGATATGCCATAGAGCATTGCAATTGGTAGGGAAAATTGGTGAAAACTGAGTGCCTTGCCTTGCACTAGCAGAAGCAGTTACACGGGCACAAATCCTCAGCTAGCAGTTAGTGGCATCAAGCCTGAATTCCTGGGCCCAATTTCCTCAGTCCTGGCTTTCATCCTACCTCACACTTGTCTCATGTCATAACAGGTTCCCTTTTAAAAAAAAATCCACCACCAATCATTCCCTGCATATCCTATGGGATTTGCCAAATCTCCAGCTGAAATTGCTAATAAATCCCATTCTAAATGCATGTAACTACAATCCAGGCAAAAATCTAAACATGTTTGAACCGGTCCTTATTTCCAGTGTTTCCTCACATAGAATTCCCAGTTACAAAAAATATTAGCTGGACTAGTTTTTAGAGAAAATGTATTTTCCAGTCACTTACCATGTTGTGGGTCAGCATGATCATCATCCTTAACACAGTCAAAACCAAGGGACCCAAATATATCACATTTACAGGGAAAGCAAGGGTTATCGTCAAAGGGAGACACCTAAAAGAAGTTAATATTTTTGTTCACGTTAATAATAAGATGCTGGTGAGCGTGCATAATTATTGTTGTCTGAGGATAATGATGATATGGCATGACAATGCACACAGTAGTACAACACACAACTCAACAGGATATTGTGATTAATTTAGTCCTTGTGGGAGGAAACTGAAAACAAGGAGTTGTAGGCATGAATGGAGTAGCATTCAAACTGGCCATCATAGCTGTGGGATGTTTTGGAAAAGGAATGTTTGTTTGAAAGCAATCCAGGAGTTTTTGAAGTGTCATAGACCCTAAGGTAGCTTTCCCAAACCTGCCTGGAGCTATTGGCAGCTGCCGTCCAAAATTTCTGGAGGGCAACAGAAGTTGCCAAAAGGGTCTGTACAGCTTGTACTTATTTGCTCACACCGGCTGAAGGGATTCAAGAGGGAAGCCAGCCAGAGGAGAGGGGGCAATTGCATGTCCTCCCATCACTGACATCACTTCAGCTTGCCAGAAGGGAGAGAAGGAACAGCAAAGCAGCAGTGAGATTAGTGGTGCAAATGTACTAGTGGGCACAGTGGATTGGCTCCACTGGTATGCTTGCATTGCACCAACCATTCCACTACATTGCCTCTCTCCTAGTAAGCCACACTGAAGCTGGTGATGGGAAGTCAGATAAATGGCAACGCCCTGCAGACCACTGCTGCCAGTCACTTGCTACTGCTGATTACTCCTTGACAACTGTTATGAGTTTATATAATATGACCAACAGCTACAGCAACATATTAAGAGTTACAACAAAGTATTTCATAGGGCTTGCAGGGATACAACCTCAGTATACTCTGCCATTTTTCTGCTAATAACCTTCCCGTGACGGGGTGAGCTCCCGTTGTTCGGTCCCTGCTCCTGCCAACCTAGCAGTTCGAAAGCACATCAAAGTGCAAGTAGATAAATAGGTACTGCTCTGGCAGGAAGGTAAACGGCGTTTCCGTGCGCTGCACTGGTTCGCCAGAAGCGGCTTAGTCATGCTGGCCACATGACCTGGAAGCTGTACGCTGGCTCCCTCGGCCAGTAAAGCGAGATGAGCGCCGCAACCCCAGAGTCGGTCACGACTGGACCTAATGGTCAGGGGTCCCTTTACCTTTACTAACCTTCCCTTTGTTATGGCTTTTTTTAATCACATGGTATTGCAAAAATCAACCAGAAATGGGCTGAAAGAAATAAGTGATGTTTTTTAGCACAGTTCAAAGCAGCAGAACATATGTTCATAAAATCCTCTTACTTTATGTGGCCTATAGTAACCATCAGTACACATGTCACAGTTTATTCCAGTGGTGTGTTGAGTGCAGTTTATACACACTCCGCCACCTTTGAACTGGCCGTGAATGTTTAAACTTCTTTTCTGATCTGCTACACTCTGATCATAATAACAATCTTCTGCTTTGTTATGACAGTTGCATCCTAAAAATAAATAAAGAAATTTACTTTCCATTTTTAAAAAAATAAAGCATAGTTAAACATATAAACAGTAGGGAAAAAAACCCTGAACGTTTTCTGTACTATATGGCTTCTTACTGTGCATGTAGCAGCTAATATATACAGTACTGGCTTTTTAAAAACTGTGTTATGCAGTTCACACTGATCTAAAAGTTTCACTATTTATTAAAGTACATAATTACTAATAGTATTCTGGCTTCTTCCTCCTTGCTTTCTAAACTTCTCTCATTGTTGAAAAAGTAAAGCATGAATAAAACACGGTTACTAATTTTCTTGTGACTCTACATTTTAAAGCATAAGAAGTCCTGCAGAGTTCTTCAAAATGAACTACTAGAACAGGAGCATCTGATTCCCTGCAACTACTAAATGTAGTTCAGAGTATATTTCTGCAGCACAAGCTGAAGACATTAAATAGTCAGGTGATACTTGCTAAAGTTAATGCTGTACAGCAAGGGCAAGAAACTTTTTTCAGCCTGAGGGCCACATTCATTCATGGGCAACCTTCTAAGGGCCACATAGCAGAAGTGGGTGCAGTCACAGCTGTTCATCCTCTAGCCAAGCAAGCACAGTTCAAGGATGCTTTGCAGCCAGGGGAAAAAAACACTAGTGGGGATGCAGAGCACAGGGAAGTGAGGAGTGTGGCTAACTGTGATGGGTATCATGGCCCAAATAAGAGCCCTGAGGGACTGATCAAGAGACTTGAAGCCCACATTCAGCTTCCAGTCCTAAGGTGCCCTATTCATATTGTACATGTACACATTAAAACAAGCATCTAATGAAACCATTACTAACAGCTTACATAGTTCAAAGGCACAGTTTCCCATATGTGAAGAGGAACCAATATATACCACTGCTGTCACATCAGAAAACAAGGCAACCCATCATGCATCTAGTTGTGTGTGCATATTAGGGGACACCATGTGCTCATTAGGGGTCACTGAATCAGGGACACAGAGATCAATTAAGATCTTACAAAGACATACTATTTGAAAGCAAGTGCCATTGGAAATCATATATGGATGATAATGTTAAAAAGTGGTGGGGTGCAGTAAACTTGTAATTTAAAACCAAAAATAGTCATGGCAGATCTGCAAACTCCTAGCTTCACAAGCCTAGTGCAGATCTAACAGTCCCTGTAGCGCTAATATTAGAAACACAAGTACGTCATATATTTTTTTAAAAAATTAAGGCAGGTTCACCTACTTGGCCATTCCACAGGCTTCAGTGGTGGCTGGATTACATACCTAGCCAATGTTAAGGCAAGTGTATAGAGAAGCATCATTTTAGTGCTACGTACTCTCACATTTGTTGCCAGCAGAAATGGTTCCTGGTCTCCACGGGGCCTGGTGGTAGCCAGGGCAACACTCGTTACAGCTCTCACCGCAGGTATTGTGCTCACACTGGCACTGAAGCTTCTAAATAAAAGCAAATTATGACACAGCTCTATTACCTAATGCCTTGGAAACAAAAATGCCTCTTTACCTGAGATCTTAGAACTAGCTTTTAAACATTTAGAGCAGCCTATAGGTTTGTATAGGACCATCTTGCCATGGTATAAAAATCTATCTTGGAAGAGCAGCAGAAACTCATTCAACCTGTAGGAAGCAATGTAGTTCAGGGAAACTACAGTGTAAAAAGTGGTAAAAGGAGAGAGAAGGGAAGGGGGCAGAGTGAGGGGTAAGTTATTTTAAAATAGAGAGAGAGCAGTGGGAGTTGCTGGTGGATGACTGACAAACATTCACAAGGCCCTGCAATATTTAAGTATGGATGTCTGAATTGTCAGCAGTTAGGGAGCGTACCTCTGACTCGCCCCTTCCCTTATCACTTGTTTGTTTGTTTAAGTGCAATCCAAACCCTTGACCAGCAGCAGTAGGGCTTAATGAAGCAGCACAGCCATCACTGCATCCACAGCCCTGCTGCTCTTGCTAGATGGGACGGAAGATTAGGAGAAAGGAGGGAATGCCTATTTGCTATGCCAGCCACCTGGGAGGGACAAAACTCCAATGAAAGTTCAGCTTTTAAAGAGCTCCTGGCTTTTTCTGGCCAATGAGAGCCACTGTCAGTTTGTCAGATATGTCCTGCTTCCCAGGAAGGCATCCTGGGGCTTTGAATACTTGGTGGGAGATCACCTGAAATAAAATGACTGCTTGGCTTACAGAAAACCATGAGGGGGAAGGAGATCAATGCCCTGTGTCTTAACCTTAGGGTTATTCTTCACCTCTTCTTCAATATATTTAATAAAACAAGGCAGAGTATGTGTGCCTGCTGGAGTGCACGTGTGCAATTTCAGAATTTACTGTTAAAAGCAACACCACCACTGTACTTGAAATTCTGGGAGAAGGAAGTATTTTATATGGGAAATGTAGAAATATTACTTCCAGATGAGCAAGTTGCTAAAGAGAAGAACTCTTCAAGTACATGAAGTGCTGTCACAAAGAACAGAGACCTGTTCTCCGCTGCCCCAAAGGGAACAACTAGATGTGATGGGCTTAAGCTACAATGTGGTAGGTTTCAATGGAGCATTAAGATAAATGTATTGATGGCAACAGCAGTTTAACAATGAAACCAACACCTACCCTAGAGGGAAGCTGAAATGGAATATGATAACACTGCTGTTGTGCACATAGTCATGATCGTAAGTGAAGTATATAAGTGGAGGTAGAGAAAAACCTCTAAGAAGTTTTGGTGGGTGAGAAGTTATTCAAGTTTGTAGAGACTGTATGAAGCTATAGTGTTTGCAACATTTCTCCTGCTGATTGTATAGGTGCGTGCACACACACACACACACACACACACTTGTATATTAAAGGTTAGCTGTGTGTGAATGAATGAATGTGCTCAAGTGTGTACAGTGGTACCTCGGGTTAAGAACTTAATTCGTTCTGGAGGTCCGTTCTTAACCTGAAACTGTTCTTAATCTGAGGTACCACTTTAGCTAATGGGGCCTCCCAGTGCTGCCGCGCCGCCGGAGCACGATTTCTGTTCTCATCCTGAAGCAAAGTTCTTAACCCGAGGTACTATTTTTGGGTTAGCGGAGTCTGAAGCGTCTGTAACCTGAAACATCTGTAACCCGAGGTACCACTGCATATGGAAATAGCTGAAAGAATGAGCAAGGAAGACTTGCAAAATAACAAGAGTTTTGATAAGGTGTACACATCCTGAAACATAGTTTCTTTATTTCTATATCCCTATGCAATCCTAAAACGATCCACTGGAAGTATAGTTCTAATAATCCTGTAAGCCTTCCTCGCGCAGTCAGTGTAACACCTGTGCCACATAGGCTTCACTACTTCAAAAGCCTATGCAGCGTAATACACATCTTTCCAGTATGGCTGAAAGGGCTGGAAGTGAGGGCAGACGACCCAGGCATTTATAATCTCACTAAATAATGAGCAACCAAGTAATGAACTAAGATGTATTTCTGTAACATTAAAAACAGGTTTCTGCAACATTTTAGCGGTATTCAGAAATTTGTTTTTCTTGAGACGGATGCATGTTTGCAGAGGGGGTGACACAAGCAAACAAACATACCTTTGTGACTTGATCCAAAGGACAGCTCCGAGCATGGCCATAGCAAATGCACATCCCTCCGACAGAGATGTCCTTTATTGAATAGTAGTACTAAATAAAGCAAAGTTTGATTTATAAAATCAGTTTCCTTTTAGTATTTGAAACAAGAAGTGCCAAAGTTCTATTTTTTTTAAAAACCAAACAAATCTTTCAGTTCAGGTGAAGTTTATACTAGTCAGGACTTATTCATGGAAACGTAAATGAACAGGTATTTCTTTCTCTCCCTTCTCCCTGACATACACACACACACAAAGAGCAAGAGCAGCAGCAGCAGCAGCGGATCAGGTTTTCTCTTTTTGCTAGCATTACAATTCTTTTTTAAAAAAAAATTATTATTAATGTTATTCAAATACGAAAATAAAGGAAAAAAGAAAGAAAAAATATGACATCAAACACCATTATAACATTCCACCTACATACAAAATAAAGCAAATTACTATTACCCCATGTGACTTCTACCAATACTCGACATTCTTTATATTTTCTTATTAATATTGCTTCTTTTATATATTATCTCTAATATTCCTAATATTAATTTCATCTATTTTGCCTTTACATACTTAGTCTATGCATATCAACATGTTATCCTTAGAACAGTGTTTTTTCATGTAGTCCTCAAAGCATTGCCACTCCATTCTTAATTTTTGATTTGTTTGGTATCTTATGGCTGCTGTTAATTTTGCCAATTCTATAAAATCACATAATTTATTTAGCCAATCCTCTTTAGTGGGGATGGTTTCCCCTTTCCAATTTTTTGCAAGTACTAGTCTGGCTGCGGCCATCACATATAAAAATAGTCTTTTCTTATCTTGTGGGATATCTTTTTCTATTATACCCAATAGGTATGCCTCTGGCTTCTTTTCTATAGAAGTTTTAAACATTTTTTTTCAAATCTTTGTGAATATATCCTCAGAATTTATTAATTTTCTTGCGGCCCCACAATTCTTATGCTATATGTCATAATCTACTACAAGTAAAGTAAAACTCTGCACGAATGTAAATCATTTGAAGCATAAATTACTCATTCAACTCAGAACTAATTTTGGCTTCAGGTATACTGATGTAACAACCAAATAAGGTTTTTGAAAAACTCACTCATCTGTGAGAATGCTAATGAGATCAATTTGGTCCAGAGGCTTTTTTCTGAGAATAGACAACATTCATTTTAGCTATTTTCAGAAGAGCTAAGTTAAACTAATAATTAGGAAGAATTGCTTAGCAAATGTAGCACTGACATGCCTTGATTCCCACGATGAGACAAACCACGCATTCAAATGTAGATTTATGTCATCTGTCAAGCTTGTGTTGAACTTATACATTACATTGGTTATAGCGTCAAATAACAATAGTTCTGACATCATGTACTAATAATAATATCTACAACTAGGTATTGTTTAAACTGTATCATGCAATCTTTCTTTAGCATACAGACAAGTACCATATAAAAGGTATTAAACAAGAAGGGTATTCTTGGAGTTGTGATGGAGGGGGATAGAAGATAAATTTAGGGGAATTGTGTTGTGTTTGGTTTTTCAGTTTTTAGGAACCAAATAGGAAAAGAACTGTAAGAATGTGGGGGCTGCGTGTTTCCACTCCTCACCATCTCCAATGTTTCTGGGTTCCCTCTCCCAGCCTTCACATCTCTAATTACTCCACTTTGGACATACATCTCCAGCTTCACAAGCCATGGATCATGAAGCCAGAAATGATCACTGAGGCTGCACGCTCCTCTTCCACTTGGACACCGCTTTCAATGTGGAGAGCCTGATTTGTTTTAATGCAATTCCCCATTACATATGAAATGGGGAACTCTGCTTTAACACTGATTAACTAACTAGTACAGGGCGAGTCTCTTAAAAGAGGCCCCGTGGAACATGTGTACTCTGTATCCACGGGGCCTCTTTTAATGTACTCACCCTGTATAATAAACTAGATTCATGCCCCAGAAATCCCCGCCGCATGGACAAATTTTACACTCATTGGGCATCTTCTTACTGCTAGTGGACAAATAGCTGGCAAATGTGGAGGGTGCATGTGACTAGCCTACATGCTTTTAACACATGAGGGGCTTCATCTGAACCTGCCGCACTTTGGGATGCATTCAAATGACATAGTGCCTATGAGAGAATGCTGCTTTATAAAATTACCATGTGACTTAAGTCCCACAATGGGTTTCAATCTTTCATCAAGACATATTTGGAACAGACCCACTTAAGTGCATTTACCAATTTCGATGGGTCTACTTTGAGTAGAACTAGATGTTGAGCCTCAGCGCCTAGAGCTTGCCGATCGAAAGGTCGGCGGTTCCAATCCCCGCGGCAGGGTGCGCTCCCGTTGCTCGGTCCCAGCGCCTGCCAACCTAGCAGTTTGAAAGCACCCCCGGGTGCAAGTAGATAAATAGGGACCGCTTACTGGCGGGAATGTAAACGGCGTTTCCGTGTGCTGCGCTGCTCGCCAGATGCAGCTTTGTCACGCTGGCCATGTGACCCGGAAGTGTCTCCGGACAGCGCTGGCCCCCGGCCTCTTAAGTGAGATGGGCGCACAACCCTAGAGTCTGTCAAGACTGGCCCGTACGGGCAGGGGTACCTTTACCTTTACCTAGATGTTGAGTATCACCCAGATATAACACATATCCAATTCATATGGTTGGTTAAAACCCAGAAGAAAGCATCTACCTTACCCTTCTGGTAACAATAGGATCAAGATCTTTAGGATCATGGTGGCTAAGGGTCATGAGGTCCGCATTAAGGTTTCTTATACGTTGTAATCGAAGCCGGATGTACCGTGCAGAAGTAAACTCCAATAATGTTGGTGAAGGGTCATCAGCACTAGGTCTACCATTGATCAATGATGTATGGATCTAAAAAGAAATAATGGTTTCTGTATAAGCCTGTAAATAACACGTCGACATTTCAAAATACCTTCTGGGTGAAAAGTTTAAAATCAACCTCCGCACCCATCCCACAGTTGCCTCCGCCACAACACCACAATACAAGCTGGGCATGTCTGTAAAGTAGTTACCAGGCTCAATACACTGTTGTGCTTTTCCTGCTCACTGCTGTCCTCATGAAGGGTGTTGAATGAATTACTTTATAACTCACATCTCACAGAAATCGCTTTCCAGTCCGCAGATTAAATGCTGAGAGCGCATTTTTTAATGGGCTTCTGCAGGACGAGGGCAAAGGAAAGCAGGCCTGCAGCTAAAACACTGGCATAGGGATGCAGAATGAAACACTCACTGGGAGAGTAGGAATGTACTTGCCCTCAGCATTTTATGAACTTTCATACCAATGCTTCAATGCTAGTTTTGATTCCCATGCAATGCATTATATACCCAACTAGATGAGCTAGAGGAAGAAAATCTAGGGAATAAAAAGATACACAGGAAGAACAAAAGCTGCCCCACAGTCTTCAATGTATTCTCAAGCACAACATAGTGGGGCAGCCCTTGGTCACCCCAGATCTTTGGAATCTAATGCAGTCACCTAAGGTTATATATGAATTAAACTTTTTCTATTTTATTTTTACTACACAATAAAAATATATTTTGTGACTGTTTTGTACTTAGGCTATAACCCTTCAGAAAATTAGTTAGTATCTCCTGTGAAATGTTCTAAGAACTCAAACATGTTGACTTGTAATTTACTTCTGAAATCAATGGAATTTACTCCTTAGTAAGTTTATTTAGAATTGGATTCAGACAATCTAAAATACTCAGCAATCTTAGGGTGATTTTCAACTAAGTTTTACTCAGAGGAGACCGACAATAATTAACTGACTTAACTTAATCATTAGTTAATTTCCACAGATCTATTCTGAACAAACCTTAGTTGAATACATTCTTAGGCTTCAATCAACAGATTTCACCCCCTTCAGCGAAGGAGACAAGGGCTAAGCTAAACATCCTGGAATCTGAACTAAGGTACCCAAATTAATTTCAGATTATGCTTCTGCTACAAATGTTGTTTTACACATCCCATTAAAAATCACATGACATACTTGCTTATACAGTGGAAACTTGGGTTGCGGATGTAATTTGTAACGGAGGCACGTCCGCAACCCACAGCGTTTGCATCCTGAAGCGCCACGTCTGCGCAGGTACGATTTGGTGCTTCTGCGCATGCGTGAAGCGCAATTTAGCGCTTCTGCACATGCACGAGCAGCGAAACCCAGAAGTAACCCATTCCGGTACTTCCAGGTTTCTAGCAGTCTGCAACCCGAAAACATGTAACCTGAAGCGTCCGTAACATGAGGTATGACTGTATATGCACATTTAGCCTAAAGTGTTAAAGTAACATATAAAAAAGATAACGTTGATAGCATTTTAGTCCCAAACACATTCAGAACTCTGACAGCTTTCAGTCTAAGAAAGAATTTGGAATTGTTCTCTTAGTGGATATTTTTATAAGGTCAACGCATAAAGACAGACATTCACAGTGAACTAGTCACAGATTTTAGAGCCTCATTTCCTGATGTCGCTGGCCTGGCTCTCTGATCTATAGTACAGAACCACTATGAACAGAGCTTGCTTTAAAGAAAGAACAATCAACTGTTGACCTGCACAATGCATAGCTCTTTTAATTAGGCTCTCTCTTTGAAACAATGCCAAGTCCTCCTTCAGAGCTCAAGCTACACAGAGTTATTTAGACAGCATTTTTAATTTTATGATCAAGTATCAGGTGATCCTTAAGAAAAGCATTAAAAAAAAAACAGAGCCCAAGTTTACACAAGATAACAGGAACTCTCAACAATTCACCACTGTAGATGTGTTAAGAGGTGCAAAGTTTTTATACATATAAACTGCAGCATCAAAGATAAGAGTGGGCTTCCTGTTCAGAAGCTGCTTCACCTCTCTTCCTGGAGTGAGATCAACAATGAACCTCCTCAAATGTAAGCAAGCTTTCCCACAATAAGTAAAAAGTATTTTTTTAAAAATTGGGAAGATTCTGATCTTCAGAAACAAAATCTGCTGCAGCTGCTAACAATGACAAATAAATCTTGATGGAGGAGAGAGAAGACCAGAATCTGAAGAAGCCTATTACTATCAAACTAAACATAAGAGCAGAGTGGTTTTACTACCCCCATGTCCAAGAATAAGAGGCATCTGAACAAACAAAAAGAAAACCTACCTCTCCATGTTCAAGTGGGACTAGCTTAGAATAATAAGAAGTGCAGATAACTTCATCATCTCTCTTATATGTAGGAGGCCCAAGCCTTGGTGTTATGTTGTATCTTACTAGGCACTCAGTATCACTAACTGCATAGTACTGCCATGGCTTGAAATCAGTCCCATCCAGAGAACGCTCCAAAATCCAGTTTCCAGGTCGGGGAGCGTTAGCAGCTTTGATGATCACATAGGCAACTTGAAAGACCTACAAGAAATGTAAGGGGGGAAATGCAAGACTTAGTACTAACCTATGAAAATATAGTTTTTCAGAGTAGCTCAAAACCCAGGTTTCAACTATCTAACGTCTATAATTATTTCTCAAATTTTTAATGCTCTTGTTTGCAATGGAAATTGCTTTTAGCTCAATTTCCATAGCCTACACTTAAATTAAATAAATACAACCCCAACTTCAAATGCTATTTCCTATTTGGCCTTTACACAAGAGTTCACAAAGTTCAAATTTCTATAATTTCAGAAGTTCATACATTAGGACAAGGCATGTCATGGACAAGCATTAAAACAGGACGTGTACATACAAAGCATCTTGCTATACATAACATAATACAGAAAGTTGCACAATAAATGGTCCCTCAAGAATCCGCTGTTAGTTTCTATTAGCCTCAGGAAAGCATGCCAAAATTTTTCCTTCAGGCTGAAAAAAAGAAATCTTGATGATCCAAAATATTATGAAGATTTAGATTTTTAAAAAATGCACTAAAGGCATAAGCAACATTCAGCTTCATCCCTCAAATCACAAAAATTTCCTCCAAGCACTGTAGGAGAGAGAGCTTCATGTAATTACTAGAAAAACCAGTTCTGAACCAAACTTCAACCACAAGACCTAATGAGATCCGCACAAATACTCCGTAGGTGCTGGAACTCATTTCCAGCTGCAACCTGCCCTTATCAAAGAAGTGATTCATATGGATTTAGGACAACTATAGGTCCTGTTAGAATACAAATTGTGAGTATTATCATAATTATTGTTTTTCCAGCAGAAGTCACTGTAATAAATAAGGAATCATCCAAGTACTCATTTAGAGTGATATCCCTATTGTGGCATCCTGCCTGTACATCAGACTTCCGCTTCTGCAAACAGGACTTGCCATTCCTCTCCTCTCCCCTGCTGTCCCCATGCACCCCCAAAATTTACTCCAGCGGGGTGGGTATCCTACAGATCAGATGGGGTGTGGGGAAGGGAGGAAGGGAAATTCCAATGCATACACCAGTACAACCGATGCTCTGATGAGAATTGTGCAGTAAGTCCAACAGTCAAACGCACTTATACGGTCACAGTGAGCTTGTTCTGGTGCAGCAGTAAGGACTTACCAACACCTTTCCTCTGCTCTTTCCAGGCATAGTCCATGCTTTTAAGTTCTGTGCCTGCGTATCCTTCATTAAGTAATGCATTAGGAAGTGTAAGAAAGACAGACAACCATTTTGGAGTTTTTTTAAAAACAAACAAACCAAAAACCCAAACTCCCAGTCTACCAAAGAGACCCTTCCCTTAACCTCTCTCCACTGTACTTTCTATAAACCAAAGATAAGTAGGAATTCTTTGATCATGCAACACACCAAAGCTACATACTTTTATACAATTTTTACTTGCCTGTCTTAAATCCAGAGTTATGGTTATCCAATGGTATTCTCTTCCGTTCTGAATGCTAGGACTTTGCCACCAGTTATTAGTACCATCTATAGCATTTGAGATAGGGTGTTGTTCTAAAATAAGCAAAAACAAATTAAGATCACGTTTCCCCTCTTCCCCCTCCACTTTTGCTGTTTTCGGTTATCATGATTACGATCTTACGAGTAAAGTACATAGGTCATATACTATGAGCCCATGGTGGCTATGAGCCAGTGTTCACTGATATGTGAGTCAGATCTTTGAAAATGGGTTTTTGGTGTTCTTATTTTATGCATTTTATTTCATCTGTTGCCCACCACTGGTATGTTTATGATAAATGTGTGTGTGTGTGTGTGTGTGTGTGTACACAAGAATAAGTGGTATATGAATTTGTACAAACAAACAAACAAACAAACAAACAAATAAATAAATGTAAAGGACCCCTGACAGTTAGGTCCAGTCACAAATGACTCTGGGATTGCGGCGCTCATCTCACTTTACTGGCCAAGGGAGCCAATGTTTATCCCCAGACAGTTTTTCTGGGTCATGAGGCCAGCATGACTAAGCTGCTTCTGGCAAAACCAGAGCAGCACACAGATACACCATTTACCTTCCCACCGGAGCGGTACCTATTTATCTACTTGCACTTTGACGTGCTTTCAAACTGCTAGGTTGGCAGGAGCTGGGACCGAGCAACGGGAGCTCACCCTGTCACGGGGATTTGAGCCGCCAACCTTAATTTGTACAATAAATACTACCTCCAATATTGGAGGTTATATGCCTCTGAGTACCAGCTTCTGGGGGGCACAAGAGGGGAGAGTGCTGTTATAGTCATCTCCTATTTTAAGACTCCCCATAGACATCTAGCTGGCCACTCTGAGACAAGTATGCTGGCCCAGATGTGCCTTTGTTCTGTGTCTTCTTATGTTTTGGGGGGTGGGGGAGAGTAATATGGACAAGCACAACATAAATTCAGATAGAATAAAACTTTCACACAGAACATAAATGCATTCTAGACAAAAATAACACAATTAAAATTTAAAAAACAGAATTGTTGTTTCAGTCCCCACTGCTTCCACTGGGATTACTTTAGATTGTTCATGTGGCTAAACCAGTTGCATTCTTGAACCAGCTGAATACCATAGTCAGTGTCTCTTGGAACATCCAGAAAAAAGTATAAAGTAGTGAACTTGCCTTTGGAATTTGCACTATTGTGGTCACAGATCCGACACTGCGCGTTGCGTAGGGGCCGACCTGGAACATGCTCCACAAGTTTACAAAACATCTCAGGGCCCTTTTCACCGCAAGTAGCATTGGTGCTGATATGAGCATTGCTAGCAAGGTTTAAAATGGCAGGAAATAAACCTAAAGAGTAAAAGGAAGGTCATTTAATAATTATAATGGTTTTTTTCTCATTACACTTTTATTTTACTTGTGCCTTTAGAAGCCATTTGATGATACCAGAGAGGGCTCCCCACATTTTTCAGATTTCTGTTACCACTGGGTTGATTTCTTAAATGTGCTTAGCCTTAAAGCAACATGTCCTACATTAACTCAATTAGGAAGCAATCCTAAATATGAGAAGCCAGTGTAATCTGTGCCATCTTAAACTAAATCGGTGTTAAGTACAGTATGCCAGTTTCAAACTTTGTTCAGGAGTGGGGTTACTGCCAGATGAGGCAGCGGAAGTAGGGCAGATGGAAAACTGGAAATAGAGTTTGATTTACACCACCCTTTTTGCCTGTGTTTGTTCACTGGATTTGCAGGTCACACGTCTGAGATGAACTGTTAGGATCAAGCATAAATCTCCCTATCCGGTCCCATCCGTCCGCTCCCCTGGAACACCCATTTTTCAGGGCTTATGCTAGTGTAAATTCCAGAAGTCTTGGCTCAGATGGATTAGCTCAATGAGCCAGGATTAGTGAGTTATGCTCCCATCATGTCTCTGGCTGACCTGGGGTTGAGGACTCAAGGAGACAAAGTCTGGCTGTGCTGAGAACCTGTAGGCTGAGCTAGAGTCCTGCCACATCCTCACTCACTCATCCCAGATGATCTAGGGTTAGGGTTAGGACTGCGCCTTTAGCATCGGTTAAGTACGCCATAGAAAAAGGAATGTCTATCTGCCAAGAGAGGCCAAAGGAGTGGTGACTATGTGCCATGCAACACACACACAAGGCTCACACAAGCCATGTACCACATACACATATGTGAATACATGCAGGCCAGGGGAGCACAGCACGTCCCATTCACCATACATGCTACATTGCATCTACATATGCACTACTTTCTTTGCCCTCTAGGTTTGTACACACATGAGTATGGTTCAGACATGTAAACAAATGGTACAATAAGGCTGCAACCTGCCACCACAGCGCTTTGCCCCAGCTTTAAAGGCAAGAGTGCCCCTGGGATATCTGAAGAGGACTTGCTTGCTTTGAGTTTTGAACAAGATACTGTTGCCATAGTCTTTATGTGACCTCAGCCTAAGCAAAATGTGTTCCCCAATTAAATAGTTTAGACTGGTGGCCCAATGTAAACAACTTGCAACTTGCAACTTGAATAAGAGAAATTGCAAACGAATTAATTGGCTTTTAAACCCTATTCATGGTCATTTCCTGTGCCTTCATCTTTGATGAAAGAGGCCTAACAAGTTTTTTAAAAATACCAATCAAGACTCAGAGAAAACAAGAGATCGAGATAGACAACCAAGTGCTAAACTAAACAAGGAAGCTGTGTAGGTTTTTGTTTTGTTTTTTAAACCTTTCCCTATCCTTTTACACAATGATGTGAAGTTGTCTTTGATTTGTATTCCTTTGATTACTCAGCTGTGCCATTTTGTCCAAAAAAGAAAGAAGTTCCCACAGGAAAAAAAATATGCTACCTGATACTAGGAAACATGCAGATGTTTAAGACAATTTGACCTTGAATATAAGTCATACCTGGCACAGTAACAACCAATCCTAAATACAATATGTGAAAAGGAAATCTCACTTATTTGCTTTAAGTACAGTCAGCTTGCACTTCACTTGTTTAGGGTCAAGGAGGCTTAAATAAATGCCAAACTAAAATACAATGAATGAATTGAAATTTTGGTAATATGAATTCTTTTTAAAAGAAGTGGTTGGCGACTTGGATAGAGATGTGAGAATTTTCAAGAAGATATGAAAAATCCATTCTGGAGAACTCTCAATGTTATAGCAAAACACTTATTTTCTCCATCTTATTTTTCTCCATCCCCGAATATTCTGAATTTAAAATTAGTGGAGGAATAATGAAATCCATGCAAGTTATTGAAGAAAGATGGAAGCTAAATACGCTATTCTGGTCTGCCATAATCAGTCAGTTCTATATAAGCATGTTAAGGCTCAGCCCTGCCTGGACCACAAACCTGAGGTCTCCTCAGGAGAGGAGCAAAGACAGCAGGATTCTCCAGCAGCTTACCAAATACTATTTTTTTCTGAGGAGCCAGATTTGGGCACTCTAGTTCCAGGACTGTAAGTCCTCATGGCAGCTGCCAGGTCCCTAGCTAGTCTCAGTCACCACTACTACGCTACTCCCCCAGGACTACAAGAATGGAGAAGACAGTGAATGAGGCACAAACTTCAGTCACCAGCAAAGTGCTCATCTAACCGTACTTGAGGCTATGCTGGAGTTGGAGGAAGCATGTGGAAGCAGCTGCTTAGATCAGGACCTTACTACAAACCAGAAAAGGGTTCAGCCTCCAGCTCCTATGGACAGTAGGCCCACAAATTACATGGGGGTTATGTTCTGTGGGTCCACATGTCAAGGCAAAATCACATGAAGTTAGGAAGACCCCTGGAATCACCACCCTGTACAAATTCATTTTGTTAAGGTTTTGCTTGGTTCTCCAATCTGTTCAAGTTATCTTAAATCCCAATTCTATCTTCTGCAGCATTAGCTACCCCTCCCAGTTTGGTGTTACCCACAAATTTGATGAGCATCCCCTCAATTCTTTCATCCAAGTAGTTTATAAAGATGTTGAACAACGGCCCTAGAACAAAACCCTGTAGCACCCCACTTGTCACTTTTTTCCCAGGATGATGAGGAACCATTACTGAGTTACAAATCCACCTAACGGTTACTTCATCCAGACCACATTTTACCAGATTCTCTGCAAGAATATACAGTGGTACCTCGGGTTAAGTACTTAATTCATTCCAGAGGTCTGTTCTTAACCTGAAACTGTTCTTAACCTGAAGCACTACTTTAGCTAATGGGGCCTCCTGCTGCCGCCGCGCTGCCGGAGCCCGATTTCTGTTCTTATCCTGAAGCAAAGTTCTTAACCTGAAGCACTATTTCTGGGTTAGCGGAGTGTGTAACCTGAAGCGTATGTAACCCGAGGTACCAATGTAATGGGAGACTTGGTCAAAAGCCTTAGTGAAATGTGCCCACAGCAATTCCCTGATCCACCAAGCTTTTAACTCATATTAAAAAGAAAGAAAGAAATGAGATTTGTCTGGCAAGACTTGTTTTTGAGAAACCCATACTGGGTCTTAGTAATCAAAACATCCTTTTTCTAAGTGCTCACAGACTGACACTGTAATTATCTGTTCTAGGATCTTTTCTGGTATCAATGTCAAATTGAGTTGCTCCATAATCACCATATTAGACATCTTTCAAACTTCTCTAAGGAAATATTATCTTAAATACAACCTTGAATAAACCATGACTATCTAAATTCAGACATTTTGCACTAAATTTGGACGTTATTTTTTGGATTAAGATACAGATTTTGAATGTTACAAACAGAATATATAAAACAGCTTTTGTTGTTGCTTTTGCTCCCAGAACGTAGCACTAAGAAAATTGGCAAAATAAAAAGTCTTGTTTGAAATGGGTAATTATAAAAAAAAAAACAGTTGCAGATAAATATTAGGGTGAAGGAGAACAATAAAAAATTGGGTGTGTTTTATATGTCACCAATCAGCCACATTACATAGGGGCAAAAGGCAATGGGTTATTATGCATCTGAGATGGAAATTCTCCTGTGTTCAAGCATTGATTTTTAGACAATGTAGATACCTGCTTAGAACAGTTTCTCTGTCACAGCTTACAACCTAAAGTAAAGGAGACAGATGGGCAGTTTGCCAAAAAACCAGCAAACTTGCTAGACCATAAAATTAGTTATTGCTTTTTCAACAATACCCTTTTCCCACATGCTCCAAGAGTCTAAACTTTTTTTGTGGTTTTTTTGTTATCTTTAGTGGCTCCTGTCTTTTCTTAAATCACTTTTAGCACAGACTATATTTTCCCACATAGAAATATTTTCATAGAGTTGCCTACTTGTTTTTGAATCAGCGACACTTATTTTATCTTTAAAATTGAATGTTGAAAATTATGAGACTCAGAGGAGAATATTTGGTAGTAGAACCAGAGCCGTAGCTAGGTGATCTTGCACCCCTGGCAGAACCATTCAGATTGCGCCCCCTAGACAAGAACAAATTAGCTCTTATTTATAGACATATTTATGGACATATTTTAGCTGATTTTACGCCCCCCTCGCCCCATCCTCACCACCCCCTAGCTACAGCCATGAGTAGAACTACAACAAAGATCTTCCTTGGGACTTTGCCCCACCCTACATGACTGTGGTGATGTTTGAAAACCAAGCATTCAATGGATGGGGCCAAATGCCTTGTTTTGGGATGGCTGAATCAGTCAATGGAAAGTGCACCCAGATTTCCTGCAAGGAAAACCAGCCTGTTACAGTTCTTTCTTTCTTTCTTTCTTTCTTTCTTTCTTTCTTTCTTACAACATTCTTCTTTCTTCCATATATCTGATGGGAACGTCAATATCTGTTGGTTTCTATCTGGAAGGGAGCAACTATCATCCAAATCTCTCAGTCACCAATGAGTGAGTCCAGCCCATTTCCCTTTTCCTCTCTTTGGTCAAAGAGCGTGAAAGACTTATCTGGCATGCAGTGGGGAAATCCTTGGCTTGTCCAAATGTACCATATTTTTCGCCCTATTGGACGCTCCAGTCCATAGGATGCACCTAGATTTTTTTTGGGGGGGGGAAATAAAGGAAATATTTTTTATTCCCCCCCACAGGCGCGGGGCTGGGGCAGGGGAAGCCCGAGCTTCCCCCGACCCCAGCCCCCAGAACGGGTCCCAGAGAGATGCTGAAGCTGCGCCAGGCTCCGGAGGGTTGTGCGGAGCTGCGCCGAGCCCGGGAGCGCAGGCAGCTCTGCGCAACCTTCAGGAGCCCGGCACGGCTTCACGCCGGGCTCCCGAGGGTTGCGCAGAGCTTCCTGAAGCCTGGAGAGCAAGAGGGGTCGGTGCACACCGACCGCTCTCGCTCTGCAGGCTTCAGCGAAAGCCTGTATTCGCCCCATAGGACACACACACATTTCCCCTTCATTTTTGGAGGGGAAAAAGTGCGTCCTATAGGGCGAAAAATACGGTATACAGTCAAACTCTAGATTCCAAATTAATAAGGTTTATTAAGATTAGGAATAAGGATGAGGGACAAAGAAAGTAGGTATCATAAAGAGAAAAGTAACTGTTTACTCTTGACTCAGAGGAAATAACAAAAGATGAGTTGCAGCCTGTCATACCTCATGATTTTGCATGAACAGATTTGTCACAACCCAGTACAGTGACCTGTTCTGGACAGAGAACTTTTAACACATGCATTATCCACGTCACCAGCATTCCCACAGGAGAAGCCAATGTGTGTACAAACTCCTTTTCATTCAAGGATCCAATATGGTTTTATGATTGCTTTTACTATTCTGTTGTAAATCCTCCTTGAAGCTCATTTTTGACTGAATGGTAAGGTATACAGTAGTTATAAAATCTCCTGCTACTGAAATTAACATGGACTTCCACATGCCTACAAAATCCATGGGCATATTGAAGCATACACAAACCTCTGGTGAGTAGCATTTAGTAAAATAACTGAACACCTGTAATTTTCATTAAAATTAATAAAATAATTTCCCAAAGACGACACCTCAACATTCACTTTTTAATAACATTATTATGCACTATAGTTATCAGCCAGCATCCTTAACTACTGTCTCACTAGAGCCTCATAACAATTACAAGAATTGTATCCAAAGCTTCCTGTCCCACAGCATCTGAATTACATTTTAAAATGCTGACTCAGAAAAATGTGATTTCTAGCTGGTTCTCGTTCTTTTGTAACTGCAGTCCTACGATATCTTTCTCATCTAATCAACTGGGCTTCAGGGTGGTTTGTAGTCTGACATACCAAGTTTTTGTCATGCTTGCTCCTGTGAGGGCACATCCCTTCCCTATTATCTGCACTGTGGATTCTTCCATCTGCCACCTCACATCTTGAAATGTCTTGTTGTACATCAAGTAAGCTGTTGATACGTTTTCCTTTAGTTTCCCCTGCTTATTTTAGGTTATCTGAGATTAGTTCTTGAATTACAACACTGCTGGTTTGACTACAGCATTAGTTACTACTCAGTGATACTCACTGGTGGAGGAACAGGAGTGCCGGGAGTGCGGACCACCCCCAGCACCACTATTCCGGTAGGGTGCCATCGCAGCGGGGCCCCCGGACATGCACTGCGCACACACACCCGCACGCTGGGAATCACGCCCCCACAGGGCGCATCATGCCCCCAGAACGCACACGATACTCTCGCAGGCGGCGTTTCACCCCCCCCAAGGGGCACCAGCCATGCCCCCACCTGGTCTCTGCCCCTGGTAGCAGAGCATGCAGCTTCACCACTGGTGATACTGTCTTTCTTGGATATGAGCTATCCCCCTCATTAGGTTAAAAAATGTATTTCTGCAAACTAGGATACTTTCCTCTTGTGTGTGGATGGTACTGCTTTGGCTCCATAAGGATCAGAATCAGAGAATGAGTTTACTATTAGCATACAATCTGAACAGTTAACTAGTTTGGTATGCATCTAAGCAACTTACGTAAACTCATACTGCAGAACCAATTCTACTAAGTTACTAATTCAGCAAGTTCACTTAGAATATCTACATTTCATAATGGAGGGAAATAACCCATTCATGTCTGAAAATCCCGATCAACGACAAATAAATCATTTTCTCTCTCCTCAGTTTCAAGGAAACATTGTCTATCCCACCATTGTGGGGCTATCTACCTAGCAATGAACTCATCTGATTGTCTCCCTGGATTATCACTTATTTTGCCACAGCGAACAGATACAAACACTTTCCCACTATGTGTAGCTTAATTGCACACTCAAAATAGATTCTGTCCTACTTGTATTTTATTACTGTAATAAAAAATTGTCACTTCAGACTCTGCTTCTCCTAGGATTCTACCTGGGATGGTGTCAGAAAAAGGCTTATGGCTGAATTTCCAAATCTCAAGGATTACAAATTATGTGTGTAAATTGGTGAATACCTGATTATTCCAACATAGTTTGCTGCAAACTAGAGGTTCATGCAGTACTTGGTTTACAGTACTGTGGCTTATATGACACAGAACCATCGCAATATCCTTCACCAAAAGCAGAACTGAAAACACATCTGTGCTAAACTCACATCCTCCATACATCAATTTGGTTGTATGAACAGACCCACTGATATGTTATGACTGTGCAGGATTGCCAACAGAGACCATAATCTTGATACCTTGATACTGCACCCACTGAAAACATCGGTGACTAAGAAGCTACCAGAGGAAGTGTTCCCATCAGTTGTAAGCAAGCAGAGGATCCCAAAAACAGAGTGTTACAAGAAGGGGGGGCACAGCAGGAATATACATGGGTCCACAGGATCCTACAATTATAAATTTCCCAGAGAGAGGACCAATCCAGGCTCTCTGCTGCATCAGCCCATATGGTGCAACAAAAGAAGGGAGAAACTGCCCCACCACCGGCTTCCATCCTGACCAGCATGAGTTTTGGGTGTAGCCATGGCTCCATCTCTCCAAACCTTCCTGGCCCATAATTAGGATTTCTCTGCCTGGTTGTAATTCTATTCACACTTTCCTAGGTTCCATTGAAATAAATGGGATTTGCTTCCAAGTATACATATTTAAGATTGCACAGTTAATTCAGAATATTCACACATTAAAAACTTTTTAAACTGAACAATTATTCATTCTTAATGTTTTAAAAGGAGTTCAGCAGAAGACAGTAACACCAATAACGTAATTCCATTTAAGTAAAAATGATGACTGAAGCTCTGAATGGTGAGGTGCATGTTTATAGAAGTCCCACATAAAATGTGGCTGATTATGGATATAATTTATGTGAAGTGCTTTGAATCCTTAGTGTGCTATAAAGTGCTCTGTTTTATTGGATTAAACTGCTACAGTACAGTTTTTACATGTGGTTCCAATAAAATGTGATGAATCCTCCTTCTCAACATGATACTAAGAAATAACAGTGGAATTCTCAGCATGATAAGAAATAAATAGATACAGTATGAATAACAGATGATTTTGGATATATTAGGATCAAAGGGAGGCAATGAAATTAATCTTGCTCCATGTGCAACATGGACATAGAGGAGGCACCATCCAATTTGCAAAGTATTATGCAATCCTTTTGGTCAACATTCTGAAACAGCTCATTCCCAAGAGGAAGCAATAAAACAATCTGCCGCTGCTCAAGCATTTCTGAGTTTAAGGTGATATCACTAAAGCTCCCAGTCTAGACCCTTTCAAGTTACTGGCCACAGAAACCCCACAGAGAACTTTCCTGTCAGTTTAGCAATCACCACAGACTGCGGACCATAAAGTAAAGAAAACCCCCAGCATATGTATGGAGATAAGGCAGTGATGAACACAGCCTTATCTCCCAAGATAAATCTCGTGAAATATTTCAGAGTTTACCGGGGGGGGGGGGCAGTGCTGAGGTGGGGAAAGGGTCATTATTTCAAAAGGTGTTTTCTCAATCAAACCTGTTTTTGAAATTTACAAAACAGTAAGTGAACATGGGTTGTATCCAAGGCTCGTCATAAGCAGAGTAGACCTACTGAAATTAATGAACACAAATATCTTTGTTTTATTCATTTCAATGGGTCTAGTAGTTAGAATGCAACTACCTATCTTCAAAGGGACAATAGCAGTATTTCTTCAAGTGATATAGTAATGTATTAAGGTAGTAATGTAGTAATATTTCTTCAAGAATCATCATCAACCAAGCTGTTAAGTCTTTAGTTTCAGAAAGCTGAAAAAATTGTCTTCTCTTTATGTAGTGCAATATTGCCAATCCACATGATATGTGATAAATAATGAACAAAGCTCATATGTAATAATATTGCATTTTTCCCATTCCTTTTTAATATGAAAAAGTACTAGCCAGTGAAAAGCATAGTCTTCCAGGTCACCCTACACAAAACATAAAATTATAATTAAATGTACAACTCCTCTGGACCTTGTTTTTTAAAGAATAAGGAACCCAGATGGAAAGGATGAAAAAACTGAAGGCTCTGAATTATTCTTTGATGTACAAAGTGAAGATTCTCAATGTCAGTACAACGATGTTATTTTGGCTATAAGGTAACTCATGATTAACACATATAGTGGAAGAGTTCTCACAATCTGATTTGCACATTTTCAAAAATAAAGTGAGTACTTCTGTATATCAAATGATGATGAAGTGATCTCATATTGTAGCACTTTTTCTAGTTTATATACTACACTTCTTTGTTCTCTCTGGAAGATATCAGCATGGAGTGCATCAAGGACAGCAGCTGTGGAGCCCTTGTTTAAAACAAAAGCAACGGTGTTGAGGCTTTTGCTTCTTTTTTAGGATAAGCCCCCCCCTTAAAACCTGTAAATAAAACCCAGTAACTAATATCCTGGTGGACATGGACAAATGTACAGTATTTGTGGATGGCAAGGAGATTTTACGTTAATCTTTAGCCTGCTTAGGAAAGCATTCACACTATTTTTCTGTATCACACATACCTTTGCACTGTACAAGCAAAGCAAATACCTATTTTGCTTTACCTCAGGCTGAAAATAACTCTGGTTCATTTTCCAACCCATGTTGGGTTCTAGCCCCATGTTGGGCCAAAGATTCCTGCATTGCAGGGGGTTTGACTAGATGACCCTTGTGGTCCCTTCCATCTCTGTAATTCTATGATGACACCATGGTAAAAAGTAATAGAAAGCTAGAACAGGATCCTGAACTAGTTTACAGAATTAAGACAAGTGGTCCACACCAGGCTCAAGTCAGGCAACATTTAACATCGTATCAAGGAGCCAACAGAAACAAACAAAAACTTTGTTTCACGTAAACAAAGCAAGTTTGCACTCTTACATGTCTCTCAGTGGCTCACAGACAAAAATATGGCTAAGTTAGCCCAATAACTTGTCATATCATGTCCAAAGGCTGTGAGATTATAACTAGTTTAACTACCAAAAATATCAAAGACACCAGAAGGATTTGGAACACATTGTTATGCACGTGGCAAGGGGTCACACTGTTTAAATGTAAAACTCCAACTCAAATGTCTATGAAAGGCACTGAACAGCCCAGATGGTGTCCATAAATTTAATTTTATGCCTCTCTCTTTTTTGTTTAGGAAGATCTGCAGTTTTTCCAACCATGCCGTAAGTTGCATAGCAATTGGTTGAGCGATTAAAGTTACGGTATTTCACCTTCAACCTTTTCCCCCTATATTACTCCTAGCAAGTGTTTTAACAACCACACTTCCTCTTCCCACCCACCACCCACCCCCTTCTATTCCATATGTATACCCATGACACCTCTTGGTCAGTATTAATTTATGATGAAATATGTTCCTTCCAGTACTATCCCTTTGTTCTGAGATCCCTTTGTCTCTTATCCATGCAGCTTACTTGTGTGAAAATATATAAGCTTAAAATGTATATGTGAGAATATTTAAGTTTACCTTGGGCCATGTAATAGACCTGCAAACTAATAATACCAGTTCTTAGAAATTGCTTTTCTAAACTGCTCAGTGTGCTTGACATACATCAATGCAGTAAGACTGATAATCACCTTTCAGCAAGGTTACTGAAAAGGTTAGGGAAAGTGCTATAAATACCCAGGGTCAGTTTAAGGCATGATGGGAAACCATGGTTTCCTTATTCATACACCATCTGGAAAAAGCTTCAGGCTTTTCTGTATTTCCCCTCCTTTCTCCTCCCCATTCACACACATGTGGAGACTGAAGATTTTAGCTTAACTCGTGCTACTCTGGTCAGTTTAAACCAGCTATCTTCAACCTTTTCATACGCAGGACTCACTATTAACCACACTGTGCATTGTGGGACCCACTTCTTAATCTTTTACTATATATTTGCATAGCGGTAGTGCTCTTGTTGCAATCTGGATCAGGCCACGATCCACTAATGGGTCCTGAAGGAGTAGACTTTGGTATTTCAAATTTCAACAGCGCCTTGCGCAAGGCCAAAAATTGGATCCCTCCCTCGCCTCCCACCTTCTGTTCTGCTCAATTCACTACATCATAGTTATGTTGCCTGTGATGCCCCCAGGCTCAGTGCCCTGTGTGGCAGAACCGGTCATGCTGCCCTAAACCCGCCTCTGTATCCTGATCTGACAAGCCACCTCTAGGTCCTTATTTCCGACAAGCAAGGATCAAACCACGGTTTACACAGCTGGTTTGTTCTCTAAGGAAAGCAGAAGAGCACAAGCCCAGGGCTCACCAAGGCTCACACATGTAGTAGGAAACCATAGCTTCTCATTATAAGCAAACTGCAGGACTCTCTGCAAGCACAGGCGATAAGCTTATTCTTGGTGCTTAAAGAAAGTCCTTCATACCTGACAATCAGCAATGCAGAGGGAGAAATGCTCAATTTATAGGAACATTTTCCCCTCTGCATAGCTGATTGGTGCCTTCTTGAAGCACCAAGAAGGAGCCCCTTGAAATCACCAATCAGTATATCTGCAGTTTCAGCAACCTCCTTTGAACTTTGACAGGTTTCAATTATCTGGTGTCATTATGACATCAGGTGATCGATATGTGTGTGTGGCCCTACCCACCATTCAAAATTGACCAGTGGGGGATCTAGCATTCTGCCCCTGCATTAATACCCAAGTCAGTCCTAAGTATTTTTATTAATTTGATTTACACCCAAGTCTATCCCACATTTTTAGAGCAACTCCCAGCAGTTTTTCTTAATGGTAATGGCTATTGTGAGGAAGGGAGCCAATAATTTAAGGAACTCAAGAGGTTTAGGGGGTAAAATAAGAGTAAAACAAAACATTATTAGTCTAGTAGCCATTATATGTTGAAATAAAATGCTCCCAAATAACAATTTTTTAAGCATGTGCCCATAATTTGGAAACAAGGTGAGGTCTAAGAGGATTTGACACAGCCACCTTTCTGAAGCTAAACAGGGTTCGAGTCTGTCCGGTACCTAGAGGAGAAGCTGCCTGGGAACCCTATGCTCCCCGCCTCTATTTCCATGATGGACAAAAGGACACTGGCAGAGGAAGGGAGTGCGGTGGGGGCAGCCCACCCCAGGTGTAATCCCTGAGAGCGGTTGACATCGCCGTGCCACCCCACTGGGATGCTGGCTACAGGCGGCTAGCCCCACTCTCACGGGTGGCTAGCCCCCCTGCCCCCAGGTGCATAGCATGTGCACCACTCCAGGTGCCCAAGCAACTAGCTCCGCCTCTGCAAAAGGATACAAATTCACTAAATAATGAATGGTGTGTGGTTATATCCCTATATTACAAATGGGGGTGGAAGATTTTGGATTTTGGTTCATGGTTGAGCTAAGATTTCTACTAAATACCCCTCAGGTAACATGTTAAAACATTAAGATTACACCCGTACCCATAGCAAAAGGAGATTTCTGGGTCAAAGGCCAGGGCAGATACGCAACCTAGTGCTGCAGCAAGCACAATGACCACAGATGGTCAAAAATTTTCTGCTATATTGCAAACATTTGTGAGCACATTAAAAACATACTTGCTGGCTAGAATCAAAGGAAACTATGCTTCAGAATATGGTCATCATAGCTAATGTTGTGGAGTTACTGCATAATCAGCGTTTTTAGCAAGGCAATGGCATTCTTACGTCTTAAAGCTCCTTTGTTTGCTGTCAGGAAATATGCACCCACATAATGAAAAGCAGGAAATGCTGAAGAGACTATTTCACCCAACATTATATTCAATGGTAATCAAGCACATATATTTTGGCTGTCACCAGCAACAGGTTTCATTAGATAATGGAAATGACTTGAGTAGCTGTCTTAGTAATGCAAGAAACTAGGTTTTGTTAATTTTATGTTATTTTGAGTTTCAGCTGTGTTTATCTTCAGCAAAAGCAATGTAGGCATTTGAATTTTCCCCACATTCTTGGGATTGCTTCTGGATTAGCATCTTCAGATAAAAAAAGGAATGCTGCATTCTGTAAACCAGTTGCAACGATTTGATAGCCACAAAATTCCAGTAATGGGCAGACATGCTTATCTGTTATCTGAATGAATGAAAAGTGTGGTCTTCTGCCCAAATCATAAAAAATGGAGAAGGTTTTTTCCCCAGAAGAAAACTGAGAAGTTGCAGTGTGTATTTAAAGGGAATAATCAGGACTCTTGATTATAACAATAGAGGCTCTGGTGTGCACTCAAAAACACTATGCACATTCTTGCGCTCATGTGCACACATGATACATATATATATATATATATTCCCATTAATTTCAGTGGAGGTGCAACTCTGCATACACATTACTTGTACATGCAGCGTAGGTGAAGCGATTAGGAAAATGCTATGTGTATACTTCAATGCACATATGTGGTCCAAGATAAGGTTGAATACGCATATTATCTGGGGAAAGAGGTAACATGCTTTTACCTTGATACTCAGGACCTGAGTCTATCTTTGCCCAACTCCACTATAATGTCCCCAAAGAGACAATATATAATTGCGGCACTCAGCAATTAAGACCATTCATGCAAAAAGGTTGTGCTTTCTGCCTAACCTTGAATATGGATGTCACCCAATACTGTCAGTTTCAGAAGAATCTATGAGAAAATATTTTGTGCTGGTTATGAAATGCTTTATAAACAACTGCCTTCCTGTTCACCTATCTGATGCCAGTTCAGGAGTGGCACAGGAAAAATGAAAATAAAGACTAGCACTTTATACAGACAGTCACTTTATACAACTCATCACAAGGATAGGGAGCTTTCATTGGGCACTACAGAAAGGAGGATGAAGAACAGTCTTCTCTCTTGGCTCAAAGTCTCATATAAGATTTAAAGATGATTACAGAGGCACCAGATATCAGGCTGTAAGAGCTTAAAATTCTTCTTGCTTGTTTACAGGTCCATAAAGTCTTTGCTTTCTGTAAGTTGTCTGTTTCCTCATGTCTTGCCTCATTAAGAAGATAGCCCAGAGATGCAAATCCCAGATGACACAAACCACATGATGCATCATACCTTCTTTATAGGATATTGCTTAACTCATTTCTTGTTCAGCACAAAAACCCATCACTGTCTTTAATGTTATCAACAGAAGTCAAATAAAGATTTCAGCAGATTCTTACGTGCCAACTGCTATTTTATCAAATTTATCTCAGATCAGATAACCTGAGGTACCACTTTGGCTAATGGGGCCTCCCGCTGCCACCGCGCTGCCGCCACGCGATTTCTGTTCTCATCCTGAAGCAAAGTTCTTAACCCGAGGTACTATTTCTGGGATAGCAGAGTGTAACCTGAAGTGTCTCTAACCTGAAGCACCTGTAACCAGAGGTACCACTGTATATCAACCATGCCTTTAAAGTGGGGATGCTCCCATACTCACTATTAACAGCTTAATGCACATAGTCAAGGTAGTTCTGTATCCTTTGTATGTGACTAGCAAAGAATTACAAAATAATGCAGAATCCATTTAGGCAAATAAAGCCCCCCAAGATTCCACTGGTGCTCAAAACATGTGCATTTTACCAAAGCACATACACACACTACTCCTTATGTACTGGTCCAGAGCACCCAGCTGCTTAACAATGCTTGCGATGGTGATTTTAACACTGCCTTGACCATGTGCCACATATTCGTCTTCATCTGTCCTTTCTGCTGTGCCTTATTCTTTATTTCATCACACTTGCAGCTCTACCAGACTAATTGAACTGAGGCCCCAGGGCAATTCTTTTGCATGGGCTAATCTGTCATTGGTAAAATTGAGAGGAGCTGGCTCATAGGTAACCTCAGCTGGCCCTCTTGCATCTTTTAACAACTCACACAAATGATTTATCCATATGAGCAGGGAAACTATGGAAGAGGGAACTGGAACATTGTACATCAGTTGCTGGAGTGGAACTCTGAAAATGTACATTTCCATTCATGGAAGCTGATCCTTAGTTCTCAATGAGGTTACTAGTCCAGCATTATCTCACACATTGGAACACATGCCTCATGCAGAGATAATGTATGTGCCAGCCCCAATGCTTTAGAGAAGACATAGCACTAGGGTCTTAATAATGTGTGTCAATAAATTAATTAAGGTTACATTCTTATACCAACTTACCTCATAGGGATTAAGTTTTAACAAGGCATATATAGGATTGTGCTGTCAGTTAAAGTATTCATGCAATAACTAGCAAAGTAATTATGACACCAGTATGACCCAATGTGACCTTTCCCTATATTACGAGCAGCCAACGTGGATGCCTCAATGCAGACTACAGCTCCCTTTGTGCCTGGTGATTGGTCCTGCTGACTGAGACTGCTGGGAATTGGAGTCCAACAGCATCTGGATGGTGACACATTGGAAAACCCTGCATGACTAGTAGTGTGCCAATGGATGAAAGAGCACGTTTTGCCACCATCATGATGGGAGACATAGATAAAGCAACATATGCTTCCAGCCTGGCTACAGGTTGCCTCTTATGCCTTCCTAACTCTGGTGTAGAAATTCTGCCAGAAATTTGACTCAGTATGCATGAATGCAATCTCTGCAACTTACAATCTGCTGAGAATTACTTCTTTCAGATGTGATACACATTGCAAAAATGTCGTGTTTCTTTCTCTTTTTTTAAGGGTTTCCAGCCATCATAGGCACAGAATGTACATATTAATGAATTTTCCCAAGCTCTGTTTCTCTCACCCTCCAGCCCCAATAATAAGGCATGCCATCATCATCTACTCTGAATGGCTGACTATACACTTGCTTCAGCGCCACACAAAAGCAGCTTGATGAAATGTGTCCTTTCCCTGGGACCCCATAGTTCACGTGCATCATTAGTCTGGGATGCAGTAGCCCTTTTGCAGCCTGTGGGTGAGTGCCAGATCCTATCTATCTAATCCTCAAAGTGGCTGGAAGCAAAATCCAGAAACAAGGCGTTTGGGGGCAGGGAAAAGCCCAGCATCCTCCGGGAGATACAATGGCAAGTGAACCCCCTCCTAGCAGTCCTGAATGCCTGACTCTGTCCATCCAGAAAGAAAAGAACAGTTTGAGGAGGGAGGGGTAAGTCTGTCAAGTTTGGCTGCTTCTCCTTGTTAGCAGACAATGAGGGAGCATTTGTGAAAAGCATCCCCCCCCCCCAAAATAATCACATGTTAATCTGGAAGCAGGCCAACAGCATCAAACTATTTTAAAACTTTTTTAAAAAATGCCAAGAAAGCTTTTCATACAATAAACCGTAACAAAGAAAACCTCATGAGTTCCACCCAAATGTGTAGGGGGAATCCCAAACCAGTTGATTTCCCCCTCACTTCAAAGCCTTCTCCCTACTCCTAAAAAAGTTTCATCCGCCACAAAGCAAATCGGCGGCCCCTTCATCCTCAACAGCTAAGGCGAGCATTGGAATCCACTTCACCGCCAGCAGAGGAGATGAAAGAAAAGGCAGGGGAGGAAAAGAGAAAAGGGGAAGAAGGGGGGATGCAAATTGCAAACAGAAAGTCCTGGAAGAAGAAGAGAGAGGAGGCGAGAAAGCCATTCGGGGTGGGAAACGGGGAGCCATTGGGAAAGGCCAGGGGAAGAAGGATCTCGGCCACAGCTGGGGCAGAGGACTTTGACACACACCAACACACATCTATAAAAAGTGCGCCCAGCCAAGTCTCCCACAGTGGCATCTGCTTTCTTCAAGAGAGACAAGAAGCTACATTCTAAACACGTGGTAGCCAGACAATAATGGCTCTTATTTATTTTTAATCTGGTGGCATCTCCGGGGGTTTCTCTCCCTAACGAGAGCATCCCAATCCAGGCTTCACCCACTTCAGTCCACGGGCATTTTGGAGCCTCCAAGAACCACCTCCCTCGGGCAGTGCTCCTGGGCAGCCACCAGAAACAGGCTGGTCGCACCTTGCCCGGCTCGCCTTTGCAAACCACCCCGAGGACGTCGAAGTGAGCGACCCGGGCTGGGGACGGCGAGGAATGCATGAAGGCGTCGCATCCTCCAAGTGGGAAACCCCAGCGAGGGGGCGGGGGAGGGAAGCCGGAGTCCATTTTTGCACGTGTTGCAACGGCACCCTTCGCACGTGCTCGGCCACCCCCACCCCACCCCACCCGGCACTGCCATTCTGAGGCGCCGCGCTAAACCTTCGGCGAGGGGGGAGTCCCTCAAGTCCCGACCAGCGCGGCTTCCTCACCTCGGAGCTGGCCGTCCGCCACGGCGAAGAGCAGCGAAGCCAGGAGCACCAGTTGCCAGGAGGAGCAGCAGCAGCAGCAGCCCATCTTCGTCCCCCGGGGATTGTTCGGCGACGGCGGCAGCAGCTCCACAGGTGGAAGCGCGGGAAGCCTCAGCCTGAGAGAAAAGTTTCCCCGGAGCCTTTTTGTTGCTGCTGCTTCGCCCAGCGCGCCAACCCGCCCCCCTTCCTCCTTCTCCCCTCCCTCAGCCCACCCCTTTACTGCCGCCCGCCTCTGCCGCCCCCTGCGGCAAGTGAGCCTTCCGTCCCTCGAAAGCGGAGAGAGGGTCGGGCAGATACCATTCCCCAAAGGGCGGGGTTCTCCCATAGGGCTCGGGGCTTTGGGGGCGCGGCTGGCTCCTCCTCTGGGAACCCGCGAGTCAAGAAAGCTGCCCTCCAAAGGCTCCAGCCCAAGATTCCCAGGGCGGTGTTTGGACTACCCGAGCCCCTTCCCAGCCACAGCGTCGTCCCTTCCCTCTCTCCATCTCTTCCCCCCCCCCCGCTCGTGGTTCGTTCCAACAGTAGCTGGGGTAGGCGCAGGGGGGACACATTCTTGAGCCGCTCAGAGCTATTTTAAACCGAAGTGCCGCGACCCACCCCCCACCCCCCAAAAAAGAGAAATCTCCAGAGGAAACAAGAACAATGACTGTAGAGCCGCTTGCGTTTAGTTACGTTGCAAGCTTTGCATTCAACTCAAGGAATCCGTTGTGAGACAGGGTATTTTGAACACGAAGAATATGCTCTATCCTATCCATGTGAAATGCCCACCCCGGTACATCCTGTGTTACAAAGGAGAAGTGGCTTTTGGTGTTGGAATGACGCTTTGCAGAGTCTTAAATCAGGATAAAGCCAGTGAATACATGGGGCGGGAGACAGAGAAGCATCAATATACAATGTTCATTTAATTCCACTCTGTATCCGAAGCCATAACAGATAAGTTGCTCTCTGACCTTGGAGCTTGATTTGAGCTGCAATTCAGAACCAGAACTTGTTTTCACGTTTGGAAGGATATCCACAACTTTTAAAAAGTGCATGTTTAGGAGTGCACCCCAAAGTTGGCAGTTGCACACCTGACATGAGGGGGCAGAGCTTTGTAGATCAGCTGGTGGAGTTCTGATGTAGGCTGATGGGCACCAGCGCCTCTTTATAAATTAAGCAGCAGGGGCCAAATTTAGGGGCAGGCAGGGCCCAAGCCTGAGGTGCCCGGCTTGGGATCAGGGAGCCTGCCACTCAAATCTCACATATCTAGTACCAACATTTTATCTTCACATTTAAAGCTGACAACACCTGTCAGAGCTGGCTCCAGGTCCCAGCTCACAGAGGACCAACGCTAGCCGGCAGTAATGTGCAAAAGTCTTTATTGAAGTACAGTTTCCATTTTCAAGCCGGAGCGCCCCAGCTCTACGTCTAGGGGTTAGATCGGCGAAGCTCCATCTGAGTCTCCGCCCCCTGTACACCAGTTTAAGATTCTAGCCTTACTCCACCTCTTACGTCTCTCCTTTCTCCTCTGGGTCCTGCTACCCCCCGGGGTCCCTTCCTTCCTGGATTCTTCTGACGCTGACCCTCCTGACTCCTCCCCCTCTTTTCGGCGGGCTTTGGGACCTGGCTCCCTATCCGGGCTGCCAACTGCGCCGCCCTCCTGTACATTTGAACTTGGCGCGCGCGCCCAGCCTTCAACCTTCCTCTCGACCGTTTCCTCGCTCCCCGATGGAGGCGTGGCCAATCCTGACTCATGTCCTCCCACTGGCAGTGCGCCGCCTGATCCCGATGCCTGGGACTCCTCCCCCCCTACTGCACTCTGGTGTGGACGCTGGTCCTGATTTCCAACTGCTGCTCTCTGAGTCCCCTCTGGCCCCTTCTTCCTGGGGTGTCCCCTCGGCACCCCCTTGCTCTGACCAAGGGAGCCCCTTTCTGTGAATCTTCCGATTCGCTGGAAAGACTCAGAGACCTCGGACCGCTGTCATCGCTAACATTTCCTTCGGACTCCTCCCCCTCGCTCTCTATTTCCTCCCTTTCCTGTGCCTCTGCTCCTGAACCCCTGACATCCATCCCCCTCGAAGCCCCCCTTCCCCCTCCCCTCCTTCAGGTGTGGGTACTGGGTGCTCCGTCGTTGTGGGGGTGAGTGCCGGATACAGTTCGTCCCCCGTGGCGTGCATCCAGCCGGATAAGTCCGGCTCGTCCTCCGTGCTCTCGCCGACCTCACGTTCCGCGGCTTCCATCTCTGTGCCGCCGTGCTCGACCCCCCGGTCCTCCCCCAACACGTCCAGGTCCGTCTCTCCCCCGGTCTCCTCCGGGGACGTTGCCTGCCAAGGACCCCCCAACCACTTCCTGCGCCACTGCTCCTCTGGTTGATTGTCCCACCAATAGGAACGGTCTGAGGCAGACCCCGAGGGTGATCCCTCCGGGGAACGTGTTTCTAGTGCCGGTTCCTCGTCCGAGGTGAACCCCTGGAATGTGCTAGCTGAAAATGTGGGTGTGAAAAGCCAGTCGTCGAAATACTCGGCTGGCATGGGCCTGTGTGGGAAAAGGGCATGGAACTCGTCCTTAAGCCAAGATTCCTCCAGAGCATAATCTGGCACCCAACTGTTGGCGCTAGCCGGGGTACCTTCCTGGGCGAGGAGGTATTCCACTCCCTCCTCCCCCCATCTCGAGTCTAAAATCTCTGTGACTTCGTTGACGGGTTCCCGCCTTGGCGACCCCCCCCTTGTGGGCGTTTCCCTGAACGGGTCTGGTGCCGTTCCTGGCTCCTGAAATCTATGAGGTGCTTTGTAGGGCGTGAGCACTGATCTATGGAAAACTGGGTGCATTCTGGATCCCTCCGGCAGTGTCAACCGGAAGGCCACTGGATTGACCTGTGCCTCGACTTGGTAGGGTCCTAGCTGCTTATGCCCTAGCTTCTTCTTCGCTAACGATCTGGCCGGCACTGCCTGGGCTGCTAACCAAACCCAGTCTCCCACCTGTATGTCTTCCCCAACCCTTCTGTGCTTGTCAGCCTGCAGTTTGTATGCGTGCTTTGCTAGTTCTAACTGCCTCCGAAGCTGTTCGTGAACCTCCTGCAACTCTGATGCTAAGGCTTCCGCTGCCTGTGGCTCCCCTCCCCCTCTCTCGCTAATCCCGGGAAGGTTCTGGGATGCCTCCCGTTGTTGGCGAAGAACGGTGTCACCCCGTGGACACGTGCTTCGTGTTGTTGTAGGCGAACTCAGCGAGCGGCAGGTAGTCCACCCATGTTGCCGGCTGCTGATTTGCGTAGCATCGCAGGTACTGCTGCATGATGGCGTTGACTCGCTCCGCTTGTCCGTTCGTCTGCGGGTGTCTCGCCGACGCTAGGTTGATCTTGACGTTCAGGAAACCCATCAGCTTCTGCCAGAAGTTCGAGATGAACTGTCGCCCCGGTCGGACAGGATAGACCGTGGCAGACCGTGAACCCTGAACACGTGGTCTATGAACAGTTTGGCGGTCTGTTCCGCCGTGGCCACCTTCGCGCACGGAATGAAGTGGGCCATTTTGGTGAACATGTCCACCACCACTAGCACTGCCGTCTTGCCCCTCGAGCTGGGTAGATCCGTGACAAAGTCCAGGGCCACCCTCTCCCACGGTTCGATCGGTGTCTGCAGCGGTTCGAGCAGTCCCGCCGGCGGTTTGTGCACTGACTTGGCCCTTTGGCAGGTGTCGCACCTCGAGACGTAATCCGCGACTTCCCCCGCATCTTGGGCCACCAAAAATCTCTGGCTACTAATTCTACCGTCTTCTCTTTGCCAAAGTGCCCGGCGGTGGGTGCGTCGTGCAACTGCTGCAGTACTTTCGCGCGGAGGTCGTCTCCCGGTACGTAGAGGGCCCCTCTGCGGATGAGCAATCCGTCGCGTATCTGGAACTCGTCGTCCTCCGCCGTGCCCCTTTGCACCTCTGCCATCTTTGCTTGCGCGAAGGGGTCCTCCTGCAGTGCCCGGCGTACAGCATCCAGGTCCACGGTTGCTGAAGCGCACGCCCACGCTTTCGGTGCGAAAATGTGCTTGGCCGCTGCTGGTGCCGCCTCCTCGAGGTATTGCGGCTTTCTGGACAGTGCATCCGCCATGATGTTGTTGTCGCCTGGGATGTACTCTATCCTGAAGTCGAAATCCGCAAAGAACTCCGCCCATCGTATGTGCCTCTGGTTCAGGAACCTTGCCGTGCGCCAGTACTCCAGGTTTTTATGGTCCGTGCGGACCTGCACTGTGTGTTTGGCTCCAATGAGGAAGTGCCGCCACGCCTTGAATGCTGCATGAATGGCCAGCAACTCCCTGTCCCAGATGGTGTAGTTCTGCTCTGACTTGCTGAGCTTCCTGGAGTAGAAGGCACACGGTCTCCAGTCCCCATGCGGGTCTTGCTGCAACAGTACTGCTCCCACGGCTCTGTCTGAGGCGTCCGTTTCAACCCTCATCGGTCTGCTGGGATTCACATGCAGTAGCTGCTCTTCGGACGAGAAGAGACGCTTGAGTTTCTGAAAGGACTGTTCCGCTTGCTCCGTCCAGATGAACTTCTTCTTCTTGGAGCTGAGTGTGTCGGTAATGGCTGCCGTCTGCATCGCGAACCCCTTGATGAACTTGCGGTAAAAGTTGGCGAAACCGACAAACCGTTGGACCTCCTTCCGATTGCGCGGGCTCTTCCAGTCCAACACTGAGCGAACCTTGGCGCTGTCCATGGCGAGCCCCTTGTCCGACAACTTGTAGCCCAGGAAATCTACTTCCTTCATGTCGAACTGGCACTTTTCCAGCTTGGCGTACAGCCTGTGCTCCTGCAGTCTCTGCAGAACTTCCTTGACGTCTCCCTCGTGGGCCTCCTCTGATTCTGAAAATATCAGGATGTCGTCCAGGAAGCAGACGCATTTCTTGTAGAGGAGACCCGCCAATACGTGATGCATGAAGGCTTGAAAACAGTGGGAGCCATTTTGTAATCCAAAGGGCATAACTCTGTATTCATAGGTGCCCAGGGGCGTGAACATGGCAGTCTTCCATTCGTCGCCCTCCCGCATGCGAATCAGGTTGTACGCCCCTCGCAGATCCAACTTTGTGA